ACGATGGTGAAAGAATTGCGACGTATCGCACCATAGGATGAGTAAGAGATGAGTAAGGCATAGACCTGTCTAGACCGTTCTGGAGTAGTACGGATTGTCCTAGACAGTACCAGAAGAGTCCGGAAGCATAGCTATAGTACACGAGCAGAGAGTCCCAAATATGGTAACATACTACATAAGCGACTACAGCTAAGCGCTAGGAGACGCATAGCCTCGTGTAGTCCGGACCGGATAAGTCCAAGTTCAACAGGAGATGACTCGCAAACGAGGGGATAGAGATGATAGACGTAGTGGATAAAGGGACAGAATGTGCACCAAGTGAATCCGAACATCGGCACCTGAAGGGCATGACATCATATCCTCGCCGAGGAGAGAGCGATCGATGCCAACAAAAGGGGAAGAGCGCGAATGCAGAGGAGGTGTGATTAGGAAACATTCCTCTTCACTGGGAAAGAAGTGATCAAAATGGAGGGAAGGGGGGAAACTGGCGGGAAAAATGCAATGCGGATGTTGGTAAGCGTACCGCTCCTCGCGTCCAACACCTCCTTGCGTCTTACTCCTCCTCGCCCTCGCCCTCTCGCCTTACTCCTTGAGTCTAGGGACAAATGGGGAATGCGGGATGATGGGGGGTGGTGAGCACGACAACATCAGCGGGAGTGGTGATGTGGGTTGGAGGATTGTAGAAGTTTGCGGTCTTCAGAGTAGGGGTGAACAGCAACACCTGGGGAGGCTGGCCTAAAGGGCACGCCCGCTAGTTCATTAGCACAAATGATGTATTACAGAGACCTTATAGACATGTTAGGAACAAGTGAGAGACACGTCGACGTCACTAACTAGTGTAAGGACACACACGTCCGATCTGGTCACGGTAAGGTCAATTGGAGACATGCATTGAGCGCTTAAAATGGTCCATCCAATTCAAATCGAGACCTCCTGACCTCATCCGCTCTTACACAACTTTCGCCGATGTAAAACAGCTAAACCCATGTAAGTTTTCACTGGGCATGACCTGTGACAGGCATCCATTCCCAGGCCATTTCTCTGTCCCAGTTTGGGTCCGGGGCATTGGCCAATGCCCGTCGTGATAGCTGCCAGAATGTGAAGCGGCAAACGATTGCTTGCGCTGCATGCTAAGTATGGAGTTGGGCATATACACTTCGGCAGCCCCATTTTGAATTGTAACGTCTGTGTCAGGGCGTGATATACAACTAGAGCAATGAATGATGTAGTCGGAGACTGATGAGAGCCAAAGATCTAAGACCTACTATGTGAGCCCCACACTCTATGCGCCCGTCGCATCCCGCCTCACAAGTGCACCCTCTACCTCTCCCTGCGTGTGCTCCCAGAGACGCATCCGCACATCTGTAGCGTCCCATAACGGGGACCGCCCGATATTGTCACCCTTGCTGTTGTTCCGCGAGACGCCGGGACGGGCCTGCAACAACGCGTAGAGCGTGTACTCTGCACAGTCCTCCGGAGAAACCGTGAGGGGATAGAAGAGCCCAAGCAGGACAGGATTGAGCACACGCATCGTCCAATGCGACCGCGCGAGCAGCTCGCTGCGGACGGCTCCCGGGAAGGTGTGAATGAAGGACAGGTCCGGGTTCTGTTCAGCATATGACTGGAAAACACATGGATTTCACGAGCGAACAACCGCCGACAGAGGAATCATCCGCACCTGCATCATCAAGTCAGTGTAAGCTGGGCCCGTGCCACCAGGATTTGACCTGAGATAGTTCTTCTTCAGGCCGAGGTTGTTCACGTCGATCACGGTCCCGCCGACGCCGGCTCCGAGCACCGAGAGCGCCTTCGCGTCCTCGCCCGCCTCCTTTGCCTTACTGAGGAGCGGGAGGAGATCGTAGATGAACTTCCAGCGTGCGTAGTAGTGCAGCCCGAGCCTGCGGTCGATGCCCTCGTCGGTCTCGTCGCGCCCCTTGAAGCTCATGAAGCCCGCGGAGAGGACGAGGAAGTTGATCTTCGGAAGCCGCGCGAGGAGCGTCGACGTCGCCGCGCGGACGTTGCGCATGAGCGCGGCGTCCTCGCACGCGACGAACTCGTGCTTGGCCTCTGGCGCGGTGGGCTTGGGGAAGGACGCGATGAGGGACTGGGCAGCGGCCTTGTTTCGCCCGACGATGACGATGTGCGCGTTGCCCTTGGTGTAACGGGCGAAGGCCTGCGCGGTGGCTCTACCAATGCCGGCGGTTCCGCCTACGAAGACGGCGACGGGAAGATAGGAAGGGGAAAATGCGGCATTTGCGGCGCGAACGACAGCGAGGGATGGCATGTGGTTAGTAGATGCTGGCACAGTGTTGGATTGCCAACTAGTGCGAGGTGCGGTGAGTTAGTGAGTTTGAGGCGTGATTGTGCATAGTATGACCCGAGCAATTGGTTAAGTACTGCGGGCCACACAGAGTATCGGACATTGAGGTGAGTGCACGCGTCTGCACGGCCAACAACTCGTGGACACAAGCGTTTCGTACGCGTCGTCACGGCTGGCGGCATGGAAGGCGAATTGCGATAAGTTGCTGCAAAGGCACAGTTAGCATCAAGCCCGATCGGAGACACTCAGAGTCCGATATAACGCGGAGACCCTGGTTCGCCTTGCCAGCGCGATCCAAAAGGGGATTCTATGGTGAATTCTGCCTCTGCTGAGGCATACGCGACGCTTCGGGCGGGCTCGCGCCCGCCTTCGCGCGCTGTGTTCAGGTCTCGTCGAGTCAGAAAGAACGCATGCACAACGTGGTTGGAAGCTTTCCATCGTTTGTCTTACTTCCGCAGGGTAGAGAGTCGGAAGCGATTCAATGCGGGTCTGCATCGAAAGTCGGTGGATGACCTGGCTTTCGGCACAGGGCGTCTAAGTGGCGGACTATGTAAATGACACAGCAGAACAGATCGCGGAGGTAGCAACTTCTCGCTCACCATGCGAGTCAGGTAGATAACTGACTGGCTTGTATGTTCGAAGCCGACGGTTCTTTGCGATGAGGAAGAGCCCGTCCCCCCCTTCTTCCGTGGGTGGCTTCCATTCGCATGTGCGCTCCTTGAGTTGCTCCGCTCGAACTTTCAAGCCCAAGCAGCGCTATGCAGGCTTTGCTCGCACAGTTCAACTGCATCGTCATGAAACCCCTGTCTTGACTCGCTGTGGAATGGCTACCGTCTTTTCCCCTAGTATATGTACATACTAGTGTATGGCCCTCCGGGCGGTCCTGGCCACGACTGGGAGATGTAATCAGCGCTGAACGGTCAAGTGCGCCCTCCGGGCGCAGAAAATTCCGCGCGCTTTGGTCTTTCCTGTTACGTAGTTCAGTAACATTCCAACAAGACCGACTCGAACACTTCAAGATTTCACCCAGGAATAGATTTATAGCAGCCGAGCCAGGTACGTTGCATAGCAAGTGTCTTAGCCTCGCTACTCATCCATAGAGACAGGGCCCTCTACCCATCGTCGAGAATACTGCCTATGCCGATGTGCCGCTGGCCGCGAACTGCCAGTCTAGTCAAAGACGATTACCGCAGCATACCGCGTATCCGCCGGGGCTACAGCCGTGCGTCTTCGATATTACGATGACTACGACGCGACTCTGGACCTTGCATAGGTACGGGCAGGACAGCGTCGTGACTATCGGCGACGCGTTTTCACAACATTATGTCGTGTCTTGCGTCTGCTTGGTGTCACACGGGCACTCGACTTCTTTGGCAGCTCAGGCTAGGGCATTGTGCACCCGAACTCTACCATACATTCCAATCTACCGCTACAGCTGAATAGACAATAGATACAGGAAACGTGCTGCACCCTGATGCGGTTTTTCTTCGGGCACCTCTAGGAATCCTCTTCGCCCTCGTCATCATGCTCACTCTCCTGTGCACAAGGTTCCTCGATCTGGAAATAGGGGGCAAGGAGATGGCCTGTCGCGACGCCGAATGACATTCCTCCTTCCATCAAGAGGTCGCCCATCCCTTCATGTGCGTCATCATCACGGTCCTCGCTGACTGAGAAATGACCTCCCGAACGTGTAGAGCGACGCAGTGCGCGAGGGCTGACTGGCGTGGGAGGCACATTCGACGTGCTTGTCTCCCCCGATAATGATGCCGGCGCGATACGGAGTGTATACCGACGTGTTTCGGACGAGGGAGATGCGTGGTCCTCGCCAGTCGAATGGAGAAGAGGGTGGCTGTGGGCATGTACCCGCTCTGGGTGGACATGTGTTGAGTCACGCGTAGCATTTACGCTAGCGTTCGGTCCTCCGGCGTGGTGGGGATCGCTGGGCGCGGTGGTATCGAATGTCGTGCGCTCTGCGGGGGTCTGGGGGACCGTCTCGTCAGTGACGCCGGAGTGGGGTTCGACGAAGAAGTGGGGCATGTGGCCGATAGGGTTGCATTTCTTCGACATCGTCAACGATGTAAGAAGGGGCAAAGAAAGTGAAAGAAAAGGAAATGTAAGGAGTGGCTGGACCGGGATAAAACTGAGCTGTATTCCATCGCAGGTATGTTAACAGTACGAATCTGAGAGCTCGAATCTGCTGACTCACCTCTGCTCAGTGGACTCGGTTTGCTTGCAGAGACATCTGGCTGAAGCCCCTTGCCCTTCTTATACTCCCCTCCTCTCCTCAAAGTCCGCCGTGTTCCGTGTCTAGGACATCGTCGCTATGACTCTAGCGCGGGACATGAGCATCCTTGGAGGCCCTTCGCACAGCCGACCTCGCGAGGCATCGCATCGGGCGACGAGAGAAGGGTATGCTTCCTCTCAAGACGTTGTGGCGCGTCTGATGGTCACACACGCTCCCATGGACTGGGGAGCATCGACCCGCCTCCCACTGGGACAATTTGGCTATCGGTCACCGCCAAGTCAGACGCACAATAGCCAGTACGTGAACGCTGTCGTTCAGCTCGGTGGGCGGGCTTCACGACATATAATGAGCAATTGCGCAACACCTCTGCTACAATGGCCTCGTTTTGAGCTTGCGCTCTGTGCTGTCTAGCAGCTTCATGTAGTGATGTTGATGTATCCAAAGATCTGTCAGGATTCGCCACAAACTTTGCTACAGCGAGTGGAAGAGTTCATGCCTGCGTGGGACGTCCGGAGCAAGTCAGCATAGATGGATCTTCGGATCCCTCTCACGGTCATTGCCCTCCGTGGTGTTCACATGCGTTCTCGAGGGATCTGAATCATAGCCTAGCCATTCCTTCCTGCTTTTTGAGGAATGCAATGCTTCTACTTCCTCTATCGGTGGCGACAGGTCACCGTCGTCTCACTCTGCACAGGACGAATGTCGAACACGTATCAAAATCTTCCTTTCTGACGGACAATTCATCGCCATTGCCATCCCTTACGGGGAATGTATAACACGCATCTGCCAGACAAAGTTCACGCGGTCGTCCGGTCTTGGATTCTGGCCTGCCTGGTGAGCCTGCCGCCGTCTGGCTCGCCATAAGCTCATCAGCGCGGAGAATCGGCGACGTACGGAAGCATTTCGCCCGGTGATTTGGATGAGATCATGCGTGCTGGTAGCAATAACTGAAGTGCCAGGTGCTGATAGGGTAGGGCCCTCCAGGCGGTCCTGGCCACAGTAACCGCCCCGTGCTTGAGGAAAGCTCCCCGATAGAAATTCGAACATGAGATCGCTGTTTCTGGATATAATACATGTTGAGTTACTGTTGTGGTTGTCGTAAGATTGCAGGTGTCATTATATCATCGTTCACCACGCAATCCTCGCCAGCAGACTCTTCGGATACCGTCTGACGATCAACTTGCGCACTTCGTCCAAGCTATTGCAGCGATCATGTTAGCCTTGCCTTGACGCAGAAGGAGAGCACTTACACCAGAAGACCGAGCCCAAAGGTAAGGGGGATGAAGAAAAACTCTACAGGCACAGGACGTGTCTGGAACACTCCGTGGCTGTAGTGGATGGATTAGGCCCGCGCTGCGGCAAAGGTGAGGTCAAAGCGCAGACTCACAACCACGGAACGTAGTGGAAGAAGATCCCGATGCACAACGCCGCGGCCGCGCCAGCAAAAACCCATGGATTCGACATCGGCGTGTGTTGCGTAATGCTCAGCTTCCGTCCTCGAGTCGCGAAGAGGTTCCTGACGGGAACAACCATGAGCTAGAATAGCTTGTGGGGCCTGCAATAACCTTACCCCCATTGCATCATGATAAGGGTAAAGAAGTTGACGCTCTGTGCCCTGAACAGCAGCTCGTCGGTCAGACCTGGCCAATTGCCGAACCCAAGGATGAGGTTGGAAAAGGGGACACCGTTGCGGTGCAAGTACCAGAACGACCTGTGAAAACGAGCATATTAGGAAGAGAAGCCAAAGCGCCTTATTGACTGCATACTCACATGGACATCGCGCATAGCGCCTCAAGGATACCGAGGAAACCGTACGCTTGTAGAAGCAACCTCCAGTCGACCAAGTGTTCGGTTTTCACATTCCGAGGCGGACGTTTGAGAATATCTGTCTCCGGTTTTTCCAAGCAGAGACTCAGGGCGGGCAATACATCCGTCTAGGAACGAGTTAAGGAACCGTTCGCGATCAATATATGCCGAAACTTACGGCCACGCAGATCAGTATCATCCTACATCATAAAATCGTAGTCAGATGATAGCTTCCTCGATTGCTGGCAACTTCACATACTGGATGTTACTAAGCAGCTGAGGCACGCCGATGAGAACGTTCGACAAGATGGGCACCAACTCAGAGAAGCTATGGTATTGTCAGCACATCCGGATACAGGAGCATCGTGCAATCTAAGTACTCGCCTTCCAGCTGGTATAAGGTAAAGGACGGACTTCTTGAGGTTGTCGAAAACCAATCGGCCATATGTGAGCGCGACGATGATAGCCGAGAAGTCGTCCAGCAGCACCATGTCCGCAGCTTCGCGAGCCACGTCCGAGCCGTCTCCCATTGCGATACCGCCTGACAGACCTTGTCTAAGCACTCTGCGATATGCCGCTAACGACATGCGGAGACTCACAGTCAGCGGCCTTCAAGGACGGCGCGTCGTTCACCCCGTCGCCTGTCATGGCCACGATGCACTCTCGTCGCTTGAACTCGTTCACGATTCTCAGCTTCTGCTCCGGGGTCGTACGCGCGAAGACGATCTCCTGGTACTTGCATAGCTGATCGACCTGCGCGGCATCGAGTTGGTCAAGTTCAGGTCCGGTGATGACGATGCCCTGGTTCGTGACATCGACAGCGCCATCGACACCGATGTCCACGTCGACGTTCGCCTTCTCGTCCGAGCCGAGACTTGAAACACGGCCTTCTTTGGGCAGGTCTGCGAAGCCATGCATGCCGCCCACATTGGTGATGATTCCGGCGCGCGCAGCGATGGCTACCGATGTCGTAGGGTGATCGCCTGCAACGGGTCATGTTGGGACAATGGGGAAGGATCAAGACGCGACACAACACACCCGTGACGATGAAGAAGCGGATCCCCGCCTCCCGGCAGGTCTTCACGACATCCGCAATGCCGGGTTTGAGTGGGTCGACGAGCCCAACGAGTCCGACCACGATCAAGTTGTCGCGCAGAGTCTCCACGAGCTCCCCGAACTCCTCCGACAGCGGGTCGGCGCTCTTGGGGATTTCGTCCGCGCGAACAACCCTCCGCGCAAGAAGCAGAACGCGTTGTCCGTCCCGCGCCCACTGCTCCTGTACGCGCGTCAGCCGCTCTAGAACGGGAGGCGAGAGCGGGATCGGCTCGCCGCCCTTGGGATCCAGGGCATACTTGCAGCGAGGGAGGAGCACCTCTGGCGCGCCCTTGACCACGAGCAGAGAGTCTGCGGGTGCGAAATGATCCCAAGGAGCGATGGGAGTAGGTGGATTAGGGAGCGTGGTCTCCAATAGTTTGAGCATGTACTTGTTCTACACAGCAGTACAGAAGACCATTAGCACCGTCGTCGTAGTATGAGCTTGTTGCGCATTCTACCTTGGAGTTGAAGTTGACCTTGAAGACTTCCTGCCACTGTCCGCGGAGAGCGTCCACGGACATCGCACCCTCTGAGAACCTCAGGACAGCAACATCTACACGGCACAGAAGATGTTCACCAAGAGTTCAAGTTCGCGCACGGATGCGTACCAGTTTCATTGCCCATGATGGGCCTTGCGGATTCGCTCTTGCTTTCGGCGCCGAACACGGCCGTGTTGCAAAGGGCCCCAACGGCGACGACCTGAGAAAGATTGAACGCAACCTCCGGAGCCGCGCTCGAGAGAGCGTCTCCGAAAGTCTCAGCCTCGAAACCCGTGCCCTCGACCGCTACGTTGACGACCTGCATCTTGTTCTGCGTCAACGTGCCCGTCTTGTCCTAAAACATTGAGCGTTGAGCCTCTCGGACATCATCGGACAGCGCATGTACTAACGGAGCACAAGACATTAACTGCGCCCAAGGTTTCTACAATCACCAGTGACCTTTTGCACTATTAGAGCGGCCCGCTCAGATACGTATGAGAATCACTCACTTGCAAAGCACTTTATGCTGACTGAGCGTGTGCGCTATCTTGGCGATAGACAACGTGACCGCGAGTGGTCTGACAAAGAGTGTATATTAGCACGGCGAATGGATCGAGTTGTTGACCGACATACAATCCATCGGGCAAGAAGGCGACTATGGGAAGTGGCTAAGAAATACACACCAAGTAAACACGATGCTACCGCTGCTTACCCATGACCGAGACGATGTCGATGAGCAATCCCGACACGTTGATGTAAGATGGGAAAGATCTTCTGAGCCTAGTAATCCCTCGTCAATACAGATCAACAGACAATGTCTAAGAGGTGGACGCACCATGCCGCCCAAAGAATGACTATCAAGACAGCAATAGTCGTCGCTAGAGAGGCGATGAGCAGGACTACGAACAAGACCTCCCGTTGCAGCGTCGTCATTCGCGAGGGCTCCATCGAGGAGAGCTTCGCAATACGTCCACTGTACGGCACCGCTCGTTAACGTCATGACTATCGGGGATACGTTGAAGCGCACAAGATAGTGCTGTCCCCACTCTGTACGACCAGCCCTGTACCAGAACCGCTGACGCAATGTGTCCCTTGCAGCGCGATGTTCTTGGTCTGATGGATGGATGAGTAAATTTTCATCGTCCAGCACAGAATAGGGGCCTACTTCAAGGAAATTCTCGCTCGTCGCGTCAACTCGGCCGGCAATAGGTTCACTCTAAAAGGCATTCCCATGATGTGAACTGCAGCACGAGTGCCATCGGTTTCTCGCCTACCTCGCCGGTGATGATACTGCGGTCAAACCTCAGGTCCCAGCTCACTTGGATGAGCCGCAAATCAGCTGGAACCTTCTCGCCCAGGCCGATGTAGACCAGATCGCCGTTGACCAGCTCAGATGCCGGGAGTTTGACCTTGTTCCCGTCACGAAGGATAAGCACGTCTGAAGGGAGCATATCCTTGATCGAGGACATGACCCTCGATGTCGAGAAGTCTTGCCAAGCATTGAAGGCCCCCTGAAAGAACAGCACGATCAGGAGCACGACACCCAGAGCTAAGTTGGCGATTTGGGGATCCGGTTCTCCGAGGGGCTTCCTGACCAAACGTCATACAATGTCCGAATTCGTGGAGCAGTGAGGACACACGCACCAGGAGATGAAGCAGAAAATGCTGGCTACGAAAAGTAGACTGCCAAATCCGCCAAAGATCCACTCGAGAACCTTGCGGAGCATATTGTTCTTTGGAGGCGAGATGACGTTCTTGCCCCATGCCTCCCGACGCCGCTTCACCTGTGAGTTGTCTAGGCCCGACTGCGGGGAGACACTCAGTCGCTGAAGTGCCTCATCGACCGAGATGGTGTGCCAGTCAAGAGAGACGAGGTCTTTGAAGTATTCGAAGTAAGCATGATGTCGTGAAGTACACAGGCAGGACAATGTACCCTTCACCGCCTTGTTGCGAATGGCTCCGGAGACCCCTGCATCACCTTCGGTGGGGGAGGCCCGATTTTCGACATGAATACTGAGGGTCCGGAACTCGGAGGTCAAGCGAGGGGCGACCTCGGCGGTTGCATCCGCTGAGGCGGGTGGATGGTCGTGGTCTTCGTGCTCTACGGTAACATGGCGAACGAAATGTGTTGCCTTCTCCTCCGGTTGAGCTTCGAGGTCAAAGGACGTAGAGGTAGGCAGCGACATCTCAGGAGCACCGGCGCACTCCCGTTGCTCCGTGGAACTTTTCTCCTGGCACGATCGGTGACTTTATACCGTGGTCGAACGAGGTTCTAACACCGACTTTAGACGATAACTCTATCTATCGGCTGATGGAGAAGTCGCTGCCTTTGAATGGGCTTGACGTGAGGAAGGGGACTTGTCAAAAATCGTAAATCTCTTGACAACCGAATCGAGCAAGCGCTGATATAAGCGCCCGAGACAAAGTACACGAACTCCCATGGATATCATTGAGGTGACAGCACGAGGCACAGAACATCTTAGCCCGGTCTTAAGCACACCCCAAAACGGCCTGTGGGGTAAGTAGGACGCCTAGGTAGGTCTGGTTCCCATCCCAGGAATATAGATTAAACCCTACTGGCACAGCTATAGCGCCACTCTTTCGTAAGGTCCTCGCGGTCCTCCCACTCACATGAATACGTCTGCAGAGTTGTGTCTCAAAGAAGGGCCCCATCACGCTGCCTCAACCTCATGTCTCTAGCACCGAGTTCGAACTGCAGATACAGTGCTCCAATAGTCAATAACAACACCTCCCGGTTGGCCCCCGGGAAGCCGTAGTAGCCCATGTCATTCACCAGACTTGGCCGTCGATGTCAATCTCTTGACAGTATCAGTTGTCCTTGTCCCGACTGTGGGGGTCCCAGCTGCCAGAGTTGTTCCGGTGAGCTCGGGATTACGTACTGTAAGGCGCTCAGCAACGTCTTCTTCGACCACATCGCCCTTTGCTCCCGGCGCGTCCACTCTCCGTCTGTCACGAGGAGGACTTGCTGAGGTAGTTGCACCATTCCGGGCGTTCCCCAATCGACTTGCGAGGTCATCTGCGAGGATACCGACCACGCGAGATAACGGGGGAGTCTGCGAGCCCTCAGCGGACCCCTGGGTGGCGGAGTAAGTTGATCTGGGGGTGTGCGCGCCAGAAGGGGACTGTCGATCGCCAGCGACGTCGTCCTCTAAGGTCGCAGCAAAACGAAGCGAGCGGACAGATGATCGGGCGGGACTTTGCTCGCGCCTGCGCATGCTAGCGGTAACGGCAGGGCGCTGCACTCCGCGCTGACTTGGACGTATGTCGTCGTGTGGCGCATTGACTGTTTTCGCTCGGACCTTTCCTTCTTTCGCCACCTTTGGAGCCCCTGGCAGAACCTGTCGGGCGTATCAGTAGGCTACCGCGGGTGGATGTATAGGGTACACGCACGTTCAGGTTCTCCCTTATCGGCGAAGGCGATCGCAGGGAAGTAGCCGCGTCTCCTTTCTCACCACCATCACCGGCATGCACGACTATCAGTTCAGGGACAGGAAGCCCGCCTTCCGAGGAGTCTCTATCCGACTTCATATCCGCATCGGATATCGCCGTTGTCGATTCGTAGTTCCCAACGCCCTGCTCGACATCCCTGGCATCGGCTGCCCGCGCCTCCGTCCGGGAGATATCGGCGGAGGGGCGACGGATGCCGACCAGCCACTCCGGTTGAGCGTTTACCTGACGCGAGGTCCAGGTTCGCGTGAGGGTGAGGGTCCGTGCGCCGATGTCCCGTCCATGAGTGAGGAACGGGATTGACAGACCATCTACAAGCAGGGCTCAGCAGGGAACTTGAATGAAGCGCTGATAATGAACAACGTACGGATGATTATCGATCCTAAGACAACGAATGCTACGATTGTCTGCGCCGTCGCAGCGAGGATCTCCGCTTGACCTTGAGGGGGCGACTGAGGCTTGGGCAGTTCGGTAACCGCGAAAGTCGATACGTAGACTGCCCCGACTCCCATCTGTAGAAGGTAAAGCGTAGAGGTGGATCATTAAGGAATACAACTGGAATGACATCGTGAACGTCCTCACCGGGCCTATCAAAGGAAGTTCAACAAAGGTCCAAGGAAGAATCTAAACAAGTTGTACGAACCAAAATGACCAGCAAATAGGGCTTCTCGCCACGTCTTAATCTCCGGTACCCACTTGTAGAGCATGAAGAGCGGCGGAATGCGGCGGAGGATCAGAACGGCGACAAAAAGAACGACCAAACGCCACGGTGTTATTCCCAATTCGGGCGCATTGAACATGTTGAACGGCATCCAAGCGCCAATATACACGAAGCAGCCACAGTTGAGCAACAGGTCAATGACCGTAAAGAAGATCTCGTCCTGAGTTTTGCTCCTGAAGTGCCCGTCCCAATTGATTGCTGAACCTGTGCAGTAGAGACTATGAGGTGAACATGCGTCGTCCGAGTGGTGATTGGCTGTACCTGCGGCGAATGCAGCGAGGAGGTCATCGCTGCCTATCGTACGCGTTACCCCGATGGTAAACAATGCGAGTGCCAGATATTGAGCGACGTAGGATTCACGGTCTAGCAATCCGTGCTTCTGAGACATCTTCAATAACTTGGAGAACATCATTCCTAGCGGAATGGAAGATCAGGGTGGGTAGAGGAATCTCCTGTGTCCGTGAGCTCACCTAGCAAGGCACCGATGACAGTGCCCATGATCACTTGGTCTGCAATCTACCTCAGCACGGTGGACGTGGAGACACTGCATGCATGCTTACAGAGCCACCCTACCAAGAACCACTTTCCAATGGCCACCGCCTTCGAACTTTCGATGGTGAGGTATACCGAGATGCTCAAGAAGGGGTACGCGAGACCGTCATTTGCCGCGGACTCGGCAGAGATGATGTAGCGGAGTGCCTCGGGGACATGTTCATTCGCGTATCTACCGCCTGCAGTCCTGACATGAGAGAGTACATGGTAAATGTAGCAATATAGGCACGCACCAACGATAGCAGCTGAGATAATAGGATCTGTCGGTGTCAAGCAAGCTGCTATGACCATGGCGGAGACGAAATCGAGGGTCGGGAAGAGGGCGAAAATCACGGCTTCGACAGGCGTCAGCATGAGCTGTGAAACCGACGACGGGAGGATACACACCTGCGACTACAAGCCAGCCGAAGGCCATCGTAGGGACCACCATAACGAGGAGGCTTTTGGCGTGGTCGAGGAGGTATGATTTAGGGAGCTCGACGCCGATCGCAAACAGGCCAGCAGCGAGGGTAATGCGCATTACCTCAAGAGTGATGACGTTCAAATCGCCGCCCCATGAGCGCGGGTTGAAGATGCTGAAGCCATGGGGACCGAAAATGATACCGCAGGCAGTTCCAAGGACCACTTCATTGACGAAAAGCTGTTCATGGGATTGTTAAGTCAGGCAACGCACCATGGACGACGCTGAAGCGAAAGTACCTTCTCTTTCACCCAAAGGGAGACCATGCTGAACTGGGCCATCAGGTCAGCGACGATGCTAGTGGGCCAGCTGCCGGAGGTGACAAGGACCAAAATACGCCGTCAAGGTACCTACCGCGACCGTAAATCCTCCTAATATCATATACGCTAACCCTGGGTCTGTAATCTGAAAGGCGAGTGAGGACAACTAGAGCAGCAAACACTCTTTGAGGGCACGAACCTGTAGGAGGTCCAGATGCATCATCTTGACCCGACCGCGAAACCACGAGCTCACAAATAAAAGGTCAGCTTCGCCGCGAGCGACGGATACGAGTGTAAGAGTCTGAAGGCGAGATAATCCTGCAAGTGGACAACCCTGTTGGTACCCATGATCACCTTTAAGGCGGCAGACGTCGCAGCATGGCCACCATGCGCTCCACCTGGTGTCGTCCAAAGTGGAGGAACTCTAAGTCGTGCATGGCTTCGCGTCGGCTCAGACAACGCTTCCAGGCCACCGTGCAGTCACTAGAGACGCTCATTTGGGCGCAAAAGCATGCCAGCAACGCCCCAAGTACGCGGCGACCTGTGCATCGAAGAACACCGACATAGCCCAGTGACACGGCTGGATAATCATGAGAACGCAGGATAGTGAATCACCGTGGTGAATGGCTCGTATCTGGTGCTGAAGGGGACTACTTCGAGTGCTCAAAGAATCAGAGCGATAACCACGCGTTCCGATCCGAGCCTGAAGTGGTTGTGGTCGCTTATTCGCAGCCTATGAGGCCGACGGCTGGAGGTAGATTAAGCACGAACATGTCAATGATCGCAGATAGAACGGGATGACATAGGACATGGTGTACTCAAGCAGTAGCAATAGGGGGTTGGGTTTTGTCTTCCTAGCGGGGGAGGATACCGAGCAGAAATACTCAGCAACCGGGTCATCTGTGTTATCTGGTAGCTGTCAAAGAAGGCGTCGGGTAAGGCAGGTGGGGAAGCGTAACAGCATGCCAGGAATGACCTCCGTTTGACGGCTCGTGGCACTACATTAGCCCATTTCAGCACCTGGATGAGCGCCACGATACCACAAGGTGAATGAACCACTGTGATGAATAGCTAGCTTCTGGCACCGAGGACGGCTGAAGGTGCTCGGTGCCTGAAGGAAGCCGCACGACAGCCGCGTTCCCAAGACGAGCCCTGAATTCGCTGTAATTTTTAGTCGGCCGCTTTTCAGGTTGTGGAGACAGGTCGAGCATAGGCAATACGACAATAGCAGATAGTATATGATGTAGCCTACTCATGCAACAGCAACAGAGGGGCCAGGATTTTGCTTCGCAGCGGGGGAGGACACAGGGCCGAAATACTTAGCGACGGGGTCCTCCTGAGTCTTCCGGTAGCTGTCAAGAAGGTCCGCTTAAGGAGGCGCCAACGAACACGAAGGAAAGTCACGTACTACCAGATGCGGGCCAGCTGGCCCAATCCAGTCGACCCGACGAAGAAGTTGACCTGTGCGATGTGTCAGTGACAACCTGCGGTGTGAACAACGTATCGACACGCACGGCAGCCAAGCTGTAATTGATAGGCGTGATGACAAGGGAGTACCGCACCCAGATGAAACCCGTTGCGGTGAGAGCTGCAGGGCATGGTAGTGAATGACGCAGCGGTAAGACGGACATGAGGGACCAACACATGTACAGATTTGAGCATCCTTGCTAGTGTGGAGAAGGACTGTATCACGCACCCAAATTCTGAGAGGCGCTAAGCTTCTCCGCCGGGCGCGACAAATCCTTCAAGCCCGCCGCAACCAAACACCACTTCATGAGCGGCGCCCAGAAGAACACAGTCTTCGGGCCTGTCCACAAACGATCCCCAATACGAAAATCATAGAGATGGCGGTAAAGGAAGGGCACGCCGCGGTTTCGACCGGAAGCAGGCAGTAGGTCATTTCGGTCAGGTGCAGATCAACATGTGTAGACCAAGCTGCCGCTCGCACCTGCTGGGTGGTTCATGAATGCCTGAAACTTCGAAGCTCCCGCAGAGGCCGCTGCTCCCGACATGTTGATGATGAGAGGATGTGTCTAATAGACAAATGAAAATAGTGGTAGGAAGGAAAGCCGGTCGGGCGACCGCGGCGAGTCAGTGGGGCGATGTCGTCGAGGCCGCAAACGCTGGGCTGCCCAATTTGGACATTTAGGCGCCCGTCGTTCCCACCCTTACCTGTTGTCGTCATTTCTCGTGATAGCATGAGCAAAGTGTAAACTTTCCAGAAGTGTCAGAGACCCACCTTCAGTCTAGGCTGTGCATGCGCCAGGGCAGACATATGAAGGGCAGTGGGGCAGGCTAGAGCGGAACCATGAACTGGGGACTGTGGAGAACATAAGGATGGAGGGGAAGCCATGTTGGCTATTCCTTGAGCGTGCCTTTGTAAGCTCGACGGTCCGAGTTCACTGAACTACAGTCGTTTGCATATCAAACTGCACTAGTGTCGCGCGCGCGTCGAGACTATTTGCTCGTATTTGCCCCACCGTCGGGTACCGGCTAGGACGGCCACTCCGGGGAGTGCACCTTCGGTGAAAACGGATGAGCTCCCTCAGAAATATTGTAGCTGGTGTATGCTGCAATTAACATGGTCCCTAGCATTGCCTGGTTGGTTTTCGATGCAGAAAGTGCTTGTTGTACTTGATGGCCAAAGGTGGGTTGACGGAGGCCGGTCCCAAACAGGCAGGAAGACGCTGGCTCACGGCGTTGCAAGCACGAGCAAACAGCCTCGCGGCGCGCGCGTCGACTGCAGTTTGATATGCAAACGACTGTAAAGCAATATAGAGTGACTGTCGATGCGCAGGCGTCTATCACGTGCTCACGAGGCTAGCCCGTTCGTGCCACGCTCGTGTCCCGACTGGCTGGTCTCTCTGGCTGTTCCCTACCGTGTCTCTGCAAATCTACATTCTGCTTGTTATTCTCAGCGGCCGCTCTGTTACCTTCGGTCTATCGCGCAACATAGAAAACGTTTAGGGGTGCGGAAACAGACCGAGTCCGAGCCGCCATCCTGGTTCAGAGAGGGTCGAGAGTCAGGGCACTGTCGGAAGAAGGTATGATTCGCTCAAGACATCTATACCCATAAATGCGGCTCTTTTGAAGGTAACAGGTTGCTTGCTGCGGCTGAAATGCTCTTCCTGTTAACGCTGCAACATTGGGTGGTGTTCTCTCTGGGGATAGTCATCGGCAGGCCACTTTTCCCTGCATCTTTCTCCTCCCCTTGATCGTTTGGCCATATTCCATTGTGTTCTCCTGGATCAGGATGGTCTTCTATGTATGCGAGTGTGCCGATGCTCCGACATAGCGGAGCATCCCGCTTGAAGCATTGGCCAAATTCGCGAGGATTGCACGGGCGGGCAACGCCGACTGTCCTCAGGCTGCCCCTACCAGGTCCCATTTTTAGATGAGGTAACACATAAGCAGAAGTATGACTATAAGTCATGGAATGTACGACGCTGTTCAAATGACGAGGATATGTCGTCGATGAGCATCGGGAAGTACTGAGGTGAGCGGCGGGGCAGCATTCTGCACCCGATACCACCCAGGAACTGCCAGCCCAGGAACTGCCAGCCCAGGAACTGCCAGCTGACTTCAAATAACCATAGGGCAGCATGACGCCATCGAACCGCTGCGAGCACTTTGGTGATTGCTGTTCGAATGTAGTTGCCCACGCTCCGCCCCCACGCACCGACTCCAGGCCAATCATGCGCACTTGATGCCTGCCTGCCTGCCTGCAAGTCATAACTGCCAGCTCAAGCTCAAACGCTGGCCTGCCGAGACTGTCCTCGCGAACAACAAAAGCTTCCCTATAATCAATCTGACAGCACGCGAGCATCTCCAGCTGGTAGCACCACAGGCTTGGACATAAATTCCCGGCTCCTCTTTGCTCGTCCCAGGAAGAAGACATGCCGATCTCGCTTCCTCCGGCAACTCATTTGAAATCAGGGAATGCCATAGTAAGTTTCCATTCGACTGCTCGGTAAGATTGTATTGCTGCGGGCTCGGAGGAGCTCGCGGAGTCCGGCGATAAACTACAGCGGACCGTTGTCGTCCTCGCCGCATGGTCATGTGGCGAGGAAGTGACGATGAGTTGTGGTTATACTCGCATTTTCCGGATGATTCTGTCGTTCTCAAGCAGTTCGCAGACCAATGACATCAGCGCACATGTGTTGCCTGCCATGACCATTCTCGCTATTCGGGTGCGACTGTCTTCCATGCGTGTGGGCCCTCGTCACAGGTACCCTGGCCGCTCCCATTATATCGCCCATCTGACATGGCGATGTCAGCCACCTGACTTGGAATCATGTCTTCCAATTGAAAAGCGTAGTTTACAAAGCTATACAAAGCTAGCGCTACTCAAGACCGCTCACATCGCTTGACAATTGGATAGTCCCTGTCGTGTCATCACCCCCTCCTGAAAGCTTCTGTCGCAGCCATCATTCGATGGAGCCCACGGCATGCTTCGGTTTCTTTTCCTTCTATTTGCTGATCCCGGTATGCACCGAGGACATCGATGGTACTGTGTGCTCCGGAGACGTGGCACATCCCCGAGCTGACGCCGGTCATCATCTTGCAACTACTGACCTCAGCCGGCGCAGGGATTGACAGCTCCGGATCCACAACCCCCCAGGATTGGCGAGAGTCAGTCAGACGCCTCCTTCAGCGTTGATCGTGCACAAACAGCACGATTCTGTATTCCGCAGTGCGTTCATTCCTGTATGTTGCCATCCACATCGCTCCATCAAACGCGTAGTCAGCTAAACTTCTCTGTTCACAAGCCGCAGGTACGACGGCCTAGGCTGAACCATCCGCCAATCTTCTGTGGCATTTGCCGCTGATGGCTTGTCACTTAAGCTATGGTTCTAAACCCGCGAAGGTTTCGAAAGCTCCCAGCGAGGGCCGCAGGGACAGCGCGGCTGCGCCTTATCCGACGGATGTCTTCACAGGCCGGTGCGCTCACGCGCCCCAAAAGGACACTTATGCTCTCGGATGCATTTGTTCCTGCAGCGCCCATCCGAGTAGGAACGACGAGCGGCAATGGAGGAGTACAGCGTCGAGCTGGAGTATAAAAGATGCGCCGTGCATACGCTAAAAAGTCAGCAGCCAACGCACCCGGCTCAGCTTCTCCCTCAGCTGTGCGCGGGGTTCCTGCACCACCATCACCAAGCCAGAGCCAGAACGCCGATTCTCGTGCCCTTCTTCCCTTCGTTTAGGGTTATGGGTGTCGAGGCTCGAGCTGTTGCGGCAGCGGTTCCCCCCGGCGGTCCTCGGGCACCACTACTCGACGTTCGAGCACCGTCGCGAGTGCGCGGCGGGATCGTGCTCGAGTTGTGGCGGCCGCAAGGATTGACAGGGCACGGCTTCCGCACCAGACGGTCTTGAATGCCCGCGCGGGTTACGGGTTCTGGTCCTGGCTCCGCCCTGCGTGTCCGTCGGCGCGAGCAGTACTAGCTGCGTCGCACGAACACGCTATCCGGAACATTTGCGTATGCATTTTACTTGATCGGACTAGCATTCGTATAGGAATACATATTTATGACTTCGGATCACCCATCTTATGATTGTTATTATGCCGCTGCTACATACGAGCTCTCAGCACATTGTCACCAGGTACGCCAGCTCCCCCATCCCAGATGTTTGTATTGCTCGGTAGCGTCATGTAGCATCAGATTAATTGCCCGCTCCAACGTTGATGGGCATGTTTGCTCGGCATCTTCACTGTGGTGCGATTTAACGGACCTTTGACCCTCCGACTTGGAGCTTGACTGGAAGTGTGTGCTATATTCGGAGTCCTACGTCGGTCATGCACCCTTCTGAATGCGTAGAAAGAAGCCCTCCATATTCGGGCCAGAGTCTTCATGGAGTTAGAGCTTTGAAGATACAAATTGCGGGTACCGAAGCGGCTTGCCGATATTCTTTGTATCAGAACGCACGGGATGGAGATGATCTTCGCCTTCGATATTCTCATGTATGTCTTTGAACCAGGAAATCATGTGAATGAATTTTTGAGGACCGAGCTGCTACGAGTGGCTTACACCAGTTGGCTGTCGCACCGCCGGTGGGCAGTGCAGCATACGTTAGAGGCTGAGAAAATCGTAAGTCACCACATGAGTCTGGAGATTGAGCTTTGAGTGCCATCCAGCATCGAATATCTGGCACCACGGCCCTCTCGAAGAGCGAGCCAATGTTGACCGGGTCTCATGCTGTTCACTGACATAACCAACCCGGATTTCCCATTTACTTAAGCGCCTGAGAAATGCGGCACGGCCCTTGGTGGGGGCGGGCCGCACAGCCGGACTTCATTTCCCACCACGTGTCAAACGCCCGAGTACGACACGCTTCGCGTCTCAAGCCGTCGTGTTCAGCAACTCCGCTGAGCTGAGCAGCCACTCGCAGTTTGTTCACGAACCTCCACGACGTCGACGACTCCCCGACAGCCGCTATGGCGGATTATGACTTCGATGATGCTGCCATTCAGAACTTCCTAGATCCTCTCTTCTCCTACCTCTCCACGGTCCTCCCAGCTCCGATCTACTCGATCGTGGAGGCTCTCATAACGCACACCCTCACCCTCCTCTCCGCGCTCTTGAACTTTGCCCTCGCCCTCGCCACCGCGCAGAACTGGGACGCACAGAAGATCCTGCCCCCACTCATCACCCTGCTCGCGGCGTATCTTGCTCTCGTCAGCTTCTACCGGACGACCGGATGGATGATCCGCACCGCGTTCTGGTTCGTCAAATGGGGCGGCATCCTAGTCGCGCTCTCCGCAGGGGCAGGCTACTTCCTGGCGAACGCCGGCATCGATGGCGGGAACAACGGCGTAGGGGCATTCAACGGGAATCTCCTGTCGTTCTTCGGGAACGCGCTCCTCGGCCTCTTCGATAACGAGGACTCACAATCTGGCCGGACGCGCCCTGCGCGAAGTTCGCGATCGCGCACAGGCCCGAACACGCGCTCGCAGACGAAGAAGCACAAGGAGAAGGAGAGACCGAAGGCTTGGGAGAGCTGGGATAAGCAGCGGGACTGGAGACACACTGCTGAAGCGGCCGGTCGGGACGATGCTGCGAGGATGAATGAGGGCGTGCAGGAAGCGGTGCAAAAAGTGACTGGCCTGGTTCGCGACGCCCTCGGCACCGGGTGGTGGGAGGTAGTGAAGAATGCGGTCGGTAGCGGACTTGCCGGGACGACAGACGAGAGGCAAGAAGCCTCCCAGTCGCGCCGGAAAACGAAACAGGATACGAAGGGTCGTGGAAGTTCGCGGTAGCTGTCGCTCGAGGCTCCGATGTTTGGGTTATCTGGGTCTGTTTCAGTCTGTATCTAGGGGTAGGTTGCACTTTCAAGCCAGACTTTCGTGTCGCCAGGAGGCTGACATCTACGTTGCTTTGACAGTGTACTTGTGTAATTTGCCGCATATATTTATCCAGGTCCGAGTCTGCGGCTTGGGTCCTCCTGTCTCGCCCTCAAGGAACGCAAGCTGTTTTCGACGATGCAGCTTTATGCCTCTCTCCCGTGTCGAAAGCGCCGTGAGTGTCCAACTCAAGCCGAGCCTGCAGCACTCTCGGTGAATTCACCGAATTCGGTTGCTGTGATGGATTCCGTATGACCGCTTTATCTGCCCGGCGTGATGCGCAAAGCCCCGACAACTGTGCCGCGTTGTCGGCCCCACTCCCGGAGAAGGGTAGAACGGCGAAGGTACCGCAGCCAGTATACTAGTACGGCGCGCATTGCCAGCCCGCGGGGGTACATGCACATGGTGTGTACCGAGGCCCGAAGGTTGTCGGGGAAACTGTGCGGCGCTGTGGACATACCTGTGTTCCCAGGCGGGTGGCCCAATCTGGCTGAAGAAAGCCCGCAGTTTTGGCCCCGTTTGGCGTCCCGTCTCCATCGGTGAACCCGCTGACTTTGGGGGGATCACGGCTTCGACGCTCTCGACCCGCCACCACGCCCACGGTGTCACGGTCAACCTCCCATCTTTCTGTGACAGCGCCGTGACGGCTGGCAGAGTTCTTGGCGACCCACCGCAATCATTCCTCCGATGTTCAGACTCCGCGCGGCAGAAACTGGGGTATGGACCGCCCTCAGCCAATCCGCTATCAGCGTTTGACAGGCCGACGTGCGCCGTGGCATTTCGGACTAAAATTGGGTCAGGATTCTCTGTTACGTTCTTGATACAAACAGGAACAAATAGAAAGATGTTATATGGCGGCACAAGGTACCCTCCCAAGGTCTTTCCTCAACCCCTCTCATCCTCGACTGTTGTCCACATCCTGCAGTCCTCCCCCTTGACGCCCTTTGCATTACACATCACTCCCTTTTACAATGGCTGTCAAGCGCAAGTTCTCTGACGAGTTCGACGATGTCGTCCGTACCGTACGTCACATGCACATCGCATATAGCCACATCACGTGCCTTACTTCTCGTCCTACAGAACGGGAAGCAGCAGAAGCTCATCCCCTTCCCCAACTCCTCCACCGAGCTCGACTCCGACGTAGCTATGTCCGACGCCTCCATGTCCGACCTTGAGCCTCTGTCCATCCCTGCTCACCACTTCCACACACGACTACCCTCTGATGCCAGTTCTGCGTCTTCATCGACGTCACACTCGCCTCAAAACTCCCGTGAGTATTGCGCCTGTCAGGACGCGTTGCGCGTAGCGTGTTTTGAACGACGTATATTTCTGTTTGCTCAGCTTTCTATCCAGTCTTCGACCTTTACCCCAGCGACACCGACAGCTACATGGGCATTGCTGCCCATGGCTTTCCCGACCCAACCTTGCAGGCCCCTCAAAAGCCTGTCGGCCTCATTCAGCCGAAGGGCAATGGTTTCACACATCACGGGTATGTTCTCCGAACTTGTTTGCAGGTGGTTGTGCCTTGACAAGGCTGACATTGCATTCGTTACTAGCCAAAACTGCAATCAAATACCGAAACTTCGCATGGCGTGTTCCGCGGGCCCGAATGGGCGAAGGTCGATGTGGGCTCACTGTGAAGAATGCGGCGCGATTGAAATTGTCGACAGCGATTAGTCCGGCCTCGACTACGAACAACTCGGCTTCGACTGCGGCTCATCAACCTTTTCCGACGCCGAAACGTTTTCACCAATTCGTCATCGACTATTCAGGTTTCGGCATCGTCCTTCGACTGGAACAATCGTGAGATTTTCTATCTGTTTTTCCCTCCATCTGCTCTGCTTGTACTACTGCTCTGGCGACTCTCCGACCTGCGACACCTCCCCGACATCCCCCATCGCCATCCGACATCTTGACTTCGGTAAAACAACAAGTGACATCGACCAATCAATACTGCTCTCCTCCCCTACACCTCACCGCCTTCCGACATCCTCGCCGCCCAGACTGGTCTTTGTCCTTGTTCGTCTCGGTTATCACTTGCTCTGTTTCATCAACTTCGCATTCGTTCCTTCGCATTTCTTTTGCCTCTGCTCAAATCATCGATGTATTTATGTGTTGTTGTCTCGGGATGGACTAGTCACCAAGCCAGAAAAGCCCATATGTTATTCTACTGCTCCCACATCGCATCGCACGTACCCTAGATTTGCCTTCGTTGTGTATAATATCGTGCTCTCCGAAAGTCTTTGATCTCAGCGTGTCTTGTGTTGTCGTGTGACATGATGAGGGTGGCCACCTATATGGCCGCAGCTTCGCAGATGTTCGCACCAATGTCGTGTCCCACGCACTGGTATCTTGCCGTCAGGTGCGTGCCGTGGGCAAGAACCGAGCATTAGGCTTCCACATGCTAGGTAATGACGGGTGATTCCATATCGCAGTTGAATGGGCTGCGCATGGTACCACAGTGGGTTTATCGGTTGCTGTCACTCGGTGTCTGCGGGCGAAGCGCGGTGGGCGGTTGTCGGGCGAGCGTCCACCTGCAGGGCGTATCCGGATGTTAGGATACACTGGCTGTCAACGGAAATTTCTGGTGGCTTTAGACAGCCTCATGCGATATCCAGGTAGTGTAGTCACCTACTATGTAGGTACGTCGCAGATGCATACTGCACATTCCGACCCTTCGGGTCCAGAGTCCGGGCTTCGGCAGCTGCCGCGTTTGTCGACTGGTCCTCGTGAGTGATCTTACTCTCTTTGTCTCTCTTGCACAATGCCCCACGTGTGGCGTCTCCCAGACCATGCAGGGATTGTCCCAGCTTCAACATCCGGGCAGTTGGCAGCAGCGGGGATACGTTATAGCCCGCATGTATGGTTGAGTTCATTCAACCCGTCCAAAAGACTACGTTGACGCGGTGATTGCCAGGCTCTTGCGCGCCAGCCCCGCTGCAATTCACGGAGCTATGATAGCCAATCATAGCGATATGCCACTTTGAAACAGATAGACTCAAAGACGAGGGGCCATCCGGCATCCGTCCGAGGCCCTGCCGGGGTCCCGCCCACGTCTCGATTGTGCGTATCCGTCCTACAGGCTTGTAGTTTCGTGACCTTCCATTGATTGCGAGTGCAGGTACGGTCTGGACGGTCGTGATGGTGAGTTACTATGTGGGGTCTGTGCGGACGAGAGGCATGTCCCGTACGATCGATTAGCAAGGAAGGCGCTTGTACTCGCCAATCCGGTCGAGCCCTCCTGCATGGTGAGCAGACGAACGTTTTGCGCAGAACCGTAAGAATCTGACTGATCGCTCGACAGTCTATGTGCACTCCAGCAAATTGTACACATGCTGATGCCGCGTCGCTAAATCAATCGCCTGGTGGTCCTGCCTAGTCTAGGTGTGTTCGCAATCCGCCGCATCCAGCCCCAGGCTGAACAGGCCCGTCGCCGTGCGTAGAGCGCTCATTTTCGCATGCGCCTGGTTCGCCTTCTATCGGCAAGAACAAGCCGTCAAATTAAGCCTGAGTAGATGCGCCATTTGGAAGCAGGCACTAGGCAGGTTCGTCGGGTATGGCCTTCCAGCGCTATGTTAGTACGACTGGTTTACGTATCTTCCATGATCATGGCCCTCGGATGGTAGCAGTGACTCTACCACATTGGTCGTGCTCTGCAGATATGCGTATCATGAGGGTAAGCCTATGCCTCGCATGCGTGCGTCTGTCTTGCTTATGAATACCTGCTCTCATCAGGGAGTTTCGTGAGAATTCGTTCCATATGCGAGGCGCTTGAACGCGAGTCCGGCACTGTGACTACCTGGGCGCGACGGGCTGCTTGGCCGAAGACTCGACATCGCTTTCACCAGACACAGCCAATGCCAATGCTGGCAGGTCGTCAATGTCCCCGTTAGACGGATCTATGTGTGCGCTCTGGCCTATCGCCTCTCTCATTGTCATCCTGCCATTCATCCACTGCGAGACGTTGTAACTTGTGCGACCATTCAGTACATCAGGCCTTTCGTCCCCGATGGTGAGCTCAATACGCTCGGTACCTGTTTTACGACCTTCGTGGGCTCACAAGACTGCGTCATTTATAGATACTACGAATTCTACCTACGGCTATACCGATTCATGAAAGCCATAGGTGGCGACTACGACGATTTCCGGAGGGTGATTCAGCGCCTATCTCGCAATGTGGTTGAGACGTTTGTGTACGAAGACACCCTTCCACATCCACCTCCGACGGTCTTGAAGCTCAGCCTTGAAAAGATGTTAGTCTTAGGGAGAGTGGATCGTGGACTGATCGCGCGGGACGGTTTAGACACCATGCTGGCGTTGAAAAGCCTACCGCCTCGGTTTCTTCCGAGAACTCTGGATGAGCGGCAGGGCAGACCGTGGCGGAAGAGAGGTCGGATGTGGGGACGCACATGATATGTCAAGCGCCTGGGAGACCACCCACGCGACGGACGTGTCGATCGTGGGGCTGCGGGGCGGGAACCCATTCCGTGCCAGTGAGTCTGATCATGCGAGCCTTCTTGCGTGCCAATTCCTGACCACGGCATTTGTGCCTTCTCAGCTCAGTAGGTGTCTTGGGATCGGGTCTTGCAGACGTATAATGGGTATGCTGATCAAATGAGAATGCTGGAGCTGGTACCAGCCCCTGCCCGTAGTGCATGACCAATTGGTGACTTTCTTTTAGCCTAATCCTTAGTTGCTGCGCAGCGCCGACTCACCAGCGTTGAACTTGGCACGTCTCACTTACTGAAACTGCTTGTTCAATCACAAGGTCAAGATACTGCTAAGGCCTCGTCTTCTGTAATGACTGGCGGCGCCCGGCGAAGCGGAGGAACCCACAGCGTGCCGTCGAAAACTCGTATTGGGAGCGCAGCATCGAGAAGTCGCGAAGAATCAATTAGTATCAAAGACGGATTGCTCCCGCGAGGCCCGTGTCAATCCTTCATCAAGGTTCTTGTCCGCGATGCTCCAGACCGTTCCCATATGAGGCTGGAGAAGCCCATCTTTCACAAGATGTCTGGCTCATTCTGCGGCATTCCCAGGCTTAAACTGGTGCGTTCGGGGTACCGTATGCTGTTTACAGACTATACTAGACCGCCTGCCGATGCTCCTTTGCTAGGAGGTATGCGCCCTCAGGGCAAGGAGTCTCGTAGGGTCCGATGTTCAGATACATGCAGCCTATCGGGGGCTTCACTACAAGAGGTCTAAGTATTGTTCCAGTCAGCTGCGTGCTGCTGACAGGAGATATTTCACACCACCTTCCACTTTTAAGTCAACGCGGTGCCGCGCTCGTCGGAGCGTGCACCCTAGCTTGCGTATATAAGTCTCTTTGGTTACATGGACCGAAGTCGCTTGATGACCTCTTCCAAGAACCTCTTGTTTGATGGCCAATACTTCAGGACTACACATCTTCGCCGACTCTGGCGTCCCCACAGACACTGCTGATCACACCACCCTAGTCATACTACACGGCAGCACAATCCATAGTGGTAGGTCCACGCTCTGCTGCAGGTCCGTCTTACTGACATTATATGATTCCGCAGGAAATTTCACACGTCTGCTGCCCCTGGGAAAGGCTCGCCATGCCCGGATCGTCCTCGTCAACCGCCGCGACTACCCTGGGGCCGTACCGTACACAGAGTCGGAGCAGTTATTGCTCTCAGATGCACATTCAGATGACGAGGTCATCAAGAGTAACCTCGCTCTCTTCATGAAACAACGCGCGCAAGAACTACTCGGATTCCTAGTGGAGCTTGTACAAGCGGGAGGCGTGACGCCAGCTGAGCCCATACGGAACAAGGGTGGGATCGTCGTCGCGGGCTGGTCCTTGGGACAGGCGTGGATGACTGCTTTACTTGCCCCCGCTTCTTCTTCCCCTGCCAGCAGTCGTCTGCGCGAGTACATCAGGCGCGTTGTTCTATACGGTGAGCATACCTAGCAAGCTTCCTAATCGGTTTGATTCCTCAAGTGGTCACGACATCCAGACCCGCCCAGCTTTCTGTTTGGTTACCCGCGACCGTCGGATCCATACGACCCATTCCTGCAGTCTGCTGCCGAGTATGGAGATCCCCAGAAGATTTTGGATTGGGTCAGTGGCTACTTCGATCATGGCCCCACGGTCGACACCCTCGTGCGACGCATTCCCTCAACGTCCCCCACGCCAACGCTCCGGACTATACCGCTCGAGGAGCTCCCGAGGATGGTGCATCCACCTCCCGGTCAAGATGGGGGCTCTGACCACTTGCTCGTCGTGAACGGTCATCGAGTGGGCTTCTTCGGGGGCTTTTGGCAGGACGCTCTCCGTGTCTCTCCCGAGTCGACGGAAGACGCCTCGGAGGAGTGGCGCGACGTTGAAGTCCGACTGGTCTACTGCGACCGTTCGACTTGGGAGTGTGTGCATGCTGCGTGGCATACGGAAATCGAGCAGGAGGAGGCACAGAAGACTGGGCTTCCTATCAGGAAGTTGTTCCTTACACGCATACGAGGAGGGAACCACTTCGTGAGTGCTGAGCAGTCTTGTGCACTTGTATGCTGATGGCTGTTACAGGTGCATTGGGACTATCCAGAGGAGACCTTAGTCTCAATGCTTGACGAAGAAGCAGTGGTCACTGTGGGAAGCAGGCTTGCTTAGCGTCTACATATCCAGTGAGCAGCCAAGTCGAGATCTCCTGCTTCCCATAGATAGATCTTGACGATTATCTCGCTTTTTGGGTGGGGGGATTGTGCGGTGATGCCATCTGAGTTTTCGCATAACCGCCTGGGCAGAGGGGCATCGCGTTCCGGAGTGAAAACAGCGTAGAGCAGATAGGAGGTTGCTGTGAGTGACGGATGGTTGTTATAGCCACAAGCAACCTGTCGCGACCTGCAGATGAATCGCTAACGCGCTGGAGCGCTACCCATATTTTTCCCATGTGTGCTTTGCGGGGCCCGCGCCGTGCTGTCTGGGGTCCTCGAACATTCCCAGCACTGACGCGGACGGATTAGAAGGTTCGTCTACCGACTCTACCGCTCGACACGCTATCGCCACCATTCAACATCACCGAATACGCCAGTTCCCAGTATCACACATCAGACTATGCGCATACATTTTATAGTCTTACCATCAGGCAAGGAGCACAGACTCCTGTTTCACGATCGATTCTCACAAGCATAGCCCCTTCGCCCCATACCAGTCACCTGCCGTTTATTGTCATGAAAGACATAGCCGGAGTCACCATGCTGCGCACAATTGGTGCACAAGTACACCTTTTTGTGTAAGCGACTGCTTCGCACGTACACACAACCGCTGCGCTTGCCCTGCCACTCTACCGACAGCAGCACACAGCATTCTTTAGTGAATGCCCTCGCCACATAATAGGTCCGAATACGACGTCCCTCACATCACCTCGACTCTACCGGACGTACTATCACGTTTTCCTCCTCCCTATCGACGAACATGCTTGCTCTAGCGCAGAAAATGTCCTCTCAATGCCTGGTGAGTGTCCGCAGTGTCCTCCACGCCCTGTCACCGAGTCCTCAGTCTTCACTAGGATCCCAAGGAACACGATCCCTGCATTTCGAACGACTTGCAGACAGTCAATAGTGGAAATCGCCACAATTCGGATACCACGGTAGTACAAGTTGGATCGCTGGCGCCACAATCCACAATGGACACCCTGCAGACACCAGGACCTGAGTCCGGATGCGGTGACCATGTGAAGACCACAGATTCCGAAAGTGCAGTCGGAAGGGACGGTATACACGATTTGACGACCGATTCCTCGATGGCAAGCAGGACTAGGTACGACAGCGCAACAGAGCCATCTCCTCGTCCCGAGAGCCCGGACGAGTTCTGGCCAAGATACGGTGGCTGGCATAGTAGCTCAGGCTATCGCTGCAACGCCTGTCTATGTACGTATCCCTACAACGCTTACGATGTTTTTTAGACTGACCGATGCGATGTGGTGCGCAGTTGTCCAAGGAAGGCGATGTCTAGGTAGCAGAGAGAAGCAATGTCCCTATCTCGTGCATGCGCTCAAGATAGATCGGGAAAAGGTTGAAGGGCTGCCACTCACCGGGTCGGATGACGACTCTTCAGATGTAGAAGTTGAGGCTCGCCCTACATGACTGGCGTCGCTGCAGTTTGGACCAGCGAGCTCTCTTAGCTGAGTTACCCTGTACGCTGCTCATATTCCCACAATTGCTGTTGCAATCTCATACCATGTTACAAGCTCGATGACCCAGTCTGATAGAGACCGTTGAGTCTACAGAATCTTTCCGAGTGAACAGTATGCGGAGGTACCACTCCCACGCCAGCCGCGCACGTATATTGGTCTCTGTTCGTTAGCCGATCCTAGTAGCCTTTGGTCGTGTATCGAAAGGGCCAGGTGCAGAAGATCTCTGTGGCATGGAATGACGCCGCTCCAGCTGGTGTATGCGCAGCCATCACGTTGCTCTGGTCCTATGGAGAGGCCTCACATTTCGATACACTGCCAAGCGAACGCGTGCTACCTTCAACAGAAGGCGAGTCGCTCCTGGTTCAAAATGCATTGCGTTGCGTGTCAAACGCGTGTTTCATTTCTGCATAACGCTTCAAGTTATGTTTGTGAACACCTATACCATCTCACGCTAGCTGCACTTGTGATAAACAGGGGGTAACAACGGGGGCTGTTCTCCAGTAAGTATGTACTTACGACACGCTCACAAAGGGCATAGCGGCAGACGATGGAGATGATTTTCGGCACCGTACAACTACTTTGGACAGGACTTAGTACGGTAGACCCGACATCGACGTTGCAGCTTCCGTGCGCGTGACACGTCAGCGAGCTGCCTGGCAAGCGCCGCTGTCCGCATGAGGCTACGGTGACGCCCTAGCGACTTGCAAGTTGTCCATAGCTGCTGCACTAGCATGCCGTGCTCGGTAGATGGGCCTGTTACAGCCTTCAAAAGGGAGAATGAGAGGGAGTAGCATCACAGGTCTAAGATCTACCTATACATTCCAGGGGAAATCGGATGAAGGATCGGCCATACGGTTGAGTTCTCAGAAGTCCTAGAGGCACCCTATACTTAGGTAAGCTTGTTCGCTCGCTATCACGCTTGCATGGCACTAGCACTGACAGATGGCCACATACACCAACTATATCCAGAACACCGAAGCTCTCAAAAGCGGCTCGATGCCTTTGCGTGGAGCAACCCCACTCATTGAGTGCCAATACGCTCTTTTCATCCCATGCAGCACGCCCGCCATAGCGATCCATTCGGACACTACTTATATCGTACATCCACATGCCATCTGACTTCTGCTACTATGACACCCTTCAATCCAAACAGGCCGTGAGCTTCATGTCAGTATCCCAATTTTCAACGCTTCTTCCTTGTGGCAGGGCCCTAACTTATCGATTCGCTCCCATGCTGTGCACCATCCGGCACTAGATGTTAGCACCTTCGTCCAGCAAGCAATCGCGCCCATAGGCAGACAATCGCGCGAAAGTTGGATACATACGCGGCATGCCCAGGAGCAGCTCACGTCTCCTCAGTTACATCAGTACACCCAAGTCGGACCTGACTATACTTTTCGGCATGCAGCTCGTGGGATTGAAGTAGGTTGCGTTCGGACTAACAATAAGACCTGGGCCACCCTTGAGGCAGCCGGGTTCTTGTCTATCGCCGGCGAGACAAGACTCTTTGAACGTGATCGGAGCATCGTTTGGGCGGCAATGCCGGCGTGCGTCCACCCATCTCCTCGGACTGAGGCTGTTTGAAGTGAATCTGATACCACGTTTTGAACAAGGACAGCGCAACTGCGCTGCCATGCCCGGCTTTCTGGCACGCGCCACAGATCTGCTTTTCACCGATGGGCATGGTTTGGGCCGAGCATCACTGAACTCCAGGTCCGGAACTTGTATCCGATGGAGTACTTAATCCTCCGGGTACAGATGAAAACCGCATCTATATCTCCCTATGACGAGCGCATCAGGTCTACATATTCTCTCTGACTCTCGCGCCCCAGGCGGGAGCACGGATTACACTACCCTCGTACTGTTACATGGCAACACGATCCATGGCGGTGAGTGGGCCACGTTCTCGCCGTCCTCTTACTCCATTTCTCATCTTCCTTGCTCGCTCCAGGGACATTCGTCCGCCTTCTGCCACATGCAGCGACCCACAACGCACGGATCGTCCTCGTGAATCGCCGCGACTATCCAGGAGCTACGCCCTACGCTCCCGAAGAGCGAATCTTGCTCGAGGGATGGTCCTTGCGGAAGTACGACGTACAGACCGTGAAGGACAACATGGCACTCTTCATGCGGCATCGTGCCGAAGAGCTCCTGACGCTCCTCGAGGAGCTCGTTAGGGACGGCTCTGTCACGCGGGTATCCTCGAGTCGAACCAGTGGGGGCATCGTCGTCGCGGGCTGGTCACTCGGCATCGTCTGGATGTCCGCGCTCCTCGCGCACATCTCTTCGTCGCCCCGGGCCGCGCAGCTGAAGCCCTATTTGCGCCGGGTCGTCATGTACGGTGCGTCCCTCACCATCACCCCCTTCCCCGCCGCTCGCGCTCGCGCTCTGACATACCTCTGTCTCTGCAAGACCCCGGCAGCTTCATGTTCAACTACCCTCGCCCCGACGACCCATACGAGCCCTTCCTGGAGCCCGAAGCGCAAGAAAGCAGCGCGGACCTCCTCGACTGGGTCAGCGGCTACTTCGCGCACGGCGCCACCGTCGACGCGCTTGAGCGGCGAGAGCCGATGCGCTACCCCCTCTCCAGCCTCCGCAACGTCACGCTCGAGGACCTCGAGAAGATGATATGCGCGACCCCGGGCCAGATCGGCGGGACGGACCAGATGCTCGTAGTTGGGGGGCACAACTCCGGCTTCTTCGGCGAGCTGTGGAAGCGGGCACTAGAGCTCTCGCCGACCGAGAACTTGAACGAGAGCGCGAACGCGAATGACGGGTGGCACGGGCTCGGCCTCCATATCGTATGGTGCGACCGGTCCGTCTGGGAGTGCGTGCATGGGGTTTGGGGTGTGCAGGCTGAGGTGGCCGAGGCGCGAGAGAAGGGCCGCGCGGTGAGGGACGTGACGTTCACCAGGATAGAGGGTGGGAACCATTTCGTGAGTGGCGTCTTTTTCTCGAGGGTCTTGCTGTTGTCGCTCCTGCGGTATTACTGATGTCGTTCGTGTTCAGGCGCACTGGGATTACCCTAAGGAGACATTGGCAGCAATGCTACGGAATGACGAGAGGCTGGCCGTTGGAGTGCTTGGATGACTTGGGGTCTATGGACCGAATGACATCTTCTCCTAGGCATTGGTCGCATCCGGTAAATATTCATTTGTATTAGTGTACGCTAAGTCCACATTCAACTAGCCCCTGCCACACCAGAACTTCAGGCTCAGGTCTAGAGAGTCATGGAGGCGCCCTGGCCTATTCTCGGGTGAGCATGGAGTGCCGGTCCGGTCTTTGCCGGCTTGCCGGCTGCATGGCAAGACAAGGTTGCTACGTCGAAATCCTGCAGGTTTGCCATGCAACGTGGAAGTGGCGTCAGTACTTACCAGCCATTCGAAGCCCTCCAATTCTCGACGATCACGCATCATACCCATTGTTCCCCGGTACAACGCCATAGGCCGGCCCGCCGCCCTTGCCAAACATCTTGGTTCCCTCCGACAGGACGCTACTCTGAACATGTTAGCTGCGGCTCTCTCAATCCACAGACCCACCATGTCAGCCGGTGGACGGTCGGACTTCGTGGCCAAGCTCAGCGCATGAGTAAGCTACAAGTAAGCAACGGTTTCTGCATAGCAAATTGACTCACGTTCTCTTAGATGCGAGAAACCGTAAGGAGCGCATACATTCAACCGATATCTTTCGACCGATTTTCTGCTACTTATACGTGAGTGTCCGACTTTCTAGCTAGTTGCAATGCTGGTCAGCGCGGGCCGTTTTGCACCGGCGGATTTGCACCGACAGTCTCGTCGCCCACTGGATTGTGGGCACATCGTCCCTGCTATTGGCAGCGAAAGCGCGCGGTCGGCCACGCAACGCGACGATAGACTTGCCTTTGTTGCACTCCTCACGTAGTCACCCGGCCTATCTCGCCCGCGAAAATGGTGCTGGGCCCAGCGGCGAGTTTGACGCAAGTATTTTGCTCCCGCGAGCACTCGGAATGCCCCTTCAAGAGCACCTCGCCGGCATCTCAACTTAGCTCGTCTTGTCACCGCGCAGGAATCAAGCAAACGGATGCCCGACGGAGGATTCCGCGGGCACGGGCGGGCATCAAGGCCCCGTTCCCCAAATCGTCCACCGACGCTCAGGCCGATTCCGATGAGCGGCGCACAATCACGAGACCCTGAACTCAGATAGGGATGAGAAGCGGGCCTGCGCGGAGTGGCGCAGCAGCGCTACGCTCCGCGACTCTGCGCGTGCCTTCAATCCGACTCAGGTACTCCGAGGTAATCGCGGGCTTCGATCGTAACTTTGCCTCCGACAAACAGCGTCGCGCCCTGGTGCGCGTTCCCTTGGCCGCCGAGGGGCGATCGAGTTTGTTATGTAGCGCGACCGTCTTGACTTTGCCGGCGGCGAGTTGGTCGACGTCGGCCCCCCGTTCACATGACAGTGTTAGTTCCTCTTCTCAGATCACCGGGCACAGCCACGCTAATACATGTGTAGTAGATGGGTGAATGGTGAATCTGAGGAGCGTGCATATCGACTAGCGATTGAATCTGCGCGGTTGCCGTGCCCATCGTCGGCCGCCGTACTCGACCGTAACTTCTGCTCAGAAATCCATCGCCACCTGGCCACGTTACCGAGAGCAGGCGAGTTCGATTCTCGTCCACTTTGCCCATGATTTGAATTCGCTCGGGCTTCTGTGCGATCTGCTCCTCCTAGTGAGGTTCCGCAGCGAAAGACACGTACAACGATTGATAGTAGAACATGTTCTCCGTCGCGATGCGTGTCCTGACGTCTTAACGCTGCGCTATCTGTAGCTTCACATTGTTCTCGCGAGCTTGTCCTGGTGGCCCGATGCGGGCAGAGCGATCCAACGCTCGATCAGTCACAATTATGGCCACCAAACCATAACATCGTACGCCCAACCCTGAGGCGGTCCATCTCTTGACACACAGAACCACCTCTTCGGGCTCACCTTTTCGCACTCAATCTCAGCTGATCCACGGATGCGCTGCAGCAGCAAACACGATAGGTGGCGAGCGACGTAAACGGCATAGGCGTGGGGGAAGCTACTTCATGTACGCACAAGGCTTCTATCTCGCACGTAATGTACGTACTCTCGAGGGCCTTCCCATGACTTTGACTGACCGCAGGCGCAACGCGGCGACGATAGCTATAGAAAATTAAACTTTATGCTGCACACGTTCGTTCTCTCCCGCGACCCCGACGGAGGGTAAGGAGTGGCGCTCTTCCGTTGCACAGATGCCTTTATCCCGATCCTAAAGATGAGGCGGTCTCTGTGATAAGTCCGGCGGTCCGAACGGCGTCGGACGCCATAGACAGCTCAAGAATGCATCGCAGGGATGCGATGTGAGTGTTACGGCGCTGCACGTTCCGACGCATGAGAATTTGTCGTGTCTAAAACCTGCCATTCTGCATCCTGGGCGTGCCGCCAGCAACGGCCTCCCTGGCCACCGCCGGCCATCTATCTCGTGCCGTCTCCATTCTGCGCCCGTCGGGGATATCGGATACACGCCAAAGCATGCCGCGAGCCTGCGGGAGACCGCTACTGACCAGGTCAATTGTGTTATCAGTCATCTCACCGTGGACGAGCGTGACGTACGCGGTACACCGAGTGTCCACTGTCCTGGACAAGACGCCCAAAATGTCCTCGGAAACCCTTGACGTCATACTATCCCCGCTGGAGGTCAGGACGGTTGCTCTGAACTGCCAAGCGATGTCTCGATTTCTCACAAGGGCGCGCGATTTGCATCGAGCAAGACCCGAGGCTGCTACATACATTATGCGCTTGTTGGGAGGTTTGCGATATGACATCATTCCGCTAGCCTTCCTGAAGCCCTACGAAGCTGCTAATACGGTCGATTCCCGTAAGGCTCTCGCATGCATGTGATATCTGCGTACAGCGCGTGAAGATATCCGGACGCGATCAAACTTTTGTTTGTTTTGCAGGTCTAATCTCCATTGAGAAATGCCGTGAGGCCTTGATGCAGCAAGTAGTTTTACACGCGCATCGATCCTCTTACGAAACCTCGGTGCGCAGTGGCACGCTAAACGATGTATCTGACCCCTTCCGTCCTTTGATCCTGCCATGAAGGTTTAGCCTCATCGACGCAGGAGCGGAAAAGAGATGTCCACGCAGCGCCTATGGGGCGGAAACCGGGGCCGACCTGCCGAACCTCGTTGTGTGCAAATCCGGACGATCGGCCCCGGGGTAGGACGTCGTCTACCTTGCGGTGCCACAACGTCGGTAAGCCTGCAGGGCGTACGGGGCGCATCATTAACACGCAGCAAGCTCCGAGAGATCGAGAGGAAGCTTTGTTTCGTCGCTGTCCATCACCGAAATGCACTGACGGGCTTCAGCTGACCCCACATTCAGGAACGGGAGGACGATCCTCTGGCGGGACGATCAAGGAAAGATTGAGCCTGCGACGAGCTGAGGATAGCTAAGCGAGAGGCGAGCGTGCTTGATCAGTCTCGTGCTGACCACAGTGAGAGCAGCCGAAGGTGCGTTCACACTGCCAAGCAAGGTTTATTGCAGACGGACGCGTCGCGCAGCGGCCTGTACATACACGAGCGCGGAAGCGAGACGAGTGTTGCCTCGTCCTGGAGAGCCGTCGAGGATCGTAGCAGGAACGGGAGCGTAAACGGAAGAAGCAGACAGGAGCGTGTGCCACCAAGGATGGTTGTGGCCACAGCGGCTGTGCGCATGCCGGGCGACGGGGATGGGTATGGAAGTGTTCAGCCGCCGGTCATTAGTACCCCAGATCAGACGATGTCTCGCCACCGCTTAACGTTACGGAAGTAGTAGGAAGCTCTGCCAGAGTGGTGCAGAGTGCCTGGCAGACGCAAGCGTCGAGTATGCGAGAGGACACAAACGACGAGAAGGCAGAGAAGTTCGCGGCTGGGGAGGGCGGGGGCGGGGGCGGGGGCGGGGGCGGGGGAGCGGGAAGCGGGGAATCAGGGCGAGGGCTTAGCCGGCGGGGAGAGACGCCTGCCGTGATCGGTTACAGCTCCCAACGCGATCAGCCTGCGCGCCGCGACATCCGGAATCGGCAGCGAGTGTCGTTCGCCAGAGTGGAGTTTCACGGCGCCTTCTGATGCTCGCCCGTACCCAGAAATTTATATAAACGCGGACCCCACTCCTCCTTCCCCTTCCTTCCCTCTCCTCCTGCCGTCGTCCTTTGTTCTCGGACGCGCTCAGTCGAGACCGGATCCCCTTCTCCTCCTCCTCCCCGCCGACGCTAACGACTATCCTCGACACGCCCGCCACCATGTCTATTGAGAACGAGAAAGCTGACGACAAGCGCGTCGAGTCCGTCTCCGACGTCGCTTACGACAAGGAGGTTAAGCATATCGACAACACCACGGCGAACGTCAAGCTCGCCAACCCCCTCACCGGCATTCCCCATGACCAACTTATGGAGGACGGGGCGACATTCGCCAAAACTCACGGCCTTGGTCACCTCGAGGAAGAGTTCAGGAAGGGTGCCCTCGTCGCCCAGGACCCCACCGTCTTCGAGTCTCTTCCCCTGCTCACCGAAGAAGACAAGGCGGTCCTTCGTCGCGAGCTCACCCACCGATGGGCGCAGCCTGTCCAGCTCTACTATCTGGTCATCCTATGCTCGCTTTCCGCTGCCGTTCAGGGTGTAAGTCTTGCGCAACAAAGTCTATCCACCCCCATCAACGGACTAACCGCTTTCGGCAGATGGACGAGTCCGTTATCAACGGCGCGAACCTGTTTTTCCCAGACCAACTGGGCATTCCCCAGAACGTCAGCAAAAATCAGTGGCTGCTCGGTCTCGTGAATGGCGCTCCCTACGTACGCTACCTTCTTTGCCCCGTCTTATCACACCGCATGTTTCTGACATGCACGTGCCATTTAGCTTTGCTGCGGTCTCGTTGGGTGTTGGCTCTCGACCCCGATGAACAAGTACTTTGGACGTCGGGGAACCATCTTTATCTCCGCGTTCATATCGTTCATCACCTGCATCTGGCAAGGCCTCACTAACACGTGGTGGCACCTGTTCATCGCTCGATTCATCCTCGGTTTCGGCATTGGTCCTAAGTCTGCGACTGTCCCCGTCTATGCCGCTGAGTGTTCTCCGCCCGCCATCCGCGGAGCTCTCGTCATGATGTGGTACGTAGGATTTTTTCCGCGGTTCAAGGGGACGTCGCCTTATGACACCGCGTTAACAGGCAAATGTGGACGGCCTTTGGTATCATGATTGGCACGGTTATGAGCTTGGCGTTCTACCACGTCCCCGACCCGCACAACATCACTGGCCTGAACTGGCGTTTGATGCTCGGTAGTGTCAGTACAGTTCTCCAGCATGCCATTTTTCACCATGTCCTGATCCACTACCTTCCAGGCCGGTGTTCCCGCCTTGATCATCATGACCCAGGTCTTCCTCTGCCCCGAGTCTCCCCGTTGGCTCATCAAGCAGGGTCGGTACGATAAGGCGTATGAGTCCCTTCGTCGCCTGCGCAAGTCCTCGATTCAGGCCGCCCGTGACCTGTACTACATCCACGTCCTGCTCGAAGCCGAGGCCGAGATCCAGACCGGACGGAACCTCTTCATTGAGCTGTTCACCGTCCCCCGCAACCGCCGCGCCACTCTCGCCTCGACCATCGTCATGTTCATGCAGCAGTTCTGCGGTGTCAACGTCATCGCGTACTACTCTTCGAACATCTTCTCGCAGGCGAAGTTCACGAACATCCAGGCCCTCCTCGCGTCGTGGGGGTTCGGCATGCTCAACTGGGTCTTCGCGCTCCCCGCGGTGTACACCATCGACACCTTCGGTCGTCGCAACCTGCTCCTGACCACCTTCCCGCTCATGTCCGTCTTCCTGCTCATGACCGGCTTCGCGTTCTTCATCCCCGAGGAGCACCGCGACGCGCGCATCGCCGTCGTCGCGCTCGGCATCTACCTCTTCACGATGGCGTACTCCCCCGGGGAGGGCCCCGTGCCGTTCACGTACTCCGCGGAGGCGTTCCCGCTGTACATCCGCGACACGGGCATGTCGTACGCGACGTCCGTGCTCTGGTTCTTCAACTTCATCGTCGCGATCACGTTCCCGCGGCTGCTGAGTGCCTTCACGCCGCAGGGCGCGTTCGGGTGGTACGCGGGGTGGAACGCGATCGGGTTCGTGCTCATCCTGCTGTTCCTGCCGGAGACGAAGGCGCTGTCGCTCGAGGAGCTCGACCAGGTGTTCTCCGTGCCGACGCACATCCACGCCGCGTACCAGCTCAAGGCGCTCCCGCACCACATCAAAAAGTATGTGTTCCGCATGAAGGTCAAGCCCCTGCCGCCGCTGTACGAGCACGAGGGCGCGATCGGGGAGAAGCACTACGCGCCTGCCGCGGGCGGGCACTGACCCGCCGTGTACTGTGTACGCGTGTGCTGATCCGCGCGTTGTTGTATTGCATGTGCACTGGTGGATGGTAGTGTGGGATAGCTGCCTGACACTGCGCTAATGTTAACGGTATATCCATGATCGTCATGTTGGTTCTTGTACTGCTGTGTATCATAGTAATGTCATTCTAACCTTTTCATCAACGCAATCCCGATGCGAGCGAATACATCCACAGGGTGCAAATCAGCATTACACGCATCCTGAACATCCTTAGCATCTCCTGCCTTGCCTATGATGAAGCCTATTGGTAGGCATAGAGCTCCATTGTATAAGGATTGTGTCGCGGTACAATCGGGCTTACAGTACCGCTGGTGGGGGACAGTAAAAGGCGCTGACGAGTTGGACATTGGCGTATGTGTGTTTAGACGCCGAAGAGTCGGTAGAGTTAGTTGGTCAGGCGATGTTTCGTCTATCTTGAACTTCGACTACGACCTCCTCTGATGCTTTCGAGTTGCATGCTACTTCTGTAGTATATCTGCGCTGCTGTGACCGGATCGACGACTCTCTATTTGTATGACTAGAACCTGCTCCTGCTTGCGTCATACGAGAAAACCACGGTCCTCCGGAGATACACGAACACGAGCTCGCGGGCTGTAAACCTTGAGGCAAGTACCACCCTGCTCCGTCGACAGGTTATCACGTCGTGCTGACCCTTAGCTCCTCGCTTGTTCCTGCCTGGTGTCGCCCCTGTACTCGGTGGGCTGCTGATCGCGCTCCTGTCGCCGTCACGATGCGCATGAAATCGCTAGTGAACCCTGTTCGCGCGAAGACTCTGCGCAGATACTACGAAACGCCATCGCCAGCCATGACACAGACGACTTCTCTCCAGTACGAGGCCCCCTGTGAGTGCACATCAATTCCAAATCTGCTCAAGAGACATAAGCTCACCCCGTCTCTTGTTCTCTCCGTCCGATCGCCTTTGGCTCGCCTCGATCTGCATCTCTGCAACATGCGCACCTCTCCCCTTCGCGCACCGTGACCCGCGATCTCCCTCACTCGGGTCCACATTCCCCCTCGCACCCACGCAGGGCCCGTATACGCCCTCGACTGGTGCAAATCCTCGGCCCCAGGCCAGCAGATGCGCCCGCGCTCCGCCTTCCGGCTCGGCATCGCCTCCCTCACGTCCGACTACCGCAACCGGATCGCGATCGTCGGCCTGCAGGACGAGCGCGTGCTCGTCGAGGACGACGACTACGGCGACTACCCGGACTTCGTGACGCTCGTCGAGGCGCAGCACGGGTATCCCGCGACGCGCCTGCAGTGGCAGCCGGGCACGGCGAACAGCTTCGCGTGGAGCCAGAAGGCGGCGAGCGCGGAGCTGCTCGCGACGACGGGCGACGCGCTGCGCGTGTGGGAGTACGCGAGCGACGGGCCCGCGGCGGGGAGTGCGTATGTGGGGCGGCAGTCTAGCGGAGGCGGGCATAGGTTGACGTTGAAGACGGCGTTGTCTGGGGTGAGTGATGTGTCTTTTTTTGCCTTGTGCTTTGCTGGTGCTCCGGATTGGAATCAGAGTGCTTGAAGGTAGTCTCCGCTATCTGGGTGGGAGACTCTGTTCGACCAGTTTGTGCTGGGGCATATACTGTTCCCATCGCGGCGTCTGGTCGTTCATGACTCTGCATAGTCGTGTTCCTGCGCATATGCCGTCTCTGCTGGTCAGTACGGAGGGAATAGGCAGCGGGCTAGCTTGTGATTCTGTTTTCAAAGGTGTTTTGTTGCCTCGCCGCTCGGATCGCTCGTTGTGCTCCCCGGTCAACTGAGAGGACGTTGGGGAGACTTCTATCACCTTGCCAGTATGAGATCTTGTAACGCGATCTTCCCCTCGATCCTCCAGACGTCGATCAATGTGACCCAGTGTTCTGACCATCATCTCATCGCAGCAAAGCAAAGTCCAGAACAACAACACCGGCGCACCCTTGACGAGCTTCTCATGGAACGAGAAGTCCCCAAGTCTTGTCGTCACGTCCTCTATCGACACAACCTGCACCGTTTGGAACATCGACACGTCCACGGCGATCACACAGCTCATCGCTCACGATCGCGAGGTGTACGATGTAGCCTGGCTTCCCGGCTCCACAGACATCTTCGTCTCCGTCGGTGCCGATGGCTCTCTACGCGCGTTCGACCTGCGAAGTCTCGAACACTCCACCATCCTCTACGAGACTCCGGCCCCGAAGAATGTCCCCCCTCCGTCTACATCGCCGTCCTCGACCGCACGTCCGCCGACTTCACCACTACTTAGGATAGCGTTCAACCCCGCCGACTCGAACTACATGTCGACCTTCCACATGGACGGCTCTGACATACAAATCTTGGATATGCGGAGTCCAGGACAGCCTGTAATGGAGCTTCGGGCTCACCGTGCGCAAATTAATGCTCTGGGGTGGAGTTCATCCGAGTCGCAGCTGCTCGGTACAGTCGGTGTGTAACCCCATCATCCACATCTCCGCCACCTCACTCACCCGCTGACCCCCCACACGCAGCCGACGACTGCCAGCTCCTCCTCTGGGACATCGCGCCGTACACACAGAGCACCGCCGCGTCGCCGCGCCACGCGTCCACGGGCCTCAGCTCTCCGCGCCCGGACGTGAAGAAGCGGGTGATCACCGACCCGGTGATGGCGTACACGGGCGCGAGCGAGATCGTGAACATGGCGTGGTCGCCGCAGATCGCGGGCATGTCCATGAACACGGGCCACTCGACCGCGCCCGGGGAGTGGATTGCGATCGCGATGGGCAAGTCTATCAAGGCGCTCAAGGTCTGACGAGAGGTCGTAGCGTCCTATTGGGACCAAGCGAGATCGTTGCTAGCATCATGGCACATCGAGTTCGGGTGGAGGGAGGGGCTGGGGAGGTGTCCTCTTCATCACAAGGGCGGCGCACAGAAGCTCCAGTGCGTCGTTGAATTTGTGCTGCTGGTCGTTATTGGAAAAGGTGGCGCATGGCGTGTTTCGCGCGAACCTGGACTCTGATTTGAGGATTCGGACGGACAGCGGCCGGCTGTACCGGATTGTAGAGGAATGCTTCACCTGACATACACACCTCCGGAGGGACCCTGGGCATTGTCCGCTGTCGGTCAGTGACACCCGGCCCGCGGAGTGGCGGGTGGTTCTACGAGAGGAAACGTTGTATTGGCTATCGGGTCACGTCCCCAAGCGCAGCGCACCCAGACTGCAATAGCGAATGACCATAAATTTTCGCTCCAGATTTATAACGTGCATGTGGAAGGAACCGGGACCGCGACAACTTATCGAAGCTCCCTTTCACTAGCCTCGTACAGAACGCGCCGCAAGCCGTGAGCGTGAAAGATTGCCCGTGGGCCCCCTAACTGAACGATACTTATCGGTTCTGGGCCTCGGTGGACGACACGATACACGAGGGGGTACCTATGTATGCCCTGGTAGAAGAATGCAAGTTTGTAACGGTGGCGGACTTGGCGGTGGCGAGGCATCCCTTATCGCTCCCGTTTCACGTCCACATGCCCGTCAGCGGCGTTCCACATCCTTACGAGATGGTAGACGGAAGGTCATAAGGCGGCTTGTTGACCTTGCAAAGCTGAAGAAGTTGACGTCGCCCCACCTGGTCTCGTGGCCACCAGGCCTGATGTCCGGCTGGGATAATGGGAGGGCTTCAGGTGCAGCTGGGGAGCTTCAAAAATATGGGGCGCCGCTGGACGTGCACTGCAAACGCTTGCTATCGTGGGACGATAAGTACCGAGTGTGATTGGAGTGCATGATAATGGTTAGGCGGTTGTTGGTTGGCTTGATACGAAACGTCGGGTGGGGAGAACTAGGCGTGCGTGACATCTGCATCACAAGCTGCACTGCAGATAGATGCCTTGGCAGAATACGACGATGGATGGCCACACGACCACTATGTACTTACATACGCACTTCGCGCGTCGCGTGTTGCGAAACACCGGGCGGTGCGTTGCGGGGAACGGGCGCGCGTCGTCGCCGGGCGGTTGGCCTCGCCGGCAATTTTTCCCTTGTCTGTGCCGAAAGCCAGTGGAGTTGCTTATCTCCACATAAATTGGCCGACGGGCGATAAGTACAAAATGTTCCAGGCACGACGGATACCGGAGCTGGAGATTGATGAGCCGCATGGTGCTTGCGGGCCACAGCGCCAGGCGCGAAGTCTCCAGAGCGCGAGTATATGATCCTCCTCCGGCAGACTGATCATGCGTGCCCCCGCCCCGCCGCCTCCGTCTCCGCCGCTACTCAGGCTCAGGCTCAGCCTGTATCTCCTCCTCTGCCCCAGGGCTCAGAAGCACAGGAACACGTCTCCTCACGAAGATGACCACGGAAATCCTTGCGGCCCCCCACCTTGCGGAGGAGCAGCGCCTCGCGCGCAAGCAGTCCCGCTCTAGCGGCAGCAACTCGATCGCGAAGGGCGACCCCGCCGCGGACCCGACCGACGTGAAGGTGACCGACCCCGAGAAGGCGACGTCGAAGGAGTCGCAGTACGTCGAGGAAGACGAAGAGGACGTCTCGGGCCTGACGAAGCTCTACCGCCGCTTCCGCCCGCTCGTCCTCGCACTCCTTGCGGCCGTCATCCTCGGGTGGTGGGTGAGCGCGACGGTGCTCAAGGCGACGCGGCATCGCTGGCAAGTTTTTTTTCTCCGTTCTCTGAACGCACCCGCCGTGGATCGCGCGCGCGCATCGTCGCACGCGCCAGTTTTTCGCGGCGGGCTCGATCGTCACGCATGACTGACGGTGGCTGTTACTGTTTTGCAGGATCGTTCAGACGTTCTGGGCTTGGTTTTTCATCATGTAAGTACTAGTACTTTGGTTCATATCTATGCTTCACTGCAGGGAAGACGAGGGCGAGGGCGATGAGGGTACGACAGTGGAGGGTCCCACTCGCATGGGGCCAGCGCGGGGAAGACTACCACGCGGTCGTGGAGAAGATGGCAGTCGCACATGATCATGCCGTGTGCTGCCTGGACCTGGCCGCGGCGACGGCGCTCATGGAGGCCATTAGACATACATCCAAGACTTGTCCAGAGCTCTTATGCAGACGATGACTGAATTCCGCATGCTGACCTCGTTTTGTTTCTCAGTGTCATCGCGTTCCGATTTATCCCCAACTCCGTTGTGACGCGCCCGGTGGAAGCCATTTGGGTACCATGCGTCCAGACGCCGTTCCTCAAGCTGCCAAGATACATCCGCCTTGCCATGGGCTGGCTCGCGCTCCTCGGCATCATCTTTGGGTCCGCATTCGGCTTCAAGCTGACCGGTGTTAGTGGCATTCCCTGTCCGGGACGTTGCTAAGTCGAGAATGTTGATGCACGCTTCCCCTGCGCAGAACACCGGCTACGGCGACCGTGCGATCTCCGTCCTCGGCCTCTTCGTCTTCCAGTTCTGCTTCTGGGCGACGTCCAAGCACCGCTCGCACATCCCATGGTGTGTCCTTGCCGCTACGTGCGGGCCTTCTGCAAGTTTGCTGAAAGACGATGTGCAGGCCGACCGTCATCGTCGGGCTCACCCTCCAGCAAGCCATTGCGATGTTCGTGCTCAAGTCCGGCGCGGGCTTCAGCATCTTCAAGTGGATCGCGTTCCTCGCCTCCGACTTCCTTGCGCAGGCTCTCGCTGGCGCGGCGTTCTTCTTTGACCAAGCCACTGTGGACAAACATTGGTTCTTCGTTAACACGGTATGTTGCACTATTCCTTACGTCTTCAGACGCTAAGCATGCCATGGCTTGCAGCTCTCGTCCATCATCTTCTTCATCGCCTTCGTGCAGATGATGTACTACCTTGGCGTCATGCAGTGGTTAATCGAAGGCTTGTACGTGTCATATCGTGCCCTAGCGAAGCTCTTTTGATTTTGACGGCCGCATCGTAGCGCCTGGTTCTTCTTCAAGATCATGGACATCTCCGGTGCGGAGGCTGTCGTCGCCGCAGCGTCGCCGTTCATCGGCCAGGGCGAGTCTGCATGTCTCGTCAAGCCTTACGTCGACTACATGACTGAGTCCGAGCTTCACCTCACCATGACCTCTGGTGCGTACTTCTCGGGATCTATGTCTGTCCGACGTCCTCTGACTCGTGCACAGGCTTCTCTACCATCGCCGGCTCCGTACTAAGCGCATATATTGGCCTTGGTGTGCCCCCAGAGAACTTGGTCACCGCCTCCGTCATGTCCATCCCGGCTTCCATTGCGATTTCGAAGATGCGTCTCCCAGAGCTCGACGAGCCGGTCACTCGTGGCCGCGTCACTGTTGACCGTGGTAATCAGAACGACAAGGATAGGCCCGCAAACGCGCTCCACGCCTTCAGCAAGGGCGCCGTGTTCGGTCTCATCGTCGCCGGCCAGATCCTGTGCGTCTGCTCCCTTTCCGTACAGTTCGCAGCGCGCACATACTGACATACATCCGACCCCGCTTCGCAGGACCAACGTGCTCACCGTCGTCTCCCTCGTCGCGATGCTCAACGGCCTCCTCACCTGGATCGGCAAGGGCTTCGGCATCCACGCGCTCACGCTCCAGCTCATCCTCCGCTACGTCTTCTACCCCGTCACGTTCTTCATGGGCGTCCCGCGCGGCGAGATCCTGCGCGTGTCCGAGCTGCTCGCGACGAAGCTCGTCGAGAACGAGTTCGTCGCGTACCTCTCGCTGCAGGAGATCACCAAGTCCGACAGCCCGCTCAGCCCGCGCGCGTTCACGATCGCGTCGTACGCGCTCTGCGGGTTCGCGAACCTCGGCTCGCTCGGCATCCAGGTGGGCGTGCTCGGCGCGCTCGCGCCCAGCAGGGCGAGGATCATCTCGCGCATCGCGCTGTCGGCGATGATCTGCGGGTTCATCTCGACGATGCAGGCTGCTGGCATCGCTGGCATGCTTGTTTAAACGTCGGGCGACTCTCCTCCGTCGGCCTGTGGGGATGTGTACGATGTAGGAGGGATGAATGATGGGCGTCGAGGCTGGATATGGGATCGCGCTGTAGGGCTATATATGTTGTTATACCTCATTAGTATCATCTACCAGCCCTCGGAGGGGTTGGTACCGTACACGACCTGTAACTGCAAAATCTCCGTAGCACGTCCGAATGCTAATGCCTGCTTTTCTACACGAGGGGTGGAGCATCCGAGGGCTCGTCTCGACCAAATTGCGAGGCGCGTCTGGTCCGGAGAAGTCAGTGACATCACAGCCCCGAACGAATAAGGGCGTTCCCAGCGAAGTAGCCCCAGCGTTTCTCCAGGCGGCCTCCGTGTTGCACAAAGACGGAGGACTTCCGATTGTCCAGGCGACCATGTAAGTCAGAAGCTCTCATGGCTGCAAGCAGTTGCATACAACACGATCAGAAGGCTCAAGAACACTGCCTGTTGCGACCACTTATAGTACGATACAAGAGGGAGGGCAGTAGAGAAAACATGACATGTGATCGGATGACCACGAGTTCGCCGTAAGTTCATCGTAAGTAAGTAGTCAAGCATTGCCTTTGCGAGAGCGTCGCTTTGTCTGGTTCTGCTTGGGGGTGAGACCTCGAGGTTTGGATGGCTGACCTCGAGATTTGGACGGCGGACCTCGAAGTTTGGCAGGCGGAACTCGAGGTTTGGATGGCGGCCCGGAACCTCGAGTTTTGGATGGCAAACCTCGAGTTTTGGATGGCTCCAATATATGACGCAGTAGACATTCCAGGAGGCTTCCTTTCGGAACATCGTTACGAGGATATGTTCGGCCCGTCTCCAACGTATACTTGCTGAGCGCCACCTCGTCCTTAAATGTCCGCACGGGCTCTTCTGGGTTTGGGCGATGGATGAAGTCGACGAGGTTGACGTGCAATGAGTTCAGAATCTGTGTCACAAACAAAAGACTTCGTGAACCTGAATGAACACAAGCCCGCCAGGGTGGAGCTCACCTCTCGGCATTTGCCAATAGTACTCGGGATTGGAGAGACTCTGAGTGCGCTGCACAGGTTCTGCCACGACCTCAAGTCACCAGCATCCTTCCCATAAACCAGACCGAACTGTTCGATCATGGCCTTCCCCAACTCCCTTCTCTCCCGCTTGAACCCGTCACCTTGCCAGTTTTTCTTCCTCGCAAGCCGTCGAAACTCTTGAATGAAACATTTTCCTGGCTGATAATCGAAGCACGGGTGCAAAGCGAAGTAGTCATGGATGTGGTTCACTTTTGTTCCTTTTTTCTGTTGAATAGTGTTCTTCTCATCACATATTCCTGACCTCAGTGGGAGCTTAACATACCGGTGCCTTGGTGCTCAATGCTGGTCCGACCATATTGCCTGTGGTACGCAGAGTACGCCAGCTTAGAACCGTGCCTCGGCAACAATTATGCAGCTGGAATGGACGAAAGGTGACAGAGCCCAAGCTCAGGTGAGGCATGAACGGTGGGGAGGATGGACCTGAGACGCACTCGTCGCGGAGAACTGAGAATTGGGCCCTCGTGTACAACCCTTCCCTCCTTATCAGTGTGGGATCATGCCTTGCGGTTCACATGCGATTTGGACGTGACTGACGTTACGGGCAGAGGCGTGCCTGCGTGCTGCGGTAGTTGGTTCTTGAAGCTTTAGACCCGGTAGCGCCGTGTCCTGCACGGTCACGTGGATACCGGAACAGGAGAGATGTTTTGGACAATGATTATTGTCCAGGGTCTATGACAGCGTAACTCGTGCCACCCCCTCGCCGCTTTACATCTGCTTTGTCTCTAGTAGTATATAGGTTAAGGGCTCGCAGCCCAGGATCCTCGTCCCCTCGCCCTTCGGGAGCTCGCGCTCCTCGAGCTTTCGTTTTTGCACCCGCCCTTCCGCTGCCCCATTTTTGGTTTCGCTTAGCTACGTCTCATGTATCAGGTACATTCGCCTTCCGCCGGCTTGAGCTCGGCCCACCGGTCGCGCGAGAGAGCGGTGGCGACACGGACTCGGTGGTCCCGCGCAGCTTCCGTAGCGCGCGCCCAATACCATCGTTTTCCGTCCTGCCCGAGTTGAGCGTGCATAGACGCGTCTACTTGCATGCAAAGAATTACGCTGAGAGGACCGTGATTCGTGGGCCGGCGGAGGGGTGTACGTTTGCGGCAGGGTTGGAAGGGCATGAATTTAGATCTGGGAATATTTTGTAATAGGTCACACACCAGCTACGTGTACCGCTGCGAACTTTGACTAGGAAAGCGATGTATAGTCCCGGTAAAATTGTCCCAAAACTCCTCGTCCTCCTTGGACGTTTTCCCAGCGATGAAGCCTCTATACCGTCGCCACAATGGTGGGATGTCGTCGGTGTGCCATATCTCATGCATCTGGCGCATAATGATCGATTCCAAGATGGGTGGGTAGAAACCTGCGTTAGCCCAATCCATGACCCACAAGGTGCCTCTTCGATCGAGTACTAAATTGCTCATGTTGAGGTCACCGTGTGTGAAGACTGGAGTCCAGGGAAAGCTTGGGCGAGGTGGCTCCGGCGGAACTGTCCCGGATCCAATAGCCATGCGTGCTATAGCCTTCCAGCCCTCGAAGGCCACATATTCGCAGAATCTGCGGAAGCGTCGTGCATTGCGGAAGGGTCCGTATTCGTACTCCTCAAAGAGAATGCCGCTGACAAGCCGGTCTCCCAACGCGCCAGGCGTCGAGTAGGTCAACGACCGTAGCTGTTTCACGTAGAGACGCAGCGTACATGCAACACGAAATTGCATGAAGCGACCCAACCTGTCCCAGCACTCGTACAGCATCTCGCCGTCTATGAAATCCATAACGAGCATTGAAAGATCTGGACAAAGATCGCGCGGAATTGGAATGGTTGTGTTCTGCCGCACGAACTTCATGCTTTCGCGCTCGGACGGTGAGGGGTGTTTGACGATAAGGGATGGGGTTATACGGTTTACCGTGACGTGTGCGGAGGGATCTTCTGCCCGAAGACGACTCTTCAGCTCCTCACCCCAGGTGTTGTCGAGCACGTTGTGCATGAGCGACATGACATCCGAGTCTGTGGTCACGGCCGCTAACTCTGCAGAGACCTGGTGACACTTTGAGCACTGTCGAGTTCTAGAGAGAGGCTCGCAACTCACATCCGGTAGCTGAGTTGGTGGTGGTAGAGCGAAGCAGGACGCGATACAATCCAATACAAAGGACCAGAGTTTCTGCAGGGAGACTCTAATATCTCGCTGATGAACGGAAGCTGACTCTGAAGCGATGCGCCCTGGCAATAAGCGTATAAGAGAGGTACCTCAAATCGACAGAACATGGCGCACCGATATATGCTAAAATGTCATCCACACCTTCTCCAGTAGCCAGGCTGGCAGAGAGACAGTCGACATCCCACTTGTAAGACAAGTAGGGATGGCTACCGAGATATCCCAGATGACGGTTTGAGTGGTCACCCGGAACCAAATCCGTCTTCGTGTGCAAGATGCAAATCGACTGAGCGACTCTCCGCGCTGCTGCAACAGTGTCTTCTTCAATATCCGATGATGGTTGTCGAGCATCCACTAGTATGAATGCCACTGTAGCGTCAACCTGTCTTGTCGAAAGTTCAGCGGCAAACGACAATCGTCTTCCGGACCATGGACAACGGTAGACGCGGTGGTTCTGCATAATGATACTGTGTTCAGTCGAGTCACTGGAAAAAGACGGCAATCCTACCAGCAAAGATATCAGGGTTTTCTTCCCTGTCGAAGGGCCCCCTACTCGAACAGATCAGACCATTGGTTGGAAACGCTGTGACAAATCGGATACTACCGTAGACAGTGATGGGAACCTTATGTGGCGGGGTGACATCGAACATAATCCCGTAGATAGTGCAAGCGATATGTTGGATACAAAGATACAAAAAAGACGTAGAGGGCTTCGACGCAATTCGAGGGTTGCGGAAGAGTATCGGTATGAGAAGGGAGAGTAGCTATTCAAGTTAGATTTCAAGTTGTGTTTCGCCACACAGTATGGGCGGCGCTTGTACTTATCGCCATTGGTGATTATTATCACGTGCGTCCGCAAGACATTTCACGCACGCTTTCCACATACGGTCCAAATCGTTTGCTCGAACCACCGTCGCCTGAACCTAAGTTGAAGATGAATGACGGTATGACTCTTGGCTGAAGGTTGACTCACACTAATTCAGCGGCTTCTACCTAGTCCACAGCAACCGGGAACCCACGCCTGAGTCTACTCTGAATGACGAGACAGTCGTTGCTTTCCGGGAAGCTCTCCGCACATGCAAACACATCGTCGTTGTAGCAGGAGCAGGTTTATCTGCAGCGTCAGGTAGGAGAATTGTCACCTCTGCTGTTTGTCTCATGTTAATATGAACTCGTACCATTCCAAAGATCCCGACTTTCCGTGATGGAGGAGGCATGTGGCGATCGTTGGACGCCACTGCGCTAGCCACTCCGGAAGCATTTCAAGAAAATCCGTCTCTGGTTTGGCAATTCTATCACTATCGCAGGACGAGGTGAGTGGCTTATACTGCAACACTCGAGGCTCCCCCTGATTCCGCTCGTCAATGCCAGCGCGCTGCAGGCTAAGCCTAACGCCGCCCATGAGATACTCGCTAAGTTTTCTGTCCCGCAATACTTGCGGAAAGTCGCTCCAGCAGCCAAATTTTTTCACCTCGTCACACAGAACGTCGATGGCCTGTCCGTTCATGCTCTGCAGTCCCTTACTAGTCGCTTAGCGCCTGATACATTCGAGACTGCGATTACGGTAGATCGACGCCGGCCTCCCCTTGTCTTCCCCAATTCCTTATTGGAGATGCACGGGCGGATATGTGACGTGCAATGCACCGGTTGTGACTATCGACAAGAGGACCTCTCCGATCCTCTCTGCCCCGCCCTTGGCGCAGCAGACGCGTCTTTCCAGGACTACCACGACGCAGGGTCCAAAGAGGTCAACATCCCTGAAGAGCAGCTTCCTCGCTGTCCCGCATGTGGCGCTCTTGCTCGACCTGGCGTAGTCTGGTTTGGCGAGAAGCCATACCATCTTGATGAGATAAACAGCATAGTCTACAAGGCCGATATGTGTCTGGTCATCGGCACTTCGTCAACGGTATGTACTTCTTCCTTGATCGCGGTCTTTCTAGTCAATGGTGCTCATCATGTGTTACTTGACAGGTAAGGCCTGCCTCCACATACGCCTTCCGCGTCCAAAGGCACGGAGGCAAGGTGGCAGTATTCAATCTTGATCCAAGCGAGAAGGATGAGAGAGCAGACTAATTAATCCGACAAAATGACGTGCGTGGAAGACGAAGGATGGCCTGCTGTACCTCGTAGGCTAATATGGTCGGCGTATTTGATGTAGCACGCCGCCGTCAGAATTCACTCCTATCACTAGGTATACATGAATCGCATGGAATCCCGAGTTCGTAATGTGGCGTGAATTGTAGTGTCGAGTTGAGAGCCGTAATACCTGAATGTCCGGTACGAGTTGAATGTGTACTGGCTGCTTCCACTGCCATCTGTCAGTCTGGAAGGAATCCGGTGTGCAGTATACCCTCTGCGGGAGCTTGGAGTCCTTCGTATACCATACGGGCAGCTGCTGCATGACTCGCTAGAGAGAAGTGTAAAAAATACATCGAAGTCGTGAAATGTCGCGTTGTCTCAAGTAAGATCTATCAGCCCTAAACATAGAGGCGGCGGCGACGCAGACCGTCCCGTCACCTCCTGCACTGTTCGTCTAGGAGCGGGCATAGTGACTAGAACCGCAACGCGCGTTGTCGCAGAGGTATCCCTGAACGGCCGGGGGCTCGCGCAGGAGCCGCTAGGTGATGGCTTATGACCCCGCTGAAAGACTTGCCGCCTGCTGGAACTGCGCCGGACAGACGAAGGGGAAGCGGGATGCATTGAATCATGTCCGGTGTCGGTCCCAAGGCTGGCATGAGAATACGTCTGGACAGAGACTGGCTGTTCCGACCCCCATTCAAGATGTCAAGAGCCAATCACGATGCAATTGGACACGGGACGAACCATAATCCTGCCCCATGTTCTCGAGGACTCGGCTCCATGCGGATCCTGGGCAGCAGTTCTTCCGATACCATGATCCAGTTGCGCCTCCCACATCTTTGGCTCTACAATTTGGCGGTACACGGGAGTCACACTGTCCCGATTACGAATGCGCACCCAACCAACGCCCACAATCACGGATACGGCGATGAGTACGAGGACAACGGTGAGGATCATGTAGGCGTGCGAGAGGGTAGGGTTATTAGCGGATTGTGTCGCGTCCGCTGAGCGTGCGGCAGGGGTAGCACTTGTCCTCAGGCTTCCGTATAGAGACCGGGGTGAGGAATATATACGAGAGTCTGACTAGAGTGATGCCGTGTTAGCACTCCAGGAAAAAGCAGAAAGGAGCGTGACACGTGTACTGACCCCGACCTTCACCATCCGCATGAGGACTTGCGATACACGGATGTCTGCGCGTGCGATGGGGAGGACAGTCATAGGCATAGGATAGTATGGAGCCTACAGCGCGCCACCGCAACGCACACCTTCTCGTTATATAACCCGTGGGCCTACATCCAGTACCCTATCAAGCGGCCGATAGTCAGTCGGGACGTGCCTATGCATGAGTCAAGGGCGTCTTGGATCGCTGTCACCGGTGCGGTGCCAGCTAAGCCAGTAGTAGACGCCCTCGAGTCGATCACTTGCGTAGGTTTCGGAGGTCCTCGCTGGGTTCAAATCTAAGAATTGCAGCGGAATAGCGAGCGCCATGAAGGCCAGGCTCATCCCCGAGCGCGAAATCAGGTTGATAACACCGCGACAGCCGGGTGCGCTGTCGCACTGTGATTCGCCAGTGTCCGATGTCGAGTCGCCAAGAGTCGCACACGCAATGAAGACGTGTGGCGGTGAGTCATCTTGAGGCGCTAGGCTGTCCCCTCTCGATCATGCTGGCGTCCCGACCTAAACGCAGTAATGGACAAAGTGCTGTAAAGTCGGCGGCGAATGGATGGAAGGCCTCACAAAGACACCACTATACCAAGGGAGCAAGCCTCAGGTGAGGCGGTGCTGGGAAGTCTATCACGACGCGGATCAGGTACATTTCCTGGCCTTGCGGATCCTGCGGATCCCTTCGGACGTACATGACCGACTAGTCACATTACTGCAACATGACGTCAGGCGTGAGGGCACAAATATGGCCAATCCAACGAGTCAGTCATGAGGCGTAGCAATCAAAGAGAAAGAAAGTCTCACTGTCATAGATTGAGGAAGCCGTATAATTTCCAAAACACGAGCGTATAGACGAAGGTACAGACACATTCTGAGGGCAGCTGCACGGCAATCCGGAAACATGAACAGGTCGGCGAGAACCCAGGCAGAAGATGGACAGCATGCGCACCAAAGCAAATCACAGCAACGAGTAGCAATGATGGAACAAGCGGTACCGATCGACCCGACACTCCGCCTCCTACAACCTAGAACCCCTGATGAGCAAACACAGACGGGAAGTGCAGCATAGGATCGCGCATCGCCTGCAGGAACTCAGGCGTGAAGTGCTGTGTGGTGAATGTGAACTCTTGCGATGGCAGTCCAGCAGCCCCAGTCTGTGGCATCACCCCGGAACCAGCAACCCCACCTGGATGTTGTTCAACTTGCCCTACGGGAGCCGCTGGGGTTGTGATTTCGGCCTGGCTGTCGAGCACAGGCCACCACGAGTCGTACCCAGGAATGTATCCGGTGGCGTATGTATGGTTGTCGCGTACGCCCATCTGGATTGCGTGCGCAGTTTGTGCAGAGGGGTGAACACCGCCTGTCCCCACTTGGTAGGAGGAGACTAGCGGCACACTGCCGGGCGTGGAGACGAAAGTCCATGCCCGTGGTGGTGGTGGTGGTGGTGGCGGCGGCCACGACACTTCTCCGAAGGCAATCTGCGCGGGACGTTTCTGTCGCACCGAGTTTTGCGATACTTGAGTTAGACTCTGATCCTGGGCATCTGGTGAAGCCGAACTTGTTGTGTTGCCTGTGCTGAACGTCTGATCGATGTGGACTTTGGCGTTTTGAAGCAGCTCCCGCACGCGATACGCAACTGTCCATGTCCGCTGTTCCAAAGCATACATTGATGAGCGTACACTAACTCTGAGGTAGCTGTGATTGTACGGACCTCCAATCCCTTCAGCGCAGCAATGCACTTCTGCAAGGCAACACTCGCTTGCGTGTCCATAGGCTTGAACCTCACTACTAAATCGATCAGGAACCCGAACGACAATATTGTACGAAGTACGTACACGTCACAATGCAAAGTACCCTGAATGAGGTTGTGAGTAACACACGGTACCTCCGCAGAATTGAAGACATACCCAGCCGCTTGTAAGCAATTGGACAGGAAGGGCGGACCCCATCTCATGTCGTATTTCTCTTGATACAACATGCCTAAGATTTACTATGAGCCTCGCGCGCAGAAGCAACTAGTGAATGCACGAACCAAAGGATCCTATTTGACTCGCAGCACTTTGACAAAGGTCAAATGATTCCCAAGCGATTGGATCGGGATTGAGGGAAGGCGATCCGGCCTTCGCTAAGCTAGTCGGAACATTTATTGTGTCAGTCAGGCAACTTAGTCACATTCATTCATTCACAAACATACTCTGAGCCGTTAGGAATGCTTTGGAGAACCGAGTCAGGACGAGATCAGATACTAGAAGAGCGGAGCACCCACAATGGTCGATGCAACAATAGCATAGTCGCCCAATACTGTATGTGCAACGCTAGCACATGCGGGGGAGGACACGGTCGGCTGCTCTTGGTGCTATAGTTCAAGTGATCGGGGAGTTCCAGCGACCATTGGGACAAGCGTTGATGAAGCTGCTCTCGTACAGCACGACTGGGCAGAATGTTCTCGCGAGACACGCGGTAGATCTTTGCCAGAACTTCGCCCGTTATGATGTCTAACAGAAGTGTCAGAAATGAGCCTAACTATACCCAATCAAGATGTTGAGGTATGGCGTACATAGAGACGATATGTAACGGAAATAGCTTGTGTACATGGCGGGGATTGGCGAGAGGCGACCGTAGAGAGGGTCCAAAGAACATGGTTGCCATGTCCGCTTAAGATCATCCTGTGGTACACCCATTGTAAGCAGCCGCGCGAGATCCGGCGGAATAGATGACACGCGTACCTGTGGGATGTCCAGTAGCGGCGTCGAGAAGTCGCTCTCATGAATAGCGATCGGCCGGCCTAAGAACAACGCCGAGAACCTAGCACGTAGCAGAGATTAGATACCCGGAACCGACTTGACTCGTACGCAAATTCAGAACTCACTTGTCAGCAAGGCAGCATGCCCACCATATCCGTTTCCGAACGGACTTTTGCTTCTCGGTGAACAGCTCGCGGCCGTTGTGCATCCACTTGTCAGAATTGCGATTGAGACCGAGGTCGAGAGCCTGCTCCACTTGTCAGAATGGGTCCTTCTTCCGATTGCATCGTGAAAAACCTGCCATTCGGATGGCCATGCCTAGACGAAGCTCTGGTTAAACCCCACCAGTTCAAGGAAACGGACCACAGCGCTCACCAATGTGTAACCATCCTTCTTCGAGGCTCCCTAACAACAGTGAAGGTGAATGATCATAAGCATGCAGAGCATATCTGCATCGTACCAACACGTACCAGCACCAAACTCGCGCATTCCCAGCAGCACTAGTGCCTGGACAGTCGACGAACGACTCTCTTGATATATCGTATCCAGGATCATCCTCGCTTGCTTGGTGTACTCGGCAGCGGGGTCACTAACGGTGCCCGCCCGGGTGTCCTGAGGGTCAAAATGACTTGCCGCGTACGCGAAAATGGAGAGGAGCAGGAGCTTCGATAGTCTCTGCGGCCGTTCTGGTCGGACTTCGGCATCACTCCCGGACGGGCGCAGATCGTCCTCCGCGTCGGGGTAACTTCATCCCGGGCAGGAATGTTAGCGTGGAAATGAGCCTTTCCGTGCGACTCGCCGACTCACCCGTATGTTCTAACGGATAGCAGGCTCAGCGATCGTAGTCAATATGCTGGAGAGACTGAGCACGTACTGAGCCTTATACTGCGCCATGAAGGACTCTTCATCTAGGACGGGAATGCAGGGGTTGACGTGGGCGAAGAACACCTCGACGAGATGGTCTTGGACTTGTGGAGGTGGAAGATGTATGGAAGCTTCGACGGTTTGGGCGTGCGGCGTTGTAGTGCGGTCATTCGACCACCGGACGCCCGGCCAGACTTTGGCCATGGGGAAGCGCCTGTAGGAGTATGCTTAGAGTTGAGAGCGGGAGCCATAGAGAGCACGGACCAGATTCCCTTGGCATTGCGGCCATCGCTTCGCTCAGTCAGCGCAAGTAGCTGCAGTCCGGAAGAATTGCCGTGGTAGCGGACCTAGCGACAGAGTTCAGCGTTGCGGATTCGACGAATGTCAAAGCTTGCACCTCTCTGTTCTCGTCAATCGACAAGTTTCCAAAAGCGTCCGCGCAATCGGCCAAATCTTCAGTGTCAGCAGCTGCAAGAAGGATAGTGTGTCAGCTCGATGTCCAAAGCTCAACATATCGCGCAAATGCACCACTCTGTGATGGCGGCACAAATGACGGGGTTTGGACTGACGGCTGGCCATCGAGTCGTCTCTTATTTCTTGGGGGTTCTGGAGTATGCCTGTAGACCGAACTGTCGGGAGTGGGCGAAGCAGGCACCGGGCTGAATGATTCTGAGGCGGAGGAGCCGCGTGCAAGTCTGGTGGAAAGGCGGTCTTGCCACGCAAGCGTGGGACGAGTGGTCTGGATTTGAGGGTCTCCGTACGCTCTTCAGCGATGACGTCGAGGGAGAAGACGATTTTCTATGTATACCTGATGCAATTACGGCCTCGATGACGTTTTCCCGCGTTGCTCTAGACTGGCGACGAGAGCGATGGCTGAGCGCTTTTGGCTGCTCGGTGACGATCGACCGAAAGAAGTTGTCTTTGGACGTGTCGATCGACCGTTGTTCGCGCCCAGTCTTCCCCTGTTCGAAAGCAAACACACGCCAGTCAGGTACAGCGTACATGCGTAATTCGAAGTCGAATGCGCACAAACGGGCCAGCATCCACGGTGTCCAGGATGTGCGCTGCGAGATCATCTTGGCTAAGCTCGTCAACAATGGACTGCGCGCGCGGATCTGTGGACGACATGATCGCAGCCAACACACTCTCCACCTGGTGCAAACGATGCTCCATAGCCTGGATGTACCCTTTGGGAGGGCCTCTCCGAAAGCTCGGGGCTGGGACGAAAGTGTTAGATAGACTCCTAGGCAACAAAGGTAAAGCTATCGTACCTGTATACGTGCATTCTGCAGCCCCTCGGACTATATGAGATCTCTCCATATGCACACAAGTCACTGGAAAACTCGCCTGTCTCAAGTGCCGCGCACGCCTTGCACGGCTCGCCCTCGTTCGGCGACGGCTCGCATTTACTCTTCGACTTTCTGCACCTGTCGCATGCTGTAGGACCGGAAACAATGAATAACGAGCACTGGATGTTTAACAGGGTAGAGAACGCTTCCTACCTTTCGCGATTCTCTGCGTCTTCCCCTGTCCCGAAGGCCCCGCTCCGGCCGTCTCGTCCTCAGATGCATTGTTCGGATCCCGCGGCGGGTTCGATGAGGCCTTTCTGGTCGGCATTTCGTCGTCGGTGCCCTATCGCTCAAGGAGTCTTTTACCAGATTTTCCCAATTGCGCAGACGGCGTGCCGACAAGCAAGGGTTCGCGGGAAGGTATCGTGGTTAGCCGCGACAGGAATGGCGTTGTAGGTCCACGGCGGTCCAACGTGCAGGACTCCGTGAAGCTGACAGTACCTCCGACGTGATGGATGGGAGGAGAAGGGCTCGGGCTCTAGTTGACGCGGGGCGGCTCACTGCAGGTATTGCGTGTCCTACGCTGAGTCTCTTCTTGGTTGATATTCGTCTGTGGTCAGCGTGCGGCTCGCAAGGCAGAGGGTTGCAGATATGCGCGACGTCGTCTGTGTGGGAGAACGCGGTGCAGCAGAGCGAGTGGCGAGTTGAAACCGATTTGCTCGAACCCCCTCTCCCCCCTTGCGTCATAATAAGCCGCAAATTTGTCACTGAGCCTGGCCGATGAGATTCGAATCACACGGATGTCATCGACGTGGGCGTGGGGCACAACAATCCACCCGAGCGCACCGATTGGTGTTTGCTGAAGGACGCGTCCACCAGGTGTAAAGTTTGTGGAATCCGCAACGGCATCGTTTACGACGCGTGCACCACGTGAACTTCATCCCGGAGGATTGCAGCAGTCACGCAGCATCCGCGGTATCTCGCTGGATGCGAATGGGTCTCTTTGTTAATTGTAGAATATAGTAGGTAGTATAAGTGATGCACACAACATCGTCCGCCAAGGAGAGTGACAAGGACAGAGTAGAAAGGATGACATCCAATACACAAGAGAGAGATAACGGGAGAAGTGAAACCGATAAGCAATCGCTTCCGTGGTTCAGAAGTAGAGCCCCACCCAGCCCTGCGACTTGATGAGCATCCTATCGCCGCCGTCTCTGCTTCCAACGTACGGTAAGTCGCCGTCCTGCTTGAACGCATTCAGCAGGCCCGTTGCCGTGAACGACTTCGCGGTCAGGTCCACCGTCCCGTTGAACCCCGCCTTCTTGTACGTCAGGTACGTGCCCTTGCCGTTCATCGAAGTGTGGTGTGTGCTGTCGATCGGCCGATGCGGGAACCCAGCGTGGTTCACAAAGAACACGTCTGCGCGGCCTGCGCCGGTCGACGTGAGCAGCTTCACCGGCGCAGGGGGCTCCGAGCTCGAGGGCGCGGGGTGCACGCGGACGTTCATCGTCGCGTCGCCGCGCTGGGTGTTGAGCGTTGCATCGTTGACCACCGTCACGTCGCCGACGAGCCAGCCCTCCGACATCTGATACATGAACGTGTTCGCGTGGATGCCCTCGATCGGCAGGAACATATTCAGCTTGCTGAGCTTGTAAAACGTCACGAAGAGCGTGTTCAGGTTAAAGTTGGAGTCGGGGTCGAACTTGACCTGCGTCGTTGCATGTGTCTGGATGTGTAACGTCTTCACAGCGGGCGGGAGGAATACGGTCACGTCGAAGCGCGCGCACTGCGGGGTGACAGGAGCGGGCACGGCGAGTTGCAAGCGACTGCTCTTCGTGTTCTGTGCGACCTCCTCCGGCGTGGGGTAGTCGAGGACGACACCCTCGAAAAGATCCTCTGTGCTCCCCCTGAGAGTAATCTCGTACTTGACCTCCTGAAGATCCGCCTCGCCCTGCGCAACGACGATCGTCCCGACCGCACCGCCACGGAAGTCCATTGAGTGGTCGCCCTTGTTCTGGTTCACCCCGACAGGAATGGTGACGTCGAACTTGCCCCCCTTGTACAGCTTTGGTGCGTCCATACAGCCCAGAGAAGTGCTGAACTCGGGCATACCCTCTAGACCCGTCTCCTTGGGCTAACGGGACTTGAGTCAGACAAGTGCGACTGTACTTCGCAAGTGAACATGTTGTTCATACCTTGGCAGCCCAAATGACTAATCTGATCGCCTGCCATCCAAGGAAGAGCAAGCAAACAATGCCGAACGCCTTCCAGAACAGCCCGCATCTGCATCGATGAAAATGCAACGATGTCGCGAAGATGAGATGATATCCCGTAGTCCGGATGATGTCCGACATACCGCAAACCGCAGCAGACGCAACAGTCCGCCCTGTGCTGCCGCTTCGAACGGCCGCTGGGGAGAGTGGTGTCGAGGAGCGACGCGCCGTCTGGGGCGTCCTCGTCGAGGTTCGCTGTCCTCAGGGCCACGGGCCCATGACCGAGCCCCTCCTCCTCATTGGGGAGCGACGAGTCTGTTAGTCGTGGATCCTTGAGGTGAGCCCTAGACAAACAGTGTGGGAAGCGGACGGTACACACATTCGTCATAACTATCCTTTAGCTTCAGTGCTACCATGGTCGCCCCCACCATCGCCCCAAATTTGCCCCCAAATTTCACGGCCATCCTTCACGACGCGACGAGAAAGCGAAGTGCGAGAGACAGTGGGAGAAAGGAGTGTGGAAACGGGCAAGACGCATCTTGACTGTGCGTGGGGATCGGTTTTGTATGTGCGCCGAGGGCCCGCGCGTCTGTGTATTTGCGAGGAATGGATTGGATTACTGTAACTGGGCGGAGGCCGCGGCGTGTCATCGGCTCCGACTGCGTGAGTAGAGTCTTTCGCCAGCAGGTTTGAATCGGCGCCCCGCCCGTTCTTCACCAATGAGGAGGCCGGATCTCCAGTTCTATTCCGTCGGCGAAAGGAGTCTAGAGGCATAGTGGCATCAGCCAGGCACAGCACACTGCGGGGTGCCGCGGTTATCGTGCGACGAGGGCATAATCTGGACAAACTTCCGAAGACGCGGGGGCCAGATGTCAGTTTCTGCGCATGTCATAGCTACGAACATACGAGACGTAGCCTTAGAAAGGTTGAAGTCACGAACGCTCATGAAAGTGGGGGACAAGGTTGCAGCCTGTCAGGAGGATCTCCGGCCGAAAAGGTCTTGGTGCCTGGTGGCTGTGACTGCCCTGTCCCGAGTTGATCGCAACAAACGTGAGCATATCCCCAGGAGCCTATTAGCTCCTGTTCGGCGATAAGGGTCAATAAGCATGTACATACTCGTCATGACTTATAGACCGAATGGTCGACCCATAGATGTGTCCTGGGTTACCATGTCTTACCACGGCACAAGACAACGCAGTACACACTAAGACGTATCTATATCCGTATGATGTAGACGAGTGGACTTTCAGTACATTGTATGTCGAAAGGAGCGTATTAGCGATAATGAAAACAATAGTACGGGACTCCATACTGAGCGTTGCGCATACATAACATTAACAGGACAATCGAGCGAGTGTTAGTTCTAGCTAAAAGATGATGGCTGGTAGGCGTGACGACGAGCAGAGGGATCCATGAGGGGTGATAGAGGAACTGCCAAAGAGACAGGAGAATAGTACACAGAGCAGTAACATGCATCCACAGCAGCAATTAACGATCTGCAGAGCGAAAGGTCAGAGCCGGCCCACACGTCCAAGGGCACAAGAAGCACTTACGAGATAAAACTGAGAGTCGAACGCCACCACGCCATTGTCATGAAGCAGTCCCATTGCCATGTATATACCCATTCTGACCCAGCCCAACCTGCAGATACGCCAGCACGGAAGGTATTGAGCTGTTCTGTCGGCAAACCACCTCCAGGTCGTGTCCGCTCCACAAGCGCCCTTCTAGCCGCTGCGACGGGGAGCTGTCCAGCAAGCGAGGCTCGTCCTCATCGTCCAACTCTGATTCCAACCTGCCTGCCCCGTTCTGCCGGTAGAGTTGGCTGCGAGACTTGGAGCGGACGTGCGCGGCGGGTGCGAGGCGACGCGCAACGGGGCGCCCGAATGCGCTGTTAACGCTCCCGCTCCGACTCCGGCTGCCGTTGGTGTTCAGACGCGCCAAGGCTTGGTCGACGGCAGAAGGGTAAGGACCTGAGAAAGTCACAGTGGGATCTTCCAAGGTTATCAAAGTGTCCTGAAGAACTTTGAAAGCCAGGGCTTCAGCAGCGCGACTCGTCGAAGGAGAAGGGGGCGTGTTCGAAGCAATCTCGATCTGACGCTTGATTGAGACCGTCCACTGGTGCCGGACTAAGGAGTCATCCACGCTGAACATGTACCTCCGCTTGAGACCTGTATGGTTCAAGAAGGCCACCTGGAAGGTATTGCGCATGAACGACCGCTCGATGACGACAGGGCTGCTGAGCGGTAGTCCTGAGTATGCCAGAGCATTCGGGCCCGACCGCCACATGATGATGGTCTTTTTTCCCAGCGCAGTGCCCGTGACGCGGAAAGAGACCTCTGAGGACTTCGCAAAGGAAAGTACAGGCGGCTCAAAGACCAAGTCCTGTCCATAGAGCTGAATGCTGAGCTGAGGGTCGGGCTGTGGTATGCGCAAAATGACAGGTTCGGACTGGATGCGATAGGTGAGGCGAGGGGGGAGGGGACGCTTGATGTTGATGACGATGTGAGGCTGGCTTGCTATGCTGGACGGATGACGAGCTTGGTAGAGCTTTTCCTTCCGGATGGAGGCGTAAATCTTATCCAGTAGGTCGTCCGAGACAAGGCCGCGGGGGTCGAACCGCCTGAAAGCCTCAATGAAGTCACGCGTGATCACGTTCCGTTTGGGGTACCCAGTGATACCAGGCTCTGACGCGATGGCGCCGTGCATAACCTCGTTGAGCTGCACAATCGCACGTACAAGCCGGACGGCGAGGTCCTTGTCATAGGTGACTATCGCAGCGTTCGCCTCATACCACCTGCTCGCGAACGAATCGAGCAAGTATTCGAGAGGACTAGAGTGTCCTGCCGTCGTCCGCGACGGGACGTGGATGGCCTGGAGGAACACGCGGAGCGCCTTGTCAATGCGAAGCCCGGTAAGCCCGAAGCTGTCAGCGAAAGACTTCAGCGCGACCTTGGATGACCGCCGTGAGAGGTATTCCCCAAGGCGCGCCCGGTCCAAGTCCGTCGCACGGAAGAGGAGCTGGCCAAGCGCGACGTCATCTCTCATGCTCGGCTTCCCCAGCAGCATTGAGACGGCATGTTCGGGATCCTTCGCAAACTGGTCGACGAAGCTCAGGATTGCAGGATGCCGCATGGGATTGGAAGTTGCCGATGTCTTCGCGCGCGGGTCGTCCCGGTCTCCGCTGAATCTCAGCTCCCGAAGCTGGACGACGCTCTTCACGATGTACTTCCTGTCCAATGGGCTTGGCTTCGTCGCGTCCAAGAGTGCGTCAGTGTCCTGCAGGATAGGCTTGGCGATGATGAGGATATCATTGAAGAGGAAGAGGAAGCGATCCTTGACCGTGTTCGCGTTCGCGACCTGCAGGACTGGCGAAGACAAGATAAGCTTTCGCGGCGGATCGTCAATTGCAGAGGGCCAGAGCGAGCTCTTGGAACCGCGCCCGAGCACTTCGTCGAGCCGCTCCATGATGATCGCGCCAGCAGTTGGATCGTTGGGTACAGGATCAGGCGAATGGTGCGAAGACGACATCGTGGACGAAAACGACTCCGACGTGGACCGCGTGGGAAAGTCATCCAGCGAAGATTGAGGATCCGGCGTGGTAGAAGAAGGGGGGTCAGGTGGGGATGGGAACCCTAAGGAAGAGTAGTCTGACAGGAGGTATGCCGGCGATGGTGCTCCACTGGACAACAGGTTCATGTCCGCGTCTGTACGAGGCTGCGTATCTAAAGAGGTGTCCAAAGTGTGTGTCGTCTCCTTGGGCGTTCCGAGTCTCTGAGCACTCGTGACGTTCGTCGGCGTCCGCGACTTGTCGCTGTTCACATCATCCCAGCTTTGCGCGGTGAGCTCGCTTTCTTTCCGCTGCATGAGCAAGTCCGAAAGAGATGGTTTCTGACCAATGCGCGGGCGGGAGTCGATCTGAGGCGACAACGGCCCACTCGGTGCTGGAGGAGTGGACGGTTGGGACTTAAACTTGCTGAGCCACTTCCTGACGCCGTCCCTATTCATCGGTAGTTTGCCGGAACCGGAGTTGCTCGTCGTGGGAGAGATGACAGGTGGCGGAGGCGTGCTGAAGTAGTCCGTTGGCGATGTCGTAGACAGTGTCGGGCCAGTAGGCTGTGAGAATTTGGACCACAGACGGCTGTCGGACGCCTGATGGGACAACTTGCGTTCCCGGCCACCATCTGCGACTTTGGTAGTAGCACCCGAGGAACTCGCAGAGCTGGGAATGTGCTCGAGAGGAAAGGGAAACCCGTTCGCCGACGAAACCACATCAGGAGAAGAGGATGACGGCGTGATGCCTCGCGCGCGCCGTTGTTCCTCTAGCTGCTTGAGCGCCGGGAATGGGAATAGCTTCGAGTCCGCGTACTTGAGCAAGTCGGCAGAAGACGCCGGCGGGACGGGCGACACGCCTCCAGGGGGCGCGGACTGCGGAGCGAGGGAGAGAATAGACGCAGAGGCAGACGTTGACGCGGATAGCTCAATGGGCGGCTGCGCCTGCTGCATCGCGAAGACACCGCCCACAGACGGATCACGGTCGAGCTTGAGGCTCGCACCGCTCTCGCGACTGACACTGGAATCGGTATTGTACCTCCGTTCCCGCGTGCTGAGGCTATTTGTACGGGAACGGCGGCCACCATTGGATCCGGTGCGCGTGAACGTATTCTTGACCTTCTGCCAAGTCCCTTCGCCCTGACGCTTCTGCGCGTGCTCCGCTCTAGGTTCATCGTAGTCCGTATCCTCCGCCGCAGCGGAGGGCGAACGAGCAACCGACAACCGCATTGGGTATGTCTGGGGTGATGGTTGGGTACCGGCATGCTGCTGTTCGGCCGCCGCGGACAGAGCAGTAAGGGAAGCAGGTGAGGGAGGAATGTGAGCCGGAGTCGTTTCGGGAGACGTCTCGACATCGACTATCAGCGGTTTTGGAGCAGATGGCCGCTCTGGCTCAGGCGAGAACTCCTGAGAAGACCTCTGTCCGACGTTGTCTCCGAAGGATTCGTCCGCTTCCTCTTCTGGGCCGGGCTCGACAGCTTCCTCTTCCTCCTCGTTCTCTTCCTCGTCTTCGTCTTCGTCTTCGTCCTCATCCTCGTCCTCATCCTCATCGTCGACGAGCGGACGTTCAATCACTATGCATCTTCATGAGACGCGTATGAAGCGAATTGAAATGAGAGAACTCACGGGGATCTGCAACCCAACTGATCTCACTATCGCGCTCAAAGGCATTCGTCGCAGTCGCCAACCTACTCCTGCTCCGCTGCTCCTGCTGATAGGGCACCTCATCCTCGTCCGGGTAGACGGGTTCTCTGATAGGTGTCTGGAATGGACTCGCGGGGAAGAGGTCCTGTCGGAAGGTCGCGTTGTGTGACATGAACATCGGCACTGCCACTCCCGCAGAGTCAGTGGACGCATTTGACGGAGCATCAGACGTATGAGGGAGACGAGGGCCAGCAAGCGGGCGGTGGTTACGTGCAGGAGTCGTAGGCAGATTAGGTGGCCGAGTAGGAGAGATGCGATCTGGGAGGTCATCCTCGTCCTCGATGACGACCCCACGATGGCCCAACAGCGCTTCGTAGTTATATGGTAGATTTGGGCTGGGAAGTGGCCTAGGCGACGGTAGCTCCGCCTCGCCATTCGCTCGAGAAGCTGAGCGCGGGGGTTCTGGGGTATTGCGAAGGAACGGCAGGAGGGGCGATGGGGGCACGATGGGCGTATTGGGAGTCGTAGAAGGAGGCTCGCGCTCCTCTCGGTCGTCGACCACGGTCGATGCGCGTGAAGAGCTACGCCTATGAGACCGCCGTCTCCGTTTCTTCGCCGCTGTCGGAGGCGGGGGCGGCGCCTCCTCACCACCACTGGTTTGCTCCCCGTCTGTCTGGTTGTTGAGGCGATTGCCCAATCGATTGAGCAACATCCGTCGCGCGGCCATCCGCTCCCCACCTGCAACTGTGTTGTTCCTCGCCAGTTTAGCCGTTGACGTCGGCGAAGCTCCCGAAATGGAGGTGAAGTCAACAGGCTCTGCGCCTCTCGTGAGTTTGGACAAAGCCATGGCGCGCGCAGCTCCTGCGCTGTTGGACCGGAATAGCCCCGCGCCCACGCTCTTCTGGATGTCATCGAGGGAGGGCAGAGGCGTCGACGGCGTAGTCCCAGGGTAAAACAAAGGAGCGACGGGGGTGATTGGTGACCGTAGAAAGCGAGAGGCAGGGAAGCCAGCAAGATGAGAGGGTATAGGCGATATGAGAGGGGGGGACGGGGGCGGGTCTTCCCCAGGGCCTGAGGTATAGTACTCATCTGCTGAAGACTCGTTGGTATGGCTGGCGGAGCTGAAGGGCGGGGATGGCTTAGCGAAGCCCTTGCCCTTCATGTCCTTGGAACCTCTTGATCTTGTCCGGGACCTTGAGCGTCGTTTCCGGGCTGGCTTGACCGACTCTCCAGTGTTGGCAGGGTCGTTCTGTCCGCCCTCCCCTTCCTCGCCATCTGCCTCCTCGTTCCTGGGCTCCTCAGTCTCCAACGCACTCCCTGTAGCTTCAGCTTCAACCGTTGCTCCCGACTCGACATCCCTCCCACCAGGCTCCTCCCCGGCACCGTTAACCTGCGACACCCTCCCATTCCGACCCCTCTCGACCTCCTCCTGGTCCTCTCCCACTCCCCTCTCCTCTCCTTGTGAGCGCTCTCCTTCGCTGACGGCTTCGACGTGCATGGGGGGCCTGCGACCATTTTGCATGCGGGGTAATGAGGCGGCGCGCTTGAGCTTGGCGACGGCAGTGGCTCGCTGCTCAGCAGCAGTTGAGTGGTCCATGGTCCAGCCGGCTCAGGTGCAGCAGAATGGGGTTCGGAATGCACCTCGGAGTCTGTAAGAATGCTGTGTGAGGGCGTGCGTGGCAGCGGATGCCTGAGCCGGACCTTGAGTAAATTAGCTTGTCCAGCAGCAGCGCTGGCCCAGAAGCATTGTCAGACACGTTTCATAGCGCTCCGGATAGAATAAGACGTACCAAGCAAAACATAGAGATGATAGTGGTAGAAGTAGGGACGAGGAACCAAAACGGTAGAAGTTACCGAGGAGTAATCATCTGAGTTTGGTCTCTCGGTAGTCTCCCCCTTGTCCCGAGCGTCTGGATAATTAACGCCGCCTATCCGCCTTGGTCGTGTTCTACATACCTACTCCTTCGTGCCGAGAATAAAGCAAACCTACATATAGGCCGAAATATTCTCAAAGACCCTCTCTGCCATGTTATCAGCTGTATCGCTTAGAGTTCCTGTCGAAAGCCCCGTGGCAGGTGACACTGACAGGCCTTCAGAGAACCTGACCCCCTGGTTTATGCCATTGGGTCAAAATTCCGTCTCGGATCGGTATCCGAGAGCTTCTGGCAGCGCCGCATTCATTGTGGTAGAATCGATGCCCATCACTCTCATATTTGTGCATTGCGGTTGAGTGGTATGTGGGTTCTCCAGCGTCCCGCAGTGTCTGCTGACTTGTGCGCGGGAAGAGGAAATTCCGAGTACTAACGTGAGTTTCCGACAGGGATGGGTATTGTTGCGGTATGTTGGCCTTATGCTTGCTACGTCTAACACCTCATCTCTTCATGCCGCTTTGGTCGAAGTCACCTCGCAAAGAGATGTCTACAGTACAACCTTGCTCACGAGCTATCCCGTGTAATTCTCGTTTCGAACGATCGACGTAGTTCATACTGTCAAGTAGATGTCCACGGACGAGCACCGCCCGCTGGTCGCTTGACAGTCCACCCTCTAACCGCAAAGATCGCAGGTTTCTTTGGCTAGACATCCAGAATGATGATGTAGGCCACATCGAGACGGGACGATACAAGGCTCGTAGGCCCTCTGCCGCTGTCTCGTGTCCAGACGTATCGGTGTTACACCCGCACTGGCTGACCTCTGTGGTGGGGGTGTAAGTTATGTTACACCCATACGTCTAGGCACGAGGCAACTCTGCCCGACAATTCATGCACCTATACGAAGCATATGGTTCAACTCATGATGAAGGATGTATTCTTGTACAAGATGCAGGCAGTTGACGTGCTCAATACATTGAACAGAGCTTTGCAGCTTCTAGTGCTGTTGACACGAGGTGTCTACGTTCGCAAATCTCGCAACTGAACGCTAGCAACGTCATATAGACATTCCGACTGACCCAACTGAACCTGCTGCAATAGCTGATGTGGTAGGCGCATACCAGATGTCAAGAAGGCTGTTCATAGCGGAGGAGAGACCCTAAGAGCAAGCAGGCCGGGACCCGCGCAGCGCTCTCGTCCCACTGGGCCGCGGCGTCTCGGCGCGGTGACGAAGAGGCAGACCATCATCGGTTTGTAGTTCGTCCAGTCGCGGAGCACCTGCATTGCAGCCCTCACGTACTTGTGATAAACCGTAGGTCTGCTTCAGAAGATACCCTGTGTCGCAGTCCAAGAGTCGCATGTCATGTAGTGCAGGCAGATCAGTGATACCTACCTTCGTAGACCGATGGGAACAATTGTGGTCGGAGGCAATGAGCCGGGCGGAGGAATGTAGCGAGTGGTGTAGTCTACGATGTGATAAGGTATTAATGACAATATGGAAGATGGGTACTTTTATGTCGGACATCTAGTGTGAAGCAGCGCTTCGGGGACTGCTCTTCTGCTCCGCCGCGGGGTGAGAGGCAAGTCCTGAACGCTCCGAAGATTCGTCCGTCGACACCTTCGCCCCGTCAGCAACGTCAGGGGAGGACGGTGTGTCCTGGGAGAACCCTTCCTCGTCCTCGTCGTCGGCCATGATGTCTACGCCAGGCCCAGCACACCGTCAGCGACAAAGTTCCAGGATTGCGCTGTTCAACTCACGTACCCTCACCATACACATCAGGATGCTCCCTGAAGCACTCCTGCATGGCCTTGAACTTCTCCACGCAGTCGATGCCCTTGGGCTCCGCCTCAGAGAACACGAAGCACGAGAACGCCTCGCGGAACTGAAGCCCACACGGCCCGTGCGCCATCCCGCCCAGACACGGGCAGTCCCAGTTAATCTCACCCGTCTCGGGGTTGAACGCGCCCCCCTGGCCGGAGCCGGAACTCTCCTCCGTCTCGCCCTCAGTTGGCGGCTGCTCCTTATGCGGGGTCGCTCCGCTTGGGGAAGGTGAATTCGGAGGTATTGACGGCTCGTGCTCAGGGGCTGTGGAGGGTGAGCGGGAGATTGCTTCAGGCGAGGTGGAAGACTTGGGTGTTAGTGAAACCTGCTTGGACGCTGACGCAGGAGCCGCGTTCAGCCTACAGCGCACAGAAGGTAACAAACGCGAACGTACAAGAAGCGGGCGCGTCCAACGCTATACCCTGCCCATACCAGGCATTCCAGATGAAATAAGATGTCGCCACTGCAGAGGCCCCCAGCACAGCGCGAAGACGAGCAGGGCGCGCCGAAGCAGCAGGACGCAAAGAGGTATGCAGAGAAGGCCTCAACGACGCCGTGGCGAGTGTCCGAAACATTGTAGGAGCAGGCAGGAGGAGAAAAGACGCGACGGAAGGCAAACCGTTGACGGTCTGTAAGCACAGCTGGATGCGCGCCTCGGGCTGCCGGTCCTATAAAGTCGCTGACGCAGAGTCGATCCCGACTCGGCAAATTACCAACGGCCCGCCCCGGGGCGTGGGAACCCGACGCACCTCCAAATATTGGTAAACATCATTGACTCCGCGTGCCAGTGCAGTTGTCCGACAAGTCGCAGTTGTTCGCCAACCTAGGCGTATGACCTTCATCACTACTTAGCTGACTAGAATTCCAATTTCAACGCAAATGAGCCCCATTATAGCTTAGCCACTCTATCGTCTTTGAACGGGTCGTCGGACCACTCGGAGCCACCATTACCACTGATGACCACCTGCCGCACGAGGGCGATTGGGGCGAAAGCGACAGCGTGAAAGCAGATGAAGAGGCACAACTGACTCGGATATCGATGACGCGGTTTAACTGGGCTACCGCTTGGGCTCGGGAAAGTAATCGAGATGGCCATGGCTACTCATATGTACACTGCAGAGCCACATTGCGCTGAGAATGTAAATCACACTCATCGTGAAGTGCATGCGATCGATGAAGAGTTTGGTCACTCGCGAGGCTCATTGGTACGTTGCCCTGTGCATCATTTCTTCTGCTTCGGGGTTTCCCTCAACGACCACTTTGTGTCCCACGCCTGCAGGGACGCACCCTTCCCCAAACGCCTCCTCCAGCGCAACCTTTGCAACGAAACCCGAACAGTGCATCGGAAGTACGTACGTCGGGGCCGGCCGCAGCTTGTTAGACAGGAAATCGACGGTGGGAGGGATGCGGTCGGTGAGGTCGTTACCGGCAAGATGTAGCCCTCCGATGACCTGACGCGATGATCAGAAGCAAGCAGTATCATAGAGACAGAGAGCTTACCATGTATATTGGACGAGGGAACCTGTCGACCGCGTCCTTGACGACGTTGACGATGCCTGCATGAGAGCAGCTGACAGACAGCATGAGTACCGATATTTATGACACCAGTCAACTCGTCCGCTCACGCAGAGAAAATGACGAGCCCTCGCCCAATGACATCGATTGCAGCGTAGCGCTCGTCCATGATGTCCTAGCAAGTATCTCCAATGAGCGTGAGCACGTATCCAGCGAACTAAATGGAGATATCACCTCCTCCTTCTCCCACTCGCCCTTCCCATCCTTCTCAAACCAACGAACGGCGCCGGGGAGACCGCCCTCGAAATGCGTCACTCTGGGGATCTCCCCGCTTACCCAGACCGTGCCCCCTGCCACCGTATGTCCATCTGCATGCTTCTCCACGACCCCGCCCAGCTCCTCGATCTGCGCAAACTCGGGGTCGGGAGGAAGCCGCCCTATGACCTTCCCCGTATTGTGCGGGGAGATCCCCCGCGCGACAGGCCGATCGGGGTGTAGGTCCACGACGCAGGGCGGGGCGTCCGCCGGGACGTGTGCCTTGCGATAGCGCAGGAAGGAGAGCATCCCGCCGCTGTGGTCCGAGTGCCAGTGAGAGAGAATGATGCGCTCGATGCGCTCTATCGGCGGTTTGAGCGCCTCGATGTTGCGGATTAGCGAGCGTGAGTCGGGGCCGGTGTCGAAGAGTGTGTAGTGAGGCTCTGAGCCGTCCACTTCGGTTTGCTGTTTGCGTCGTTGATCGGTTCATCCTCCTCAAATTGAGGTAGGTGGAACTTACGATTAATGCTGAAAAGCCATGGACTCCTGGAAGCAAGTGAGGCTGTCAACACATCGACCGAGCTGCTCCAGATGAAGGGCACAAACCACAACAGTAGTTTTCGAGGTCTAGAATGGGCACTCCTGTCCGAGGATCATGTGGAACGTCGGTGTGTGCCAGCTGCTGGGCGACCTCATGTACGAATCCAGGAGGGAGCTTCGTCATCCTAATGAAGTAAAAGGCGCATATATGCACATGCAGGTGAGGAATGTTTCAACGCGAGATATATCAGCACTGGTAGACTGACCATTCAATTGTATTGTCCACTAAGAAGGTTATGGTGAGTTTATCAACCAACTTGATCTCCGGGGTCGTCATCGTAGCCGTCGGATGTTGCTCCTGCAAAGCGCGGTCCCAAAGGCTGCGTCTGCAGGACGGAGAGAAATTAGTATTCTCGTTCTTCTAGTAAAGCGCCTCTTTCCGGCGGTATCAATTGAACGGTATCCCTACCAATCACTAGACCACACTGCTTAGATGTACAAACGTTTTTATACACTATCGCTATCTTCAATCTGTGGTGGTCAACAACATGAGAGGCTACAACGGGACGGCGGCAGCTATAAAGTAACGCATACTAAGTCGCACATCTTTCGCTGACGTCAGCAATTGGATCACTCGCCCACGTACCTGCTCAGGAGAAGCCTGCAGCTGGAACACACCGATGAATCGAGGCACTGAGGTCATGAAGCCGGTTACCCGCACAAAACAAGATATCTGCTGGCCAAAAGACAGAATTTCATCAATATGTGCATATAAATGAGGACACTACGGCGGCAACATTGATCATCGGCACGCCAACGAATAAACCGAGAGGAAGAACGAAAGCCGAGTCTCGTACAATACACCGACACACTACGCCGGCCTATGATACAACCTACTGTCCGTGGTGTCAACAAGCGCTTGTCATTGGACCGCATCCAATTACACAATGTACAGTCCGACACCAGATCACCCCGATGTTGCATCAAAGCAAGATCCAGCAACGCAGTAAGATAACTAATAGATAGCGGAACTATATCTAGGCGGCTTGCCTGCGGTAAGTTGGTCAGAGGGCTGTCATGCAGATGATACAAGAACGTGACCTACGCCATTCCACCATACCCCATACCCGCCCCCGATTCTGCGAGCTTGCGCTGCCTGAACGCCTGTAAACGGCTTAGACTCGTATTCAGATGAACCATATGAGTTGGGGATACTTACCCTGCGGTACTTAGTACGCTCGTACGTGACGAGACCGACAACAATAAGCGCGATGACAGAGATACCCGCGAACACACCCAGACCGATGGGCAAGACAGACAGTTTGGTACCCGGGAGCTGGAATGTGGCCGCGCTAGACGAGGCCGAGTCTGCTGCAGACGTGGCGGTGCCGCTCGCGTCGCCCACGGCGGAGCCGGACGCACCCGCCGAAGTGGCGGTCGCAGTTCCAGAAGCACTCCCGGATTCGACGCTTTCGGTCGCTATCGCACCACTGTCAATTGAGGAGAATCCGCCGGGAGAGACAGCGCCGCCGGTAGTAGTAGCAGCGGGCCCTGACGCAGTGCCGGTCCCCGTCGCAGTGTCCGTGGACCCGGACGGGAGGGCCGTGCCAGACACCAAGGTTGTACCCTAACATCCACAATTCAGAAAGGCTGAGGGTACGCCAGAAGACAAAGACTCACGTCAACACTGATTACTCCGCCTGGTGAACCCGACGACGCGGTGGCAGTTGCGCTATTGCTGTCCGTAGCAGTGGCCGTGGCACCAGTGCTGTCAGTGCTAGTGGCAGCGGAGCTATCTGTGCTCGTAGCAGCGGAACTGTCTGTCGATGACGAGCCGGAGTCCGCAGAACTTGAGTTGGAGCCGCCGTTGCCAGCGGCATTGTTCCCGCTGCTAGCCATCGACACGGTACACGACTTGGTCTCGCGCACCAATGGCTCGCCATTGTTTCCGGTGATGGGGTCAAGCGTGATCGTGCACGTCTGGATCATAGCACCCACGGCACTGCGGACGGGTCAATTATGGCATGCAAGGCTGCCACGCACAAGAGGCACTCACGTCTGGAGGGTGCTGGTGGTCGTGACGGTGGTCGACTGCGACAGATTATCTCCATCCCTGGCCAGTCGGAGGTACGAGGTTTGCTCCGTGCGTTTCGTGAGGTCCGTTGGGGCCGCAGAGGCAGGACCCAGGAAGAGCAAGAAGAGGTGAAGGAGAGCGACGGTTGCAGACTTTGACCCGAGCATCTTGGCGACAGAAGTTATTGACGGTAGCGCAGCTCGGAGGGTAAGAACAGAGGCGAGTATTGCGGAAGCCGGCTCCCTGAGGCTCGACAGCACGTACAACGGCGACGAAGGTGGAAGAAAAGGAATGGAATGGCCCCCAGGGCAGACAATGAGCAGCAACCCGACGAGGATGACGGGGGGAAAGGTGAGAGGCAGGAAGGCCGCAAGACACAAGAATACTCTCCGCGCTCTCAAAGACAGGCCCAGGCGCGGTTGATTGTTGTCGCTACCCATCAACACTCTTCGTTGTCCGATTATGCTATGGTAAGCGGAGCTCAGCTCCATACAACCGCTTTGTATCGGAGCCCAAAATCAAGGTGAGCCGAGACCCGGCGGGACTGCAGTACAGCAACGATCACCATTGCGATACCTCGGGTTAGCAACGCACATTCCAGACATACACTCTCTCACCCTTACACACAACCCGATCATCGACCTGCCTGCGGCGCCACCTATATGCATGGAGATGTAACCAAGATCGTCTACGTTTCTATTTCACACTTGCTGCGCACGATATGTACAGGGCCGCCCTCCGAGTAAAAGTAGTTCGCTTGGACGCAAAGGCCGCGAAAAGGACGGCTGCGCAGCGCACGTCCAAAGCATGGCCGCGGCTTCGCGGTGGACAGTCACCTCATTCCTCCTTCTACCGCTTTGTAAATGTTGCCTTCCCTCACGCGATGCCGACGCCGCAGCTCGAATATGAGACCAAACACCCGGGAAACCGCCTGCGTGCCGTAGCTCTCAAATGCCATCGACGTCACCACGTTGACGACGACCGCAAGCAAAAGCGTCGCCCTCGCTGCTAGTGGAAGGTTCATCAACTCAAGCAAATTCATCAAAGGCTTTGGCGGGTCCAGGAGGACAAGCAGGTTGAAACAGCCCAAAGTGATCAACGAGACCATGAACCAGGCTGACAAACGTGGGATCAGCGCTTGCATAGCAGACGGAAGTCACAACGATTGCAATTACCGTTCGTCCACATCGGCTTCCTGAACGGTGGTCCAATGCTGAAGACAGCTGCGACCAAGATGTACTGGAAGCATGAGACCAAAAATAGAACAGAGTTCTCATAGTTGGTCGCCTCGAGCTTGTCGCCGTCCGAGTTGGGGTCATTAGGTGGTGGAGGTATGTACCTGTGCCATGGGGCACTGCATTAACTTTCCCACCCTGAGACACGTCAACGGTTTGCACTCACCATGATTGCGAGCGCACCCAGAAGAACGCCCAGAATTGGACAGCCGACGTGATGAAGATCTGACCGACAAGACTCGCCAGTACCTTCTTCGACACCAAGCTCGCTGTCGGTCGCTTTGGGTGTATGCGGGAGTAGGGCAGCGTGCGTCCCACTGCAGCAGCGGTTAATTCGAAATCACCAACGTATGGCTGTGCACTCACTGGTGACTGCGATTGGGATAATGATGAATAGATCAATATACAAGAACTGATTTACGTTGATCATCAATCAATCCTTCGGCAGGCAGCATGCTTACAACTCACCTGGAAATCTCCCAGAGACGACGCGAATGAATACAGCAAGGTGATGGTGGTGAATTGGATGAGCGAATACAACGCCCTGATGCCCCCATCAGCACATTGCTTCCACAAAAGGGGAGACCTGGCGACTCACATGTATTTGAAACAGCTGAAGCTTGTCACCAGCGCAGCTCTGCCTTCCTTGATGACCTCGATGACACAGCTGATGTCAGGTGTCCGGCTCGTGAACGGCGCTGCCACGGAAGCTTCTGCCTCAGAGAGTGACAGGCCGACATCCGCGGCCTTCAGAGCGGCACAGTCGTTCGCACCGTCGCCACACATGAGAACAATATAGCCGAGACTCTGCAGTCGCTCGACGACTTCGTTCTTCTCGTCAGGAGACATGCGAGCGTAGATCTGCGTCTTGACAAGCATCTATCAAAGGAGCTTAGCGATGCGGGACCGACTCCAATCTGGCATTGGCATACCCTTTGCATGGTCTCGAGAGGCGCATGATTAATGACCCAACGGAAAACGTCGCCTGTCACAGCGAGGGTGTAGTCTTGGCTCTCCAGCTCTTCGTTCTCGATAAGCCTAGTCGCAGGCGCGGGCAGAGGCTTCAGGCTGTAGTCGTCGAGCTTCCATGTCGGTTCCTCCATGCTGGACCACTCCAGCTCCGACAGCCGCGAGGACGCATTCCCTCGTATGAACGTAGGCACAAAGACCTGAGCGGCTGGGTTGATCAGTCCACACTCGCGCGCAACGCTGACGGCTGTGAGAGCGTTGTCGCCCGTGATCATCCGGCATGCGAAATGTGCCGCGCGGAGTGTTTGGATGGCAGGTGTAGTTCCTGGCTTGAGCTTGTTTTCGAAAATAACCAAACCCAAGAATTGGAGTCCGGACTCCGCTTGTTCTCTAAGCATACGTAGCGTTAGGGGTAGTAGGCATTCCAAGCAGGCCCGAGGCTCACCGCTTAAGCTTCTGGGCCTTCAGCCAGGAAAGGCCTTCGATGCTCTTGCCAGCCATAGCGATGACTCGGTAACCGCGCTTGGTATAGTACGAAAGTAGGTCATCATAATCCGATGGAACTGCATACGGCGGACCTTAGCTGATACCCCCCAGACAAAAACAAAACGAAAGCCTACAGGTGCTTTTGTCGCAGATTTCGGCCATAACCTCCGGAGCGCCCTTGACGTACACTTCCATGCTCGTGCTCTTCAGCCGCTTGACAATCACACTCATCCGACGTAGAGCGGAAACGAACTCGAATGTGCGGATAACGCCCAATTCGAGGAAATGGGCATGCTACAACACCGACTTTAGTCCGGTCCTGCGTGATAATGCCTGTGACGAGCTCACCCTGCCGGCACCCTTTAACGCATCCTCGATCCGGAACTGAGCACTTCCAGGCGGTCGCACGACAGTCTGCACGAGCGCCGCCGGACGCTCTCCTCCGCTCTTGTTCTTGACAACAGCCGTGCCAGCCACATGACCTTCCTCCAGCGTCCACTTGGTGAACTCGAACATCTTCACGTCTAGCGGGTCTCCAATGATCTCCCCGTCGACCATTTTCAGCGAATGGCACGTCGAGAGTGCATGCAAGAAGTTCGCCTTGTCCCGGCTCGTGGGTAGGTCGTGAATGTCCTCCAGCAGCTCCCCAAACCTGTTCGTGTTCCGTTCTGGGGCACGGACCCCGAGGATGTCTAGCCCGTCTTCGGTCAGCGTGCCGGTCTTGTCGAAGCAGCACACATTGATCTGGCCTGCAACGTTCACTCGGCTAGGAGAGATGCAGAAGATGCCCAGTTTGCGCAGACGGCCGATGGCGAAGCTCGTCCCGATAGAGAGAGTGGCTGGCAGCGCAGGTGGAACGACGACGGTGATGAGATCCAGGGCGCGCAATACAATTGTGTGCCACCGGACCTATTGAACATGAGCATTTAGTGGCATCATGGATTGGGAAGAGGCGCCTTACACCGAGTCGGACGAACTGAACCGCGCTTGCGAGGAAGCCGAGTCCCGCGACACCCGCCAGAACGCCGATAAACCTCATCGAATCCCTGTAGAACTTGAATCCTGTAGGCTTAGGGAAGAGCATGGACCGCACAAGTGCGCCCTTCGTAGTATAGAAGCCTGGGAAAGCGTAAGCCTTTGAACGCGCCGTCCTGCACCCTACTCACCAGTACGCACGACCAAACCCAAGGCTGGCGCACCAGTTCGTCCGTCGGTGGTCAACCCGCTCCTGATGCGCACGACGCGAGTTCCGGAGTACAAAAAGCTCTTCGCCATGTCACCCACGATGTCGGTGGTATCCCGCCACTTTGCGAGATCGTCGTTCTTGATGGGGACCTTGCTCACCGGCACACTCTCGCCGGTAAGCATACTCTCGTTGACGATCGCGTCGCCGGAGAGCAGAAACATGTCGGCAGGGAGGGTGGCAAGTGGAGGCTCGAGCAGGTTGACGATATCGCCAGCTACGAGATCCGAGGAATCGCATTCTTGCCCTGTTTCAGCTGGTAAGTACTGTTCGGGCAGAGTTTGGGGGCGGCTTACATGAACTGTCTCGATACACGTTGACCTTGCAGACAAACCTCGACATTTCTCGCATCCGTGCGATAGTCTGAGATACGGCTGATTCGCAAGGAGTGCTCAAGATGCAAATAACAATAACCTCACCTGTTTAGTCTCCACGAGGGTCGTGATGATACTGATGGCAGAAATGAGGGCAATACAAAATGCATAGTAATAGTAGTCGTCCAAAGACCACAGGATGATGCTGGCGATTTGGAAGATGTAGAAGGGATGAATTACCTTATATACTAGCTATGAGATGCACCGCATTGACAAACCGAGAGACAACGTACCTCGTCTATGAGGAGAGACACGGTAGATTTGCCTTCTATATCGATGAGATTGGGACCAAACAGAGTTGATCTCTGCACCTGGACGTCCTTCGAGAGCCCATTCTGCACCGCAGCAATGTTCATCCAGGAGGCGTCTCTCCATTCTCTGCGAGCTCACCATGAGCTGACCTTCCCCCCACTTCTACGCACACCACCACGTTCAGAAACGCACCGAATCATGCTGAATAGCCCCGTACGGGGATCTAGCGCGAACCTGTTGTACCGGTAGTCCACGAACATCAACGTCGACAGCATAGGCAAAGATGCGCCAGCTCTGTAACTGGGCAAGTACTGCGAGGGATCCGGCCGTGTCGAAAAGGCCGTGGATATCGCGTATGGGTAGTCGATTCTCGCCACTGGGAAAAGTGCGATGTCTCTATATGCGGTCTTCCTCTCCTTGAGTAGGATATTCTACTCATCACAGGGGAGAACTCACCTCAACGACGACAAAACCATGCTTGATGTCCACGAACGCGCGTTCTCGTGTCACCCAGCGTAGCCAGAGCCGGGGGAACCACCGCCCCAGGAGAGCCAGGACGCCGAAGGTGCATACGCAGGAGAGCCACCAGAGCCATTGTTTCCAAGATATTGGCTCGTACCCAATTATGCGTATGTGCACGTCCTCGTCCGCAACGTACACCGTCTGCCGACTTGGCGGCCCAGCAGGCGGGGGCGGCAGGGGCTCCAGCTCGCCCATTTCAATACGCGCTTCGGACCCAAACACCGGGTCCCCCGCGAGCAGCGGGAGCGTGGGTCCTGGGGAGGGAGGGTACGAGCCAAACTCCATTTCGCTCCCCGAGGGTGCCAAACTCGCCCGGTCGATGTCCGTCTCGCCCTCGTCCGACTCCTCCTCGTTCGACGTATACCCCCACCGTTCGTCCCAATCGCCGTCCTCAGACGTATCGTCGACCGCGTAGTCCGAGCTCAAGTCAGACCGTCTACTGCTGTGTCGTCTTAACAACCGCGAGCGTGAGGTGCGCGAGGTGCGCGAGGCACGGCTCGATATGCTGGGCCGCCGGCTGCGTGAGGGAGACTCTGTCTGCGGCGCGTGGCGGCCCCCAAAGATGCTTGCGATGTTGTCGAAGACACTGCTCCGCGCTGCAACAGGAGACTGAGATTTGCGTCGTCGGCCCCGCGGCCTGGTGAATACTTCATGATCGCCCTCGTCCCCGGACAGAGCTTCGTGGTCGGACCAGTCGCCGTCCTCCCCATCCCTATCCTCGCTCCGGACGTCCTCGCTGCCACGCCTGCTCCTACTCATGCTCCACGTCCGTCCCTCACGGCTCATGCTGCATTCGCTGCGCCTGCGGCTCATAGACCCGCGCCCGCTGCTGCGTCGGGCGTCGTCCCGCATAGTCATACGAGACACGCTGCTCGGGTTGACGGCGTGCCCTGGTCCATCGAACATGGCGTCGCCGTCGTCTCCATAGCCAGAGTCTTGTCTTGATAGACTTGCATTTGCGACAGCCTGTTGTATATCGAGAGGTGACGCGCCTTCGGTGTAGTCATGACCGGCTCCGTTCGACGACGAAGGCTCCGACATTCTCTCCTTAGACGGACCCGAGAATCAAGAAGCAAATGAGTTGTAGATGCGGGCCTCAGCAAACACCAGACATGTGTTTGAGATGCTAGTAGATCGGATGGTATGGAACAAAATGCGGACGAGTGCTCAATTCTTGTCGGCCGCTCGTTCCGCCGCGCGCTCAAGGCGTCAGGGTATGTACCGGCAAGGTTAGCGCCGATAGCGGTACGTCCTGCTCATTCGCTTGAACGCCGCCAGCAGCCCAGAAATGAACTCAAGTATGTTCCTGCAAGTTTTGAACGAAATTGGCGATGTGGTGCTCGAAATATAGAAAGCGGTCTTCCGGTCGCGGTTTCTAGCAGCAGTCTGTGGCGCCCTTCGCCGTTTCGGAAAGGACGTCACGTGCAGAAACTGACACGCACACAGGTCGCGCATTGGCACCTGCAAGTAACTCCAGTACTCTATTCTCTTGTCTCCCCTCTTCTCTGTTAGCCTTGCGGGCTTGGTCGCCATTTATTGCTAGATAACCATGAACTCCTTGTATACTCTAGGCGTACGACAAACTAATTCTATACAAGCCGACCTCGAGAGACTACGGAATGGCGAGAAGTCTGCGTCGCTACTAGGTGCGTAAGACTCCTACGGTGTTCCATTGGTGTATGTCGCCCCGGACGACGACGATCTTATGTCCTTCCGTATTTGATTAGGGCAGATATCCGCGTCATTAGCGGCCATGCACAGGACGGTGGAGGACTATGATTCGATGGCCAAGAGAGAGATTATCAAGGCTAAGCAGGAGAAAGCTATGATGTATGTCTCTTCTGTCTACATTAAAGGCTCTTATATTGTCCCCGCGGAGGCGTATACGAGCCTTGGAAGAGAAAGGGTGTAAGTCTTGCTTACGCAGAAGCCTTATGATTTAGGCGAGTACAGAAGTTTCGTACAGATTACTCCGACCTACGAGCGCAGTTTGAGCGTCTGAAGGCAGAGGTGAGCTTGCCATTGCTCCCTCCGCATCTCCGTCTGATTGACAATGGATTAGCACGAAGCACTATCGCGAGCTGAACTGTTGTCAGGCGCATCGTCCTCAACAGTGCCCTCGTCCGCACCTGGAGACGCCCGACGGAGATTCATGCCAAACCAATCCCCTGCAGAAGAAGTCTCAGAATCCCCGTTCCGAAGCGGTATACCACTACCTATGAACGGTGCCCTGCGAGAACAGCACGCTCTCCGCGAGCACAGCTTTGTGCAAAACACGGATTCCCGCCTAGACGAGTTCATTGCTCAAGGCCGGGCTGTCCTCGATGATTTGGTCGATCAGCGGAACGTGCTCAAGGGCACACAACGACGGCTGCTCGACGCTGCGAACACTTTGGGACTCAGCAGGGATGTCATTGGGTGGATTGAACGGAGAAGGTACGTCGGCGATACGGTACATATGCTCTTGTCCTGGACGCTGATTACTGGTGATTCTTCTATCAGCACGCAGGACATGTACATCTTCTTCGCTGGCGCTATCTTCACTTTCTTATGTTTCTTCCTCATATGGAGGTATCTGGGCTGATGTCGTCACTTTTCCCGGACTCGGACTCCTGTATAGTAGTGTTGCTGGGCTGCTAATCATCGTTCTTTAGGAGTATCTCGTTGTAGCATGTTGCTCTCGAACGATCCCTCAAAGGCGCCAGTGGTTGTAGTCAGCAATTCTCGCCCCATGGTCACTGCGGAGATTTGCTACGTGCGATACTACGGGTATATGTGCGGAGAATTGCTGGGTTGGCGAGCAGACGATGTAGATTGCTCCAAGCATCGCCCTTCAGTTAACTGATTGCAACCGGTGACCCGGAAGAGGTTGGCACAACCTCTGCAGTCTGACGCTATTGTGCGAGCTGCTCTAGTAATTCGCGTGGCTATGCACGTTGGTTGTGAATCCCTTTCGGTCACCCCACTCCACCATCTTGCGTTCAGTCAACGGTCGTCCGTCCACAAGCCGGCGTTTGAACGGGAAGGCGGTATGTCCAACAGCAGCTCTGTGATCGCGATGACTGCTATTGATCCTACGCATCAGCAACCGTGTATATTGAATCTTTTGAGGCCACAATCACGCCCTAACGATACACCGCAGGTCACCCGCACTCGGCATGGTCCTCGGTTGCTACGTTGCTCCGCAGGGGTCCCTGTCGAAACCCCTTCATTCGTCCCTACAGTCGACTTCAGCTTGCCCCGGTCGGCTTTTGTTCCATCGAGAGGCGGACCTGGTTGTAAGAGGTTATTCTCGGTATGCAAAGCGTGCCTTACGGGAACAGACTCAAAAGATGCTCGACGTCTGCCAAGGACTTCGGGGCATGCCCGAATATCTGAGCAGCATTGCGACTGATCTGCCGCGCCTCCGAAGGCGCCTACTCCTCCGACCGCTCGGACGTGCTGTCTGTTGCTCCTCGAGCCATATTCAGGTTCTGCGCATATATCTCGAGTGGTGCAAGACAAATCATGTGTTCTCTAAGCGAAACTGCCGGTAGTAAGCCTTCTGTGCATAGTGCACACTCAAAACAACCCTTTTGGCGGCATGTAACAATGCCCTTGCTGAGGTCACCGGTGGGCGTAACGGGCGGCTGTGGCTCGGAATTCAGGTGATGCATCGGAAGGTTTGACTGACGTGACAACAACAGAACTCTCCAGATCGGAGCGCCAGCGTCGAACATTTTATCGCTCGTCGATGGCTGCCTTAGGCACATTTCTACTGTACGACCTTGCTGCTTGTCTCCCCTAGATGTTTTGCTGAAGAGAATGGTAAAAAGTCATCTAGGCATCGATCGCGGCGCATACAGGGAAAGGTGGTGCCCAGCCAGCTTTCGAGGGGCAGTTGGCTCCCGGTAGTACCGAATCAAACGAAACACGCACCCGGACAAAGGAAGCCCCGGTATCGGTACAAATTGCGGTCTTTAAGGTTCCGCAGGCTCAAGGCCATCACATATAAAATACTGAGGCCGTTGTTGTGTACATGCCTGTCGACACGCGGCATGTCCGAGCCAGACGAGTTCCTTCTATCCAGCGCGGTGTCGCTGTCTGGCGTCACACCCGACATTGGACCCTCCTTTAGCTTGTTGTAAGTAATCGAATGGCCATAAAGCAGGTCTTCTGACATTCTCTCGTTCAGGATTTTCATGCACTACTTGTGCCCTGCGATCACATGTATGGTCCGCACGCTCGAGACCATGACAGCGCTTTCTGAGTTAATTCCGCTATTGCACAGCAATCGTAGTATATGACTGGGCGATATCTCTTTCTCGAGAGTGCCAGCTGTTCGGCACAGGGAATGCCAGAACATTCTCAGCTTGGCTGTATTTTGCGAACCGATATACCAATCTCTTCAGCCAAGTAGTGGTCTTACCCATGTACCTGCGATCGCTATCTCCTAAGGTATGTGCCTTCTCTACGTTAGGGGCCAGCACATTGACTCTAATTTCTGCCTAAATTCCTGCTAGAGGTACTACGTGACCAATTTGTCTAAGCTTTACATTCGCTGACAACATTTACTCATCATCTTAGCTGCACTCATATTGTGTTAGCAATGAGCATCACATCATGCCTGTCCATGATTCCGCCGGCCGGTGCGTACTGGTGTATCGGATGCTACCAGATACCTATTGAATTGTGATGTGAAGTTTTCAATGGCCTGAGAGCATTTGCACTCAGCCGATCATGGAGTGTATCCATCTTCATCTTTGGGCTCTCATTGGTGCCGTTCGCATCTGTGATGGTCTGTACACTTCCTTTGACAATAATCAATGCTGAGGCATATAGATCGTCAGATAGAGTTCGGATACCATTTCACCGGAATTATTGAACCAGCAGTACAAGGGTGTGGGGTTACTCTTGCCTATCCTATTCCTCTCATACGCATGTACGTCAGATGCCTGCTTATATCTGATCCTCCGCTTAATACTAACCGATTCAGGAGTATGTACTCAATTGGCTGGAGAGGCTACATAATCTCACACCACATTGTAGCCACCATTCTCAATCGCACATGTACTATCGTCGCCGATACCCTACTCATTGCGCTCACGTGGCGATCACTTCGTAGGGGAATATTTCTTGATAGATGCAGGACCCTGACTAAGACAGATCTCATGGGAGTTTTGCTACGGGACGGTGAGTCCCCATCTACATTTATTTTTCTTTTTGGTTGAGCTCCAACTTGATCCACCATTCTCAGGGACTTTCTATTTCATGTGAGTTCCGACCACTCAATGACCCCATTAGGTTCAAACGCCCCTTTACAGCGCACTTTTGACAACCAACATCTTGCTGATAATCATTCTGCAACGACCGCCAGTGAGCGCTGATGTTGCTGTCTGCCGGGGTATGGCCTCGCGAATTAACCTTTCTGTAGTTGAACCTCGCATCGGGCGACATCATATCGCCCTATATCACAGGCTCGTATGTCTTGGCCCTCCATATGAATGCGAACCTTGCCTCTGGTGGCATACTGATCTGTATCACTCAGGCTGTCATCCACCCTTATTTCTCGCTTTATGCTTGACCTCCAAGAAGCTTATCAGCGGAAGACCGTCATCCTTGTCCCGGAAGACCTCCTGTGTACGTTGAATGGTAGTGGCTTCCTTTCAAGCGACTCTATCTCTGCACTAGGCTCGCTTGCGGCCCACATAGGTGCCGCCGACTTGCACCTTGCGGATGCACCGTGGGACAACACAGTCGAAGCAAGAGTGGATGCAGTCGCTGAGCCGCACGATGCCGTGCCGTCCCTTAGAGCTACACAACACGGGTCGCATCTTGGGAGTAGGCAATGATGCCACAGCCTCACCGGGGAGATGCCCTGCGGATTGATCTGAGATGGCAAGAGGGAAGTCAACCTTCAGAGGCTCTCAAGCGTAACAACTGCGCTACTGCACTCCGAGCACTCCTTGAATTGTGCACTTCATAGTCCCTCACTGTGCATTTCCAAAGTCTGGTTTTATTTCTCGGAGAGAGGACCCTATACTAGCTGTACTAGCTCAGTTCATGCCAGTGGAATCATGTACTAGAGCTGCATCTAAGCATATACATACTTACATGTACTATCGACCTATTAGGTCCGTGTTCCGTGGGAGAAGAAGCGGGGGAGACAAGCCCCCTTAAAAGTCTGGACCTTCGTGTATCAATTCGTAGCCGCCGGCACATGTCGCGCTGTCTAGTGACTCGGATGACGAGGACGAATTCATGATCAAAAACGTCCTTCCGAGCTTAGTACCTACTCGTCGCCCCCTGCCTCCTTACCAACTGCCTACTGCACAAAGCCACACGCAGCCTCATACAATCCACATAGTTAGCAGTGTCCTCGCTACTAATCGAGTCTTCAAGTGCTGTTTCAAGCAGCTAATTTAACCAGAAATGCAAGGCGAAAATCCCCGTGATGCTGTCCACGAGGACCTGTATAGGGGCGCTGTGCAAGTCCCCGCCAGCGCCACGCCAGTGATGGATGCAGACGAAGAAGTGAGGATATTCTGCCCATCTCTAGCCGCAATGTTCATTGCTCACAAGCAGTGTGCAGGTGTTCCTTTTATACACGAACCTCGCCGCTAGACAGACTGCAGATGGCTCATCCAGCTTCCGTGGACTTGGTCATATAGACTCCCACAAGGATATGCTCACAATCTCCTTGAAGATCGAGGGACCGAGCAGGGGACAATCCGAGGACGAAGGTGGCATTCCCGTGGTCCACAAGAGTCATGCATCGCGACGCCCTCGGCGGAAAGTGCAAGGTCGCAAGCACGATGTCAGTGAGACACTGGAGGTGGAGATCTTTCAAGACAAGACCGCCTTGCGCAGTCGCAAAGGCGACACAGGGAGTGTCGTGTGGCATGCAAGGTAGGATGTGGAATCGTGCTGTGCTGCCGCGACGATATCGACCTGGCTCGCGTGATCGGTTCTCTCTAATATAGCGTCGATTTCGCCGAAGTCATTTTGCAGCAGCTTCGCAACAGATCCCCGCACGGATTTTTCACTCCAGAGGGGCTGGCACAAGCCCACGTAGTGGAACTAGGGTACGTCTCATGCATCATGTTCACTGATTGAGCATCGAGCGAGCACTCTTGCAGAGCGGGAACCGGGCTCCTTGGTGTCCTGCTGTCGCCCTTCGTGCACCAGTACACGATAACGGATATAGAGGATCTCGTTCCCCTCATCCGAAAGAACGTCACGAGGAACCTGCCTATACCCCTTACCTCCCCGCCCGAACCTAAACATTCTCCGCCCAAATCGCCGATACCCAACGTCGTCACGATGGCGTTAGATTGGATACAACTGCACAATGCACCCGCTTCCTTGCGACCGAGGCTAGTTCCCTCTGACCCGGCAGACATCTTACTCGTAGTGGACTGCATCTACCACCCGTCCCTGCTGCCCGCCATGCTTACGACGATCGACTACCTCGCCGTGCCAGACAAGACCGCCGTCGTAGTCGTGGTGGAGCTCCGGGCGGAGGACGTGATAAGGGAGTTCTTGCAAGGCTGGCTGGACAAGTCTTCTTCTCAGGGCGAGTGGGAGATTTGGAGCGTCGGCGAATTGCTAGAGGGTCCCTATGCGGTGTGGGTGGGATGGAAGACGGCGTTATCGCAGAGTGAGCGGCAGCAATGACAGTCTTGACGGGGCCGAGTGTACGTATGTAGAACGGGATTCACATGTCTTTCTGTCATCAGACATGATGAGTGGGCCGTGAGGCGAGCTTGGTCTTTGCGCACGTTAGATAGTAGAGGCGGCGCGACGTGGGGAATGAGCCAATGCACATGGTGATAGACGAAGGGAGGCTGCTATCGCTTCCCCTTCGAGCTCCCTTTTCGCCTCGACCCCTTGCCACCCGCCCGATCCGCCTTTTCCAACTTCCGTTTGCGTTGCTTCTGTCGTTCCGCTTTCCTTGCGGCGCCGGTCTGATACTTGATATCCTTCGCCTTGGCCGACGTCTTGATCTTCGTCTTGGCGTCCTTATTTTTAGGTTTTGTTGTCGCACGAGCCTTGCTATCTGATGCAGGCTCGGCAGGGTCCTTTGGCTGATCGTGAGGCCGGGGTGGAGGTTGAGTGCCGTGGATCAGGCTGTCGGGGTCGAACTCCTCGACCACGGTGACCGTCGCAAGCTGCTCCTCGTCTTCGTACTCCTCTTCCTCCTCTTCATTGGCCTTGCCCTTGCCCTTGGACGATGTCGTCTGTATGCCGTCCCATTCGCTATCGTCATCCTCGTCTATCGAGTAGGACGTCTTTCTCTGCGTTCCCAAGTCCAAATGTCAATGGAGACTCACCAACGATGCCACCATACGCCCGCTCGACTTCCTCCGCATTCTTTAGAGCCTGTTCTGCGAGCATTTTTCGATGCTGACAGAGAGGTTTTGGTGACTTTGGTGAGAACGAATCCCACAGCAAGAAGTCACTGGGACACACCTCCCGACGAGCCTCTAACCTCTCCTGCTTTTCGCGCTCCTGCGCTTTCTTCCTGGCAGCTTCTGTCTTTTGCACCTTCCGCTTGTGAAAGCCCGTCAAGAACTCCCTGTGGTAGTGCGTCGTGGCCCTTTAGCTGTGCGTCTCGAAATTGTGCAGGCACTTTACTTTACCTACGCGCATTGTCGTCGAAGAGAAGTTCCTTGATCTGCTCTTTCCTTGCTTTCTTTTTAGCAGCGATGATTTTGTGTGATTTCGTGAGCGTGGCGAGGTTAGAAGGTGCCATGCTTGATGTGGAGGTGCGGTAAGTGGACCATAGGCTAGGGTGGCTGAGATGTCGATGGGCGCCTATTGGATAAAATCCCTATCACGTGGGGCGGCGACCTCTCCGAACGTCGTTGGTCCTGACTGCATCCTAAATGACTTCAGACAGCTTCCAGGACCTCTACTTTTTCCCGCTTTAACTATCTGAGCAGAGGGTTCAGGGGATTCTCGCCGGTCGTGTGCACTCGCAGCTGTGAACGGCCTCCGGTGGAAGACTGAAAACGCCTTCCAGCCATATGGTGCTGCGGGAACTCGTCCATGCATTAGTCCGACGATTCCCTTTTTTAACGATAGTTCCTGAAACTAATCCACACTCCTTGATTCTGCTCGAGCGCATTCGACCCGCTCGACAGCTCCTATCTCACCTGATGCTCTTCAGGGTCAGGTCCCGCTGCCCTTGTTTGGCGGCAGAAAGCTGTTAGTTTGGCAGATTTTATCGGCTTAAGCAATCCCCCCCTTGCCATTCCGCCATCTGGCGGACGCTGCAACTATCCGGTTCTGGACACTCGGCATCGCCGGAGGTTGGCTCACCGATACTGCGATCTCCCAATGCCCAAAGAACTCCACTGACTCTGTATCATGAGCTTCTAGATGCGGCGCCGAGTTCCATGTCGCTGTGAATGTCGCTCAGGCCTTTCCGAGCTCCGGATACACCGGATGGGACCGTAAGTTACGCCGCCTGACATATCTACGTTTTCGCTGAATTGTTTGTAGGCCGATATCCAAGTGCAATGGCTACTATGCTGTCAATGACGGAGTCCGAGAGGCGAACAATCCAGGTGTTGCGGGCCGTGTTATCGAAGTCCTCCACGCTTCCTCTGCCTGTTCCACGCGTCCTATGTGATTCTAGGCGGGGAAAGCCAAAATAAGTCCACAGCGCACGTCATTGTGAACCTTTTTGGGAGTACACCGGGTGCTGCGGAGGAACGTCGCAAACACTCCTCCATGCGTTAATTACCAAGATTCAACGCGCCCGCAAGGTCATCCCGGGCCATTTCCTGCAGGTCCGGACTGCCGCCCTGGCGCTCTCCACCACTATCTATCGTCCCTGGCTTCATTAGACGTCCACGGAGCGTGGTGGCTATTCCAAAGTAGCAGCAAGGAACCTTCCATCGCTTTCGAGCTTACATGGTCCGTTCGCAATTTTAGGCTCGCGGCCCAAAGTAGCTCACAAGTTCCCTCGGTTCTAGCGATGGCATGAGAAGCCTAGCCGTTCTCACATGCCGATGAGAGCAGGTCTGCACAACTTCATCGCAAGACGCTGTCATGCCTTCCTTCATCGAGTACAACCTTCTAGTGAGACAGCGACGTTCGGCGGAAGTCATACCGCTCATAAGGCCCTGAGCTGGGCGCACGTTCCTGCGGATGTGTTCATGCGCACATGCGGGTTAGCCGTCAGGCATGCTACCGTAATGGCGCATGATCCACGACCTGGGTGCGGTGGCCGCAGACCCACGCTTGGCAGGACCGTACACTGTGATAAGGCGTGGTCCAAGGCGCACGAATGAGCGCATTCCCTCGAGACACAAGTGGCGTCTCTTATCGCGTCAGGGAGTAGGACTCGCACGGGGTACAAGAACCCTCGCCCGTACGTCCCCACGTCCGCAGGTCCTCCCACCTCTTACCCCGCCATGGCACACAACGCTGAGAGTTCCGAGCGCAACAGCACCAGCGCGGCCTCCATCGAGGAGAAGGTTGACGTCGAGAAGGCCCGTGAGTGATCCAGGCTCATCCGCTCGTCAGTCTCTAAAAAGCGTTGTTTTCGTCTTGGCAGACATCCCTAAGGTCCAGGACATCATTGCGGAATTTGATGACCCGAACATTGACAAGGATGCCGTCTTTCTTGGTGCGTACCCCTTTCACCTCTTACCTCGATATATGCGCTCATTGACCCCAACACTCGTTAGAGGACGACTCTCCCTATCCCGAGGTCCGCTCTGCGGTCGCCAACACCGATGACCCAACCATGCCCGTATCATCGTTGCGCGTCTGGGTGATTGGACTCATCTGGGCGATCATTATTCCCGGCATGAACCAGTTCTTCTTCTTCCGTTTTCCGGCTGTTAACGTCACTGGAGTAAGACTGCTACATCTATTCGCACGATGAGCGGTCTCTAACAACCCCGCCCAGATCGTTGCTCAGCTAATCTCCTTCCCTGTGGGCCGTGCTTGGGCAAAGTTCATGCCGAACTACAAGATTTTTGGCATCCCACTGAACCCTGGTCCATTTAACGTCAAAGAACATGTCCTAATAACCATCATGGCCAGTGTCGGGGCTGGATCGGCCTATGCGGTATGTTGTAAGTCGCGGATGGTGGATTCAGGATGTTCATCACCATTGCTGCAGACCGATATCGTCGCTGTACAGCGGGTGTACTACAACCAGATTTACAACTTCTCATGTGCGTACTTCCCCATCGAAGGCGATCTCACAACAGCTCATCCGCTTTACCTTGCAACTCTAGACCAGTGGATGGTGGTTATGAGCACACAACTTGTGCGTGCGCAGTATGTTGATGAAGGCTGCGCATCTGACAGGCACGATCTAGATCGGCTTCTCGATTGGTGGTATCGCCCGGCGTTTCCTCGTCCAGCCTCCTTCTATGAGTAGGTTCATCGAATGCCATACTATTTCCCCCTCACTCAGACATACCATCAGTCTGGCCCGCTAACCTTGTCACTTGCGCACTCTTCAACACCCTCCACCAGAATGTCTACGCGGGCATGGGTAACCGAGGTGGCATGAGTCGCGAGAAGTTCTTCTTCATCGCGTTCGCATGCTCCACTTGCTGGTACTTTTTCCCCGGGTACATCTTCCAGGCGCTCTCGTTCTTCAATTGGGTCTGCTGGATTGCGCCCAACAACGTTGTCGTCAATCAACTGTTTGGATACAGCAGTGGGCTGGTGAGTTACACTCGCTGTTCAGTCTCGTTGTTGTGTTTGATGTTCGTTAGGGCATGTCATTGATCACCTTCGATTGGGCGCAAATTGCGTACATCGGATCTCCGTTGGCGACGCCATGGTGGGCCGAGGCCAACATTGCTGCCGGCTTCGTGTTCTTCTTCTGTAAGTGTCACATCTGTGATTTCGAGTCATCTTCAGAACTCACACAGCTGCAGGGCTCATTGTCCCTATCCTATATTACACGAATGTCTGGTTCAGTCAGTTCATGCCGTGAGTTGACGCTTTGTGAGTATGCATAGGACGACTGGCTTACACAAAGTGTCCATAGGATATCGTCTCGCACGTCATTCGACCGCTTCGGCCAGAGCTACGATGTGTCCAAGATCATCAACGACGATACGACGCTGAACGTTGCGAAGTACGAGGCTTACAGCCCGCTGTTCCTCTCCACTACCTTCGCGCTCTCCTACGGTCTCTCGTTTGCCTCGATCACCGCGACCCTCATGCACACCTTCCTCTACTTCCGCAAGCAGATCTGGGTGCAGTCCAGGCGTTCTATGAGCGAGCAGCCTGACATCCACGCCCGCTTGATGTCGAAGTACCCGCAGGTGCCCGAGTGGTGGTACGCAACGATCTTCCGTGAGTATTTTCGACCGTTTACGTTGGTCATGGGCTAATTCCGCTCTAGTCACGATGTTCGTCTTCGGCATTATTTCCATCGAGGTTTGGCACACGCAGTTCCCGGTCTGGGCATTCGTCCTTGCTCTCATCATATGTAAGGACATCTTACCTGAAAAGGCTTGGGCATATCCTGACTGTGGGGACTCAAAGCGTTCGTGTACACGATCCCCATCGGTATGATTCAAGCCATCACCAATCAACAGATTGGCCTGAAGTGAATACTCTCATGCACCATCCTTGCTCCGTGTACTCACCGAACCGCCCATTAGCGTCATAACCGAGCTCATAATCGGTTACGCCCTCCCCGGACGTCCTATCGCCATGATGATGTTCAAGACGTGGGGATACATCACGATGGCCCAGGCGCTCACCTTCACCTCCGACTTCAAGCTCGGCCACTACATGAAGATCCCACCGCGGCCTATGTTCTGGGCGCAAGTGGTTGCGACGATCATCGCAGGGACGGTGCAGCTCGGCGTGCAGGCATGGATGTTCACTAACATTCCAGACATATGTACGCCCAACCAGTCCAACGGCTTCATCGTAAGTCTACATGTACTTTTTTGCGATTTACGCTCCACGCTAAGCGCTATCCCAGTGCCCATCCACGCAAGTCTTCGGAACCGCATCTATCATCTGGGGCGTCATCGGGCCCGCGAGGCAATTTTCCAAGGGCCAAATCTACTAGTCCGTCCGATCTCGTGCTCCCTTCCCCACGCCTTGGCTTATCTTGTCCTACAGCGGGCTCGTGTTCTTCTTCCTCTTGGGGGCTGTCGCGCCGGTCGCCGGGTGGCTCATCACACTCAAGTGGCCGAACTCGTTCTTCAAGTACGTCAACTTCCCCGTCATCTTCAGCGGCACAGGCGCCATCCCGCCCGCGACCGCGTTCAACTACGTGCCCTGGTCGATCGTTGGCTTCACGTTCAACTATGTCATCCGTCGGCGTCACTTCTCGTGGTGGACGAAGTACAATTGTGAGTTCGGTTGCGCCAGGCCTTCTCACCTGACTGGGGCGTGAGGCTAATGATGGAAATGCAGACGTACTTTCTGCTGCACTCGACTCCGGTGTTGCCGTCTCTGCCATCTTGATCTTCTTCATGCTGCAGTATCCTGACAATGGGAACATTGGAAAGCATACCATCCAGACGTGGTGGGGCAATACTGTCTTCTTCAACAATGCAGATGGCGCATCTGCCCCTCTCAAAGTCCTTCCTCCGGGTGGATCCTTCGGGTAAGTTGCTGATGGTTGGTTCCACTTGTCATGCTTAACAGCTCACAACATGTTTTCCAGTCCTACTAAGTGGTAATATGTATCCTTAGAACGCTGTAACAAGAAATCCTATAACGATCTGCGACGAAATACTATGTACGACTAGTGACGGCGTCCCAGCTAGGTGATGTGGTCAGCCTCATGGACTACATGTATATTGTTCGGAAGCCGGATATATCGATGTGACAGAGCTGTCTTGTGCGCTGTTCAGGAGACCTTCGAGGCGACGACGGTAATTTCGTATCCAGCGCTCTGGTAGACCTCGGTCAGCTCCCCGGTCTCAAGCACATGCCCTTCCACGTGCTCCTCTGAAAGGCAGGTTTGCGTAGATTGGCAGAGGGCTTCCTGCGGCTTTGCTCTCACTACAACTGTAGTAGTTCAATCGTCCTATCCTGTTGTGCGCGATGCACATCCGACTGCGGCTCGACGATACTAGCGCTGCACCAGAAGTGCAAAATTCGCGCCCTTACTCAAAATCTCCCGACTCACTCGAGATTGTACTCCCGGATCTTCATAAGTACATTCTGTGATATCTCACCTATCACCTATAGTTTTTTGAGCTTCAAGAACGGAGCGATTGGGAGACCCGAGAGAGAAGATTGAGTGCAACAGTAATGCAACTAGTTGGAGCGTCTCAGTAACGGCGGCGTCACGCTGTCGAACGGCAATCGGCGGCATTTTGTAACCCCACTAGGACAAGACACACACCTCCGCTATCCCGGCTGAGCACGACTGAGATCAGGTCCTTTTGGAGCTCCGACAGCCCGAAGGTGGCTGCTTGTCACGCTCAGGAACTCGTTCAGCTCTCTAAGCCTACCTATTGCTCCTATAGCCTCGGAAAAATAGACGTAAGTTCTTCTTGCACTTTAAGAACACACATTGAAACTTGGAGAGAATCAGACTGCAAGAACAGTGAGCCGAGGCCATTGATGTCGTCAAACCCCTCATCTTCCCAACTAATAGTCAAATATCTCGACAACCTCAAGGCCGTTTTGTCCAATTCTTTTACGAGACCATAGAGTAGCTTCATACGCACACGACGCAAAAATAATCAGGTTATTTGATGAGGATCTGATGAATAGCGCCTCAATTTGCACTTCTGTTGCAAGATTTCACTATTTGCACTTCTGGTGCAGCGCTAGTATGATCCATCAAGGTAGCGTAAAGGGTCGCTTGCGCTCAGCGCTTGATGCGACCACTTTCCACGCTGGCTTCGTCTCATGTTTATCGACTTGACTTCCGGCCGCTCTTAAGCAGCCTCAACAGTAAGGTCAAAATCCACTGACCGAAGTCCTTGGCATCGCCCAGTCCCTCACTATCGATGGAATGCGGTAGTGCTAAGCAACGGAAGACAACCCTTAGAGCTATCCTCAAGCGGAGAAGCTCTGGTTAGAGATCCCTTTCAAGGTCGCCACTTATCACCATAAAGGTAGCAAGGTAACGTCCATGACACCCAACTTGAGTATATGCTCGATCGTACGGTTATTCCTAGTCATTTCCCTACTATGCCATTGGCCAGGCAACGCTTGCTTGATCCAGGGTCTTAGGGTGGGTTCGGATTTCGCGTTCGCCACCTATCATGCTCTCCATAAGTTTGACGTGGAGTCTGATACAACTCACCATTTTTTGGGACACAGACGACATTTTCAGGCGCAATAGCGCCTGGAGCCCGAGAGTCAAACTCAAGACTGGTACAGCGCGGTGATCAACAGGAGACGAAAGAACTTCTGATAGGAAGGGTGACGACGGAGGAAGTCTCATACCAGACCCATATGCTTGGGCCAATTCTGAACTTTTGGACTTGTCTGAACAGCAATTCAGCACGAGTCGCCGAGTCCATCCAGAAGAAGAGGTCCTCATCGCGGGAGGTTGGTGACCCAAAGGGACTGTCCGGTAGCATTACGGGGTATCCGCATAGATCCAGTTGTAGTGCTTGTGTATTATGGTGCAGTTCACTTAAACACCTCCACTTTTGTACGCGATTAAGCGCGCGCTTATGTGTCACGTGACTTGGCAGTATGCTCGAATCGGTTGTCATTACTTACCAGGCTGCACAGATGGAAGTGCAAGCCCAAGGAACCTCCATAGAGCCGTTACCCCACGACACGATAGTGTCTGAACCCTCCCATACATGGCCCAAGTTCAAGGATGCCGATCTGTACAGGCAATGGTATGGTATTATATAAGCATAAAATTACTCTTTGGGGATATAGACGCCCAGATCACGTGCCGTGGCAGAACTGGTACGGCCATTTTTGCCAGTTCTCACCCTATCGAGAATCCCCTTTGGGGATCGCTTCCTCTGTTCGATTCCTTGAAATTCACACAAAATTGACCGAGATCATGAATATCTGGAGGACTTATGACACGGCGCCTAACAGCGTACAAAAGTGGAGGCGTTTAAGTGAACTGCACCATAGAAGAAACTGTGAGGCAACAAATAACGTCTGGTTGTGCCTATGATAGTTCGTCGCAGTGTGGTTCACTAGACGCCCGAACAACGTCGAACCGCGTTTTGGCAGCGCGTCTTGCTGGTGTCCAGCAACTTCTCAACCAACGACTATCACCGCTGTGCAGCCACATCCTGCTCCTTGGATAAGAGGGTGCAAACTTATACCTGAACAGTACTATGGCCGAATATGAACTCCGGTTCTCGCCTGCATCTCAATCAGACACTGGCGCTTTCAAACTACTCGAGCTTCCACCCGATCTCTGCAAGCTTATCGAGGCTTCCGTCGCCAGCCTCGATAAGCCTCCGCAGTACGCCCCCTTTCTGCACGTCCATCAAAATGCCCATCGACTGACTATGCTCGTTAGGTTCACCATCAAAGGCGCTCCAGAGGACGACGCCGTCCTGTGCACAGCGGACAAAACTTATACCATCCGCTCCGTTGTTCTCTCAAATTCGGTCTGTGTAGTCACACCAGACCCCGCTGTGTCACACGTAGAAAATGATGAACCAGAACCAGTAGAGGAAGTCTTTATTCGTGACCAGTTGAATGAGGTCATCGAACTTGTGCCCAGCGTTCCCCGCCTGTACAAGCTCAAGTTGCTCCTGCGAGGACAGGAGTATGACGAGGGCCACGAAGATGAAGACATGGTCAGCGACGACGACGACGACACTACGTCCGTGAGTGTCCATACTGAAGCTTGCTAATCTTTGGGAATTTGATCTCGCTAACCACTGAGCATGAGCACAGAGAAGACAGCGATTCAAGTATGATGACGCGCGAGCCATGATCCAAGCCAGCGACGCTGAGCTGGACAAGGGTCTTCGCGACAGACGCGTGCTCATGCTCAACGGTAGATACTCATCTCAGTCTCATACGCAATACATCAGACTGACAATACTACTGCTATCCGCCCAGGCGAGCTCCGTCCAATTGCGCTCTCACACCTTACAACGATCCTCGAGCTCCTCCTCACCAATCTCGTTTCCCTCTCCCTCTCGCACACAGCGGCGCCTATCTTGACCCTCACCTCCTCCCTCGAGGACGAGCACGACATCAAAAGGGACGTCTCCCGCCAGGTCATGTCCTGGTTCGGTCGGTTTGACGAAGACGCGGGGACGTGGGAGATGGACGTGAACGCTGTCATTCGGGAGGTCGGCCTGGGCATCTTGCGCGCGTACAGGGTATGCCTCCCATCCCTCACATCCCACGGCATGTACTGATGGGCACTGACGATGAATACCTCAGAACGAGCCAACGCCAGAGAAGGCCTTCCTCGGCGAGTGGCGCAAGGCTGTCGGGGACACCTTCGAAGAACACGTCTCCCTCCCGCTCCTTGCCGTAGGTCCTCTCTGCTTCACTTCTCCTTCCTGTACACTCACCTTCCTCTCAATCCCCAAGGGCAACTACCTCACCTCACCCGACACGCTCGCCGATCCACCCACCTCACTTCTTACGTACTTCCCATCCTCGGAACTGCCCGCCGAGCCCGGAGCGCGCTTCGTGGAGCTCTTCATCGCGCGGCCGCGCTGGAAGATCGAGGAGATCGCGCCGTTCCTCGCGGACGTCGCGGTCGACGCGAAGGAGCGGGACAAGCTGCTGCTGAAACACGCTAGGACCGTTACGGACCCCGACGGGATTTGGTACACGGCGAGGGCAAAGTACACTGGGTGAGCATTGGAAGGATTGCGTAGACGGTACGTGGACTGGGTCGAAGCGCTCGACTACATACAGCATGTAGCAAGATCCTGGGGATGTGGGTTGCGCAAGACATATGGTGTCGCAGGATTGGTAGGGAGGTACAGTAAAGTACTGTGCAGCATCCGTCTCTTACAGACAATTATCATGATAGAAAACAAAATCAACAGCGCAGCGTAGCAGTCCGAGCCAAGGCTGCCATCATGATGTATCAGGTTATTGCCCGCCCGCGTGTTATTTGCGCCGCTGTTTCCGCGGGGGGTACTCCTCGTCGTAGTCCATGTTCTCGTCCTCGTCGTCCTTTATGCGACGCCCCTTCTTCTTCCCCTGCTTCCCTTTCCGCTCCGCGCCCTCCGCCGCGGCCTCGACGAGCACCCACAGATCGCGGATGATGTCGGTGCGCAGTCGGATGTCCGGATGCTTCTTTCGGATGTCCGTGCGCAGCTGGTATATTGCCTGCGCCTGATCTTGCGCGGGCAGGTCCCGCAAGACGTAGAGTATCACGCCTGCATGTCACATAGATCAGCCTCACGATTCATACTGCATGACGCGCTAGGCCGGGATTACTGATACTCACCGGTGAAGACGAACTCGGCTGGGGCGACGCGCTTCTGGATGTCCTGGAACGCGAAATTCAGCCTCGAGTCGTCCGCGATGTGCCAGAACCTGCTCAGAAGGCTGCGGATAAGGTCCTTGAAATCCTCCTTCGGGGGGTCCATGCGTGAAAGCCACTTGTCGAGGTTCTTGGAGAGCGGCTGCGAGTGCTCGGGGTACATGTCGCAGCAGTACACGAGCCCGGCGATGAGCTGGAAGTCCTGCCCGCGCTTGATCGCGACGTTGATCTTTTGCGTGAGCGAGTCTTCGAGGTAGACGTAGCGCGACTGTAGCTCCCCGATCCATTCTGTCCATGGCGAGGAGATCGCTTGCAACTTTTCTGTGGGGAGTGAGTAAGGGGAGGAGGAATACACAACTATCACAGAAGAAGAAGCACCTGCGGCTGTAAGCGCGACGCCGAGCTGAACCCTCTGGAAGATGTCGCGCTCTATCAAGTGTGGAAGCCCTTCGTACTCGACTGTACAGTGTGAGCGAGAACAACTCCGATGTGGTGAGCTGCGGTGAAACAGGAAGCTTACCACACGTAATGGTCTTCTGCGCGAAGATTTCCTTAAATTTATCTGGTATTTCTAATCGTGACTTCTTGCGTGCATTTGACCGAGTGTACCACCAGCTCTTCCCAGTTTCGTGATGTTTGTCTAACAATTGTCAATAGCAATCAGGGCTCTTGAAAGGAGTCCACTCACAAGCAATCTGCAAACAACAATGTGGATGTCAGTATTACGGGATAGTGACACATCGGGACTTCATGTGGCCCTGAAACCCATCGCATGTGACGGGAGCAGCCAAGGGCGAAGGGTTCCCTCAACTCTCTGGTGGCAAATGCAGGGCGGACCTCTTGTTTGGGGCAGAGAGTCTTTTCGCCGGCGAATCTTGCGGGAGGAGCGCATGACTCACGAACAGCAGACGGACTGCTAGAAACGAGAAGGCGCGATCGAAGCAAGGACTCACTTGTCCGTCGAAGAACCTCTGGATGGAAGTTAAACGCTGCTTGCCGTCTACACAGCATTTCACCTTCTCGCCCTCGTCGTCCGTATACACCGCGAATACGACAGGAGGTACGTAGTAGTTGCGGTATAATGAGTCAAGCAGCTTCATCTGCTTGGCCTCGGGCCAGACGATCTCTTTGGAAAATGAGTATACGAGTGGCACTGATGGCATACTACGCACCTCTTTGGTAGGGAGGATTCAGGTCAATCACGCCTTCGTGGATCAGCCCTGTGCAGCTTCAAGATGAGCAGGAGGCGATGCTATAAGTGCATCGGATACTTACCATGCAGTTCCTTCGTGGTGTAGAACTTCACTTTTGGGGCGTTCAGACATGTCCCGAGGTCGAACCTGTTCGGGTCATGTTCAACCTCCTCCTCCACGAGCTCATCCCAATCGTCTTCCTCATAGTCGCTCATTGCAGAGGTACCCTTGCGGTCGGAGTTGACAGGCGGCGCACGGCCAGGGAGGGGATGGAGAAAGCACAGTTATACATTCATTGACGAAACCAAGGTGTTGCAGCCACACGGCGCGGATGTTCGTGTGTGGGCGTCTGTGGAACTGCGGCAAAGGCCGACGACGGCTCGCGGCGCAACCTCGACACCGTCATACCCGTTCTCGTTCCCCACCCCTCCCCGTTGTGCTCCTTGCTCGACAGCCAGCGACTGTGTGCATGGACGCCTCAACGACCTCTTTCTCCGACACTGCGACCTCGGCCCTCCAGACAGCCACCGCTACGCCAGAAGTACCTCCTAGCGACTCCGTGCCGGCTCACCATGCCAGCCCCGTGGTGGCTTTCATCATTGGCCTCGCTATCATCCTTCTGGCATCCATTCTTAATGCTGCCGGACTCAACTTGACGAAGCTGGACCATGTGAGTTCATTCCGCTCGTACGCTGAAGCTAGGCAGCCCCTTGAACGGATGGCACTAGGTGCGCACAAGTGCAATACCGAAATCTGCACGACGACAAGACTGGTTACGACCCTTATGGCTGCTTGGAATGCTATTATACATGTGAGTGTTCTACTTCTTTCATACTTCTGAGCACGTTCGTGCGATGCGGATTGTTGAGCGGGTTTGGTCGAACGAATACGGATCCGTGCCACGCAGCCTTCGCAGTCAAACGGGCGGTCAGAGTACTCGTTTTTGGAGGGCAATCCGTTCTCTGATCATCGATCACAAATCGAGTACGCGAATAGAGTCTTCTCGCTGGCGGCTTTGAATCGCCGTTTCTCCCGTTCAACACCAAAGAGGAGCTCGAATCACCTGTTCTAAACCGATTGCGAAAGGAGTCACATAGAGTTTTTTCCGCAATCGGCTCAGCACCGGATTGGATCTCCCCAATCTGCCTGCTATGTCCTGTAGATGCATTGTACCCGCCCTATTGCAGGTTGATTATTAGCAGCCGAAGCGATGCGCGGGATACCCACCTCAGCCATAGCTGAACTGGGAGCGATGCCGAAGCTATCTACACAAGCGGTTCCAATTCGCCTGCGAAAGGACCTTAAGTAGCCTAGGAAGTCGGAAGCCAGCTTTGACCGTTCCGCGACAGCTCATTTCTCCATATGATTGCACACCGTTCGAACGAGTGTTCGTCGAAGAGTCGGTGGAAACGGCGTTGCTTGAAGTAGAAGCGACTTCGAGAAGCAGCGTTCTTCGGTCGGTTGTGCCCGGGCCCCTGTTCTCTCGCCATCTCCCACAGACCGGTCCTCGGGACACCCTCTCTCGAGTATGCCTGGCACTCCTATGACGGATCAGCGCAGGAATTCAGGGCTTCATTGATACTCCTCGGGCTGCAAGGGTACCGCGTATGGCCCTCCGGACCTCAGCCTCCACTTCTTGCAGAGCATATCGCAATATGGAAGTGTATCCGTGCCTCAGCTCACCCGCGATGGTACGCGAATGAGGGAACTCGCCCCCTGCTTGTCATGAGCTAGTGAATAGTAGGCATAATAGCTATGATATGTGCGTCCCAATCTGGCCAGAGACCCTGGCAAGATAATGAGGACCGGTTGTCAACCATATTCCGGTTTCACGCCAGAGCCGTCTCGCACGACCTTTTTCCTTACTCCGGGACAATTGGAACATATGCTGATGTGTCATACAGTTTATCGCAGCTGATTGGAAGCACTCTTGCTCTGGAGTACATGCGTGCAGGTTTGTCATTCTCGTCTACCATCTTGTGAGTCCCAGCTGAAGTCGACCCCAGAATATGTCGCACCTTTGGGCTCCACATCCTTAATTTTCAACTTCCTGTTCGCGAAATTTTTGGTTAATACTCCCGTCACGAAGACCGACATATACGTGCGTCGCTCTTTGACTGTAATCTGTAACTGTCAAAAATGCTCATGGTCTCACAGGGTACTATCATAGTAATCATCGGCGTAATTGGCATCGTCGCATTCGGCTCGATCAATAGCGGTCTCGCCACGGAAACAGATGCAAAACACCTCACCGAATTATGGTCTCGCGGCAACTGGCTCGCTTATTTCTTCTTCATGTTCTTCGCCCTTCTGTCCCTTTACGTCTTCACCTCACATCTTGACCAAGTCCTTGCCGCGCGTGCCGACTTGACAGCGGAGCCTTTTGCGGGCATGCGAGCGCGCGCTGGCGGGCTTATCACTCCACCCACCTTCGCGGGGAAAGTGCTTGCGTTTTGGGACAACGCGATGATGTGGACGAGGGAGAAGCTCGAACTGTGGACTGCGGCACACAATGACAAGCGCATAGCCTGGACGCTCGGCATTGGCTGGGCATGCTGTGGTGGCGGACTTGCGGGGGCGACACTGGTGTTCGCGAAGGCGTCGTACGTAGACCAATTGTTGCCAATCGAACGCGAGGATTCGTCGGCTCACAATCACCTCCACAGTGTGAAGCTCATCTCCGGCGCCATGTCGCATGAGAACACCGGAAATCAATTCGGGCACGCGTCGGTGATCTTCACATTCATCTTCTTAGCTGTCACAGCTGTGTGTCAGATCATCTGCTTGAACAAGGGCCTTGCCGTATACGACTCGACCCTCGTCGTTCCCGTCTTCTACGGCGTTTACACGGGCTTAGGGTGCGTTCGAATCACCATCTGTCATTGGAAACTATACTCAATCGTTCCACTATCAGATTTCTCGATTCTCTGGTACGGCGCATCCTAGCGTCAGCCTTTGTTCTCGCTCACTTTGCGATTACTTGCTGACAGATCTTCAACGACGAGGTCGACGCCTACCCGTCTTGGGGCCTTTTCCTCATATTCTGCGCCATGATCGTGCTAGTCTCCGGGGTCGTGCTTCTCACGTACAAGAAGCCAGAGCCCAAGGCTGCGGCACCCTCATCCGGTGACCCGCCAAGAGGACGCGGCCATCGAAGCGCGACCAAAGCTACTTTTGTCACTCCCGGTCTGGAGGAGGAGGAAGCGCTCCAGCAGGGCGCGGACGCCGAGCACGACGATGCGGCGATGTGGCAGCTCGGCGACGCGAGCGATGACGAAGACGAGAGTGGCGGTGTACGCTCTCCGCGGTCTCCGCGATCACCTCGTTTGCAGCCCAGCTCTCCTCGGGCCCAGCGCACAGCGTCCGGCAAGTCCCTTACGCTGACCGCGAACGCAAACGCGAGTCAGAGAAGCTTGCCGCGAAGCCGGAGGCGATCGCGTGGAGAAGGCGAAGAAGCCGGTATGCTTTCCCAAGACCACGACGATGACGACGAAGTTGAGGCCAGGAGGCGTACATCCTCATCATCGGATTCGGACGCGACGCTTACCCGGCCCGACGCTGCGACATACATAGACGATGATGCGTTTGGAGCTTGGGAAGCTGCGCCGGCCGGGAAGGCGCGGACCTGAAGATTGGCTACATGTATCCGCATGGTATGGCCGCAGTTTATGTGTATACCTAGAATAGTTGGATATCCACAAATTTCTACGGACGGCGCGCACAATTGTCGCGATTTTTCCTCCGAAGATGTGCTTCACAGGACCAACGCAATCTGGATCGGTCGGAAATGGCAAGTCTTCTTCCTCTGGCGCTCGGTGCGTCAGTCCGGTGCCTTCAACCACAATTCTGCGGCGTTAACTAATGGTCCGGGTGCTACTCCACATACCCGCTTGCGGGGTCCATTTGTAGGCGACCAATCATTGCGTTGTCTCTGAGCGAGTCACCGTTTCTCCTGCGCAAACAGTCGGGCTTTGATATTCCAAACCAACCAGGACTTGCTCTAGCCCGACTTCCCTCCTCCACTTAGACAGCTCCGCCGTATGGTTGGTACAAGATTGTTGTCGCCTCGAGTTCGTGCAAACAAACATTGCGGTCGGTCATGAATCTCTTCCGCAAACCACTCTATGGAACAATGCTGTTCACATCGAGCTCGGCGCTCCGCATTAGGAAGGATAGCAGACTAGGTTCTCATTTGCCCTGATGGCCGTCATATGAAAGGACTTTGAGGACTGGCCAATTCCCACTTGTTTCCCTTAAGGTCCCACTCCTCTGCGTCTCTAAGTTGCTCGGCCCAGCAGCGCTCAATCCCTCCCCTCCAGCCTTCTGTATTTCCTTCGTCGACATGGCCGATCAGAGGCCGTACCCGGTATGTCTCCCTCCGTAGAGCGCGGAACGCTGCTGAGACCTATCTACAGATCCCACTTGCTGTCGGTGCAGGCCTTGGGGGTCTACCCATCACATTCTCACAGGGGCCATTCGTGGGGAGAACTATCCGCACGGCGACTACGGAGCTGCAGAAGGCCGACGCTGGAAGAAAGTGCGCGCTTATGTTTATCGTGTAACATAGATGGCCCGAGGGTGCTGATGGCCGTACGACATAACAGATTCGCTCGGAAGGACAGGCGGCCGCTCGACCCACCCCCTGTTGTGCAGGTCCGGTTCTTCGAGGTGGTGCACTTCGGTACTCCGGCGCAGTACGAGAGGGAGATCACCACTTACGAGTCAGTCCTAACGCAGTTAGTCCACAACCACTAATGCCTGACCGTCGTGGGCCTAGCGACACCCTCGTCCTTGGCCTCGTTTGTCAAGTTGATCTTTTCCCGATCCCAGATGAGCTGACGCCCGAGGGCATCAATAATCGGGACCTCGGCTCAACTCCCATGACTGGTATCATTGTGAACCCCGTCTCGACCAACACAATTCCATATGGTGCCTTTGCCCAAAGCGGTCCTCCGCACCAGCCGTTCCCACTATATGCCCCGGCGGGGTACGGACGCTCACCGAAGCTCTTGAATAGCGTTTGCTCATGTTTCGTTCGTGCGCAGCGCTGGGTCCTCCTCCGCGGCGACGTCATTCTGGCAAGGTCCCAGTCCTCAGGTATGTCAAGAGCCTTGATAAGCTTCGGGAATATTGACGGTTGCCGCCCGCTTGCGCCGCTGTGCCGTACCGCATCAGTCCCAGGCTTCAACAATGGATTACACAGCACTGTTGAGTTCTACGGGTGTACAGGAGTCAGCCAGCTCATCCGCGCAGACATCGGACCATGTCATAGCTTATTTCAGCAATTACGCCATCACTGAATCATCCAATTGCACATACCTCCTCGCAGGGGCGAGGGTGGCTAGTGCTGTGAATATGGAATTCAACTCGAGACCGACGCTAGCCTTCGTGTTCAATGTGCGTCGTCGTCCGACTCGCCTGTTAAGATGCGCGGAGATTGATGTTCGATTTTACCTCTTCCCCACAACACAGGACCTTGCTGTCCAACAGGAGGGATCGTACACCCTCCGCTATCGCGTCTTCAGCATCTTCGCACGGACGACAGATGTGCCGGGAGCGTCCTCGACCACCCCGATTCTCGCCAGCTGCTTTGGAGGAGTCTTCAGAATCTGGTCGTCGAAGTCGTTCCCCGGTCTGGCCCCCTCAACCGCACTCACGAGGGTGCGTCCCTTCGTTGTTCTCCTGCCTTGCGGCCGTTGAATTAACGGTCCGGCGATGCTAGCGGCTATCCTTATACGGCATGCATGTCAATATTCGGACGTCCGAACGCAAGAAAAAGACTAACAAAAACCGCCCCAGCGACCCGGAATCTGGCGCGGCAGGCAGCCCTGAGAGTCAGGCGTCGTGGCCACCCAATGACGAGCTCGGCGCATCTCCTGGACACTCCCGGCATTCCGGCGACTGGCCTGGAATTTCCCCGTGAATGGTCGTTGTTGATCCCCTCAAGACGATCGAGTAGGGCCGGGTGCAAGCGAAGTTTATTGTCTCCGTCGTCCAGTAGCTCGCCATGCAAGCCCCTTCCGTATCGCTTCCGTCCTTGATTTCTGGATGTCTTGCTTTCCACGCTGTCGGCTCGTGTCCCCGTATTCCATAGACTACGCGACTCCCGTTCCCGACCGCTTCGCGAATTGTAATATTGATCTGTACGTCAAACAGAAGAGTATGCATCGTTTGCAGCCCCTTGCACGTTCTCATTAGTGGGGTTCATCTGTGCACTCAAAAAGTGAATTGTTTGCGTCCACAGCCGCTCGTAACGTCAAAACAGACAGGTTGACCGAAGGACGAAGAGACGTCGCGACATCATCATCTGCCCTCCGTGCAGTCCCTTACATTCGTTCTGGGCACTCGCACATCTCTGGATACAATTTCGGCTCTGCCAGGATGCTCAAAGGCGAGGCCCAAGCGACCCCTGGAGATGATTGCGTAAATGTGAGCACAACGGCGGTGCAGCTGCAAAGAATGCAGGGAGTGCAGGGATGTGCGCCAGTCTGTTCTGGTGCACGCAAGCGTGCAGGACGCCACTTGTTAAAGGCGGGGGGGGGAGGATCGACAGCCGTGAAGGTGACGTCGTCTGGAGTCTGGGGCGCGTACTCCGCGAGGTGAACGGTGTATTCGAAACGAGGTGGAAGGGCTACAGCCAGCGATAGTGAACTCTACGTTGGGATGAGACAAGGGGGTGGATCCTCGGAAATATGCGAGGACCCTGAGGAAACTTGCGCACCTCGCATTTCATGAGGCGAGAAAGATCAGCGGTGCGCGCGTTTGCTGTGGTCGGATGGACCGAAGTAGCGGATAGATGAGGTGTCTAGGGGCGTGGACAGCGGAGGAATGGACCAACGGTGCTCCGGGCAGAGATGGTGCATTGGGACAAATGAAAATAGCGGACTTAGGGATCGTGACGCAGGAAACGTCGAAACTTGGTTCAAGGGCCCTTCGGAGGCATTGGGTTGGGAGTCTCCCCCACCTTGAGGAGAGTTCACGAGGAGGCGCAGGCTCCTATGCAGGGGCCACGAACTTTTGAGTTCGAGTGGGCTGGGGTGGGACGAAGCGCGAGCCATCGGAACAACTTTCACCAGACAGAAACCGTGAGTCAAGAGGGACTCGGCTCACCAGCTGCCCAGAGCCAAAAGCCAGGCCGATCGGCCTTCCATCGTAGCTGCGGAATATAGTGCGACCTGCGGGCCAACTCAAACCATGCTTCACCGGCGCCGAGCCTTCTTCTAGCCGCTACTGGAACGTTTTTGAACACCCGACCAAGCAAGGGAGGGTAGAGGGGCAATACAGAGGATACAGAGGAAGCAGTCAGTTTCTGCACGCACGGGGTGAAATACCCGTGGAGGCAGTCTGTCGAGTGGCCAAAAGACGGAGAGGTGTGGCAAGCGAGAGACGATGAGCGGGGGTTACAGAGCATCCAACGGCTCTCTGATGTCCAGAGCATGAGAACATATTAGTGCAGAGGGCCAGAGGATTCTGTCGATGGTAGTGGTAGGCCTTGACAACAGTGTTGGGCGAGACCATGACCGGAATAAGCCTGCGGTCTTCGCGAACTCGTTCAACCGCTCGCTGTGTTGTTCCCAGCCACCACCTCCGGCCAAGTCACCTCTCTGCGCTCGTACACTCCCGACTGCGTCGCCTGCGTCGGACCTGAGCTGATTTGCCTCCATATTCTGGACGTTCGCAGATTTTCGCGGTGGTCTCTAGGGTCCGCCAGCTCTGCCCGGGTTATAGTGTCCCCCGGTTCTTCCATGGTCCTCTACAGTGGAGGCGTTGTCGCCCCTGCAATTCATATTGGTGAGTTCGGCCGCGTGCGTCCTAGGGATGCACTTCAAACGATGGTCTATCAGCATTTCAGCCGATAATGCACTTTCCCCCCCAATCCGCACGCACGGGTTGTCCACCGCATATTCCCTAGCCCACACTAGGTGTATCAGACTTCTTCGTAGCCCAGGCGTGCGAGAGCAGCTGTCCGTTCGTGCAAAGGTGTCGTACTCTCAATCAATCCTGCCCCGGAGTGCACCTCGTGAATGGTTTTCCCTTCGACACGATAGACCGACCTCGTTTCTTTGTTTCGTGACATACCACAACACCAATAGGGCAACTCCGGGTTGCTTCCAGGGCCGGCATTGCCGCTTTGGCCCGCCCGCCCCAAAGTGGCGCCTCTGTGGATCGCCGCTCCAGTACAGTGGGGCCCCGGTTGCATAGGATGTCTTGCGCCTTCGGATGTGACACTCACCAAGGAGCAAATGTCCTCGCGGAGCCCGGTCCGGTCCGTTGAGGGACTGTACAGGGAGAATTTGCGTACCACATATGCCCCGCAGTCAAGTTACTGACAGAGACTCATAGCTAGCCGTATGCCTTCGCGGCAGCCTTGTCCACAACATCGTAAGTCCTCTCGCCATTACGATGATGTGCTTTGATTGTTGCCCGACATTGGGGACCTGTAGGAGACAGCGCGGTATGAAGGGAAGAAAAGCGCAAGGGCTTGACCGGTCGGCTGTTCCAGTGCGGCGGCGTCCTACCATCCCTACTCGAGTTCCTGCTCGCTGATACGGGAGCCGTGGTCCAGAGCCTTCTAGCGAAGCGACTCCGGGTAGGCATCCTCTTCCACGTCAAGCTCCATGGACATCTCACCGACCTCGCATTATTGGAAGGTATGCAGAAAGAGAGACGGTGCGCGGGCATCACTTCACTGCGATGGAAAGCGTCCCAGCACAAGCTTCAGCAGTGGATTGGTCTCACCGTTCCTGTGTCCGTCCCACACATGCCCAGCAAGAAGACAGGAACGTTGAGGACCGGGACGTACCTCGCGTAGAATCGCGGAGGGGAAGATGGGAGACGGAGGAGAGACGACGGACGAGCGAGGGAATCTGCAAGACATAGCAACAGCTGCCGTATCCGGGTGTTGACCAATATGTACGGTCGTTTGAAGCTGGATACATACGTTGCAAGCCCCACCTTTGGACGACTCCATCTGGAACGAGCCCGGGCTTCGAATGTTGCAGTGCGCCAACGGTGGTGGAAGCGTCCTCGCGGGCGGGATCTAGTCCGGCGCCGGCCGCTCACCGTCGTCATCAGGGACCTCACGCGAACCCGTCCTACAACCATCCACAACCCCAATTCCGCTTCAGTTCGGTCCAGCCCACCGCGACCGGCCCCACGATGCACCCAAATCACTTCCTTCGCGTCGAGAGGTCGTTGCAGACAGTCGACGTCTCCCGCATGTACTTGGACGATGTGGCTTAGGCTATCGCGGTGCCTTTTCCTGATCTCATGGCTGCCGCTGCCAGCTATCTGGACCATATCCTCGGGTTCGGCCTTTAGCTGGACCTAACAATTGCCATCGCAATCTGCAAACCTTCCCCGTGTGGATGCAATCGTGTTGAAACGTTATTCGTCCCAATACCAGGTGGGGATCGACGTTGTAGGCTCCGTGTCGCTTCGCTCGCATGATACTCTGCTCCCCTGCAGATGTCCGAGGGCTGCGAGAAGGAAGACCCGTCTCGAAGACATACATAGGCCTGTCGACACTGGAGGAATGGTGCCGAAGCTAAGGAGTTCGAATGGTACGTTTCTACGCCGCTGTGGCGCATTGTCCCCTCCATTGCCTTCTGTCTTCCCAGCCATACATACGGCAGTCCCTTGCGATCGCCTTATACGCTGAGACCGTACCATGACTGGCGGGTGTCAGAAGTAATGGGCCCTGGAGCCGTTTAGCACAGGCGGACCGCGGTACGTGCGTCGCAGATGAGCTGTAGTTTTTTGTACACATTTCCTCCCTACATACGCACATAGTCATGTAAATTTGCTCACATTGCTCAGACCTGGCAATTGAGTAGTCGGTTGGCATGCAAAGGTAGGCGGGGGGTGGGTGGTTCATGACCAGCTCACATGGCGATCGGACGTTGGCGTCTCCGGCGTTGCTCTCATGCCAAATGACTGGCCCTCTCTTGGCGAGAATATGGTCAAGGTCCATACCAGCCTTTAGCTCTTCCTTAGCCAACACGGACAGGCAGATTCTCATCGGATTCAAGCAGAGCCGCATCCGGCAGTTATCCCCTGCCCTCAACAAAAAGCCATCGGCGCGTTGTACCCGCCATCGCGTTTCCTTCCGTCCGCTCGCCGGTAAAAGAAGAACCATACTTCTACGAAGTCAAGATACACCCAATCCAAGGCTCCGACCGCCAGCATCTTCCGACTGCCAAATTCTACGTGAGACTACAAAAACATGAATGAGGTCGAATCTGCTACACAGTGCCTGCGACCCTTCGCCCCCACCAGACAACCGTGACCTCTCGATCTATGCCAAGGATGCACCAGCCTTTGTGATGCATGACGTAGCGGCGCGCACAAAGGCGAAGGCAGTACACGCGTCGGCAGGCTCTTCCTCGCATAAATTTTCGGGAAGCAATAGTAGCACGGACTCGGAATGAACTGAACCCTGTGGGGCGTCACGGCTGTCTCCAATGGGACGGCGCAGAGAACGAGCTCCTTTCGCACAGGGACCCTCCCATAAGGAATTCTTATCTAGTCAAAATTCCCGGATAGATTTGTACAGCGAGCAATCAACCCAGCATAACCGTAGATCCAACGCTCTCCCTACCGTCTACCCCCATTGACACCCCACTCTTGTCCAAGGCTAAGCCACGAGCGTGGCGTTGGCAGAACAAAATGTCACTCACTCCCCACGGGTCCCAACCATCGTCAATAGCATCCCCTCGTCTTACGATGACCGTCCGTTGAACATTGGACCTTAGTCTGGCGGACGCACTGGATCTCCTGGAGTTGCAATATCTCGACGCCTCGAAAATGGTTGTCTGTACACAGGACTAGAGGTGCGTAGTACCTTCCGAATCGGAGCCTACGAAGTTTCCTAGCTACCCCCTATTTGCCCTGCGAGGCAACCCTGGCCGAAGGCGACTTGAAAACAAGGGCGCACATGGCCCCGATGTACAAACGGAAAAAAGGTGAGCTTTCCCCGTCGCTTGTTCTTCCACTCGGAGAGCGACATCTCCTGTCAGATCGGTCTCCCTAGTGGACATAGACATCATCCGTTGTAGTACAACCTCTTGTGCTACATCTCCCAGTGCCCATGAACCCGGTGAGTCGTTTCTTCTAGGGACTGACGCTTCCAGAGGATGTGTATCCTTTTCACGACCCACTGAGGGTCATACTTCCTCCTCCTCTGGAGCCAACAGGCTCTCGATGCTGCGCAACGATCTGTGGACCATGTTCAGGCTCGTCTCTATTCTCTCGGGACCCGATACTACATGTGGGCAGAAGTGCCTACACCACTCCCCCCCGTCCAGCCCCTTCCTTGTTGTCTGGCGGGGCTGCCCAAGCCCGAACGTCCAGGAAGCGGGTCCCCCCACACGAGCGATAGTCGGAGGCCACGCTGTTCGGGATCAAGCCGCTACCGGGTTCTCATCTAGCTCTTATTCTTGTGCCCGAGCTTCCTCCCAGAAGTCTATACTCCTACCCCGGTCCAGCTCCATATGCCTGATGCGAGCGACACGCCCTGTGACCTCGGAGTCAAGCACATCAATCACCCCAGCCGGCCCACTAGATCCTGCGTGCACGGAACGAACCGCGAATCGCCCAAAGTTGCGCCAGGTTCCCGGATGCGCCTACTTGCCGTAGTACCAGCGGCACCGGAGGCTCGTTGAGCGGTCGACAGAGGCGGCTTACGCGCGGCACGGCGAGTCGCCATTGGACGACTACCGGAGTAACCGAAGGAATCGGCCGTGCGTGCTCTCCCCACTTCATCTGTCTGAGAGCCTACGGGCATGTGAGTAGTATGTTGCAGATTTTCCCGCATTCTGAGAGTAGCGTCGAGCTTATGAGAAGGAATACCACTTCTCTCTGTCATAATGTGGAGGGTGGCCTATTGCTGATGTGGGGTCGAATTTGATGAACTCCATCCATCGGCCGGCGAGTGTGACGATGAGACATGTCCAGATTCCAGGGTACATCTGCACTACCGTCAGTGGCACAACAGGTGTAGTACGACGTCGCCATACCAGAGTATCAAGACCTTATCCGCGCATAGGAACTTCCAGTACAGGTTCAGAATTCATCTTACATGGACTAGCGCGAACTTCAAACAAACTATACCAAGCGCTCCGATAAGAATAAGGAGCTGACTTTCAGGCTGAGAAGAAAATGGCCAATCAATCCTCCATTCCGTCACGGCCACTCGAGCGCGGCAAGCTCGATGATCCTTGCAGCAGTCAGATGGCCGGAAGTCGTGACCGATGGGGCGGAGTCGTTGATCACAAGCGGGGTGTGTCTCGGATGCGATGCGCTGTCGTAGCCTTTTCTCGCGCCAGCGACAAATTTATTGGCCGAATGGCGTAAAGTTCCGGAGGTCCCTGCAGGCATATGTTTATAGATCAATATGTTAGCGAAACCTACGAGCTGAGGCCGGAGGTTGTGTCGGTGGCAGAGACAAGGTTGGATATGCTTAGGATGCGGCCCGGCCGCCCGGGGGAGCGGCATGGTGAGACGCCCAACCAAATAGCACCAAATGAGGGAGAGGTTTACGAGAGCCAGATGATCATCATAAACCTTATTAGGATTGTCATAACTTTCAATGCGCTGACCACAGGGCAAATAGCTCCTTGCGGCGGAACCTACGTGAGTACTGGTGCTCGAGGGCTCATGTCAGAGCTTCGTTTCTACCTGCATGATACATCCATTCTCGAGGTCAATCAAACCGGCAGTACGGTGGAGAAGCGCGGTATGTACATCAGGCACACTGGCACGTACCGTGACGGATGTGGATCTCGTCTTCGCCCCACGGCATATGTCGCAGCTGTCCCTGGACGTCATCCCCCCGAGACGAATAAGCATCGGAGGAGGGACGAACTGTCATGCAACTCCCCAGGGCTTCCTGCATCAGTACGACGAACCCCCGGGAGCTATTTCATGACGGCTGCCAGGTACGCACGTGAACCAAAGGGCGCGTTATATCCGCCTAAGGTACCCGAACGGCTTGCGACGTCGACAAAGCAGGAGTGGCTACACTGACGCGCTCGGGTGCCGTCCAAGCCACTTCTTCATGGAGCACCATAACCGACGCTCTGTACGTAGCGCCTTCGACGGCACTTCCGCGGACAAATCACTCGAGGAGGTTTCTGTATTGCTACCGCGGAGCCCAACAGGATCACGCACAGATGCTAATGTCTGGGCAGACATGTAAATTCACCTCACAGCGCACAGACGTTGGCGTAGCAGTGTAAAGGCGCAGCAGTATGAAGGTGAGCAACAGCAATGATGCATCCCCAGAGCCCTCCCACCCAACACAGTTCTAGGCATGTTCACTCTCAAGCCTGCGCTAATCTTTGTGGCACTGCTACCTCTCGTCCGTCTCGCTTCCGGGCAGGCGGTTAAGTGGGTTTAGTGTGGAGGTATTGGCTGCACGGGCACGACGGTCCGTGGTACGTCTGGAAGCTAAACGCACCCAAATCTTGTGAGAAGACTGTACTTCGGCTCTCGAAGCATTGAGTTTTACTCACCCCGCTCGCAGCCTTACCCCGGTGCCTGCTGCGACGTCTCCTCCAACGCTACCCTCCACACAATGGCGGCAACGGCTCGCTTGACATCTCCTCTGCGGCCCGGTACACAATTTCCAACTGGGGCGCCGACGCGAATCGCGTCCTCGATGTCGTTCTCGGGCGCGATGATGGCGAGCGTTCTTGCTGGATTGTATCCAGATGGAGAACGGCTGGGACAGTGCGCGGAGAGTCGGCTCATCCTGACCGGCGCGAAGTGGGCGCGGCGTGTGTACGACGCGTACCCTGGCTACAGCGGTGCGCTCCCGAAGGTGTAGATCTTGCACGGAAACGTGTACTTAGTCCCCTTCAGGCGCCCTGCTTGCAGTTGCTAGATATATAGGCTGACGGCGTGGGCGGGCTACAGCGATATAGCCCTCTACCCGCAGAACTTCTATGAGGTCAAGCCCTGGACGACCGTGTTCGGATACCCCAGCACGCCCATCTTTTAACGTCTCTGAACCCTACCTGCCCAGCGGTGACTCGAACGCAACGTACGACCCATACATTCAGGCGATCCTCACGCCGGGCGTTGGCCACACCATCCCCCCGAGCAGCAGTACCTCGAGTTCGAGTTCTTGGGCATCGCATAAGTAGGCCGAAAATCTTCGATGGTCGAAATCTGTAGGGAATGGAGGTTTTGAAATTGACGCAGGCGTAGTACTGTCTCGTGTATGTATCGCATTTGTTGTCTATCGATGTGGTTGAACGTTGAGGGCCAAGTTCGGCTGGTCAGTTGCCCGAGCGTCGACTCCGGTGATCCGAGATCACCGGGAATCTCGGAGGTTCGCCCAATTTCGTCATACTACTCGCTGGTTGTGCCTCTCGCGGCTTGCTCAGCTCTCCCACCACCTCCTAGTTGTACTTCTTTATAACTACCACCATCCGCATCGGTATCACTCTCGTGGGCGGCGTTGAGCAGCTTCAGGCGACGCTTTCTCTGTCGTACTCACACTCCGTTGTACTCGCTATAATGGAGAAACTCTTGTCCAAACTTCAAGCCCAAGCGTGGGCTCATCCGGCGAACCCGATTTTGCGGCGTATCCTCCCAAAATTCCGTCATCTGCTGAACGGCGTTCGGCCAGACCTCCCAGATGTCAAAGTTAAGTTTGACCAACTTCAACATGATCTAGATATGCTCGCCACGGAAGGCTACTGGGAGCCTTCGAAGGAGGACGAGGACTCCCTTCGTGAACTGAAGAATAGGCTTGGCTTGCTACAAGCCAATGCCCATGATACCCCTTCCAGCATTGCGCACATAGATGCATCACAAGCACCATCGCGAGCACCACCCGAGGATCCAAGGAATCGCGTCCGGCAAGGCGCACACGACCGCCCTATCGTTCATCCACCTCCCCTGTCAGCTCCGCTGCTTCCCGTTTCTACTACTACGCCGACGGTCCTTCCCATAGAGCTTGTTGAGGCGCTGAACCAGACGTTCTTCCTCCACTTGCTGGTCACGGATCCGCAGCAAGTCCTCCCCCCGGGCAAATCGCTGATTTCTATGTTGTCCTCCCCAAGGTCTAACGTGCACGCGCAGGACGACAAGATTGCGGAGTTGGAGGTGCGGGTGAAGGATATGGTGCACAGCGCGTTTTGGAACGAGGTGTGAAACCTTCCAGAGTGTCCCCGCAGTCTCTACTGACATCTTTCGGCTCGATGCAGGCACTTGAGTCGCTGTCGAGCTCCTCAGCAGACAAACAGTTGCCGCGGCTTCGACGACTGTACGAGGACTTGCTTGAGGCTGTCAAGCCGCTGCTCCCTGGGAGACATCCCGTCATTGTCACGCTCTCCCTACCGCTCTCCCCCACGTCTGCGCCATTGCGGTCCGCGGCGACGCACCTGCGCGAAATTCTTGTAGCGTTGCGAGAACGTGCTAGTCCAGCGCGCGATGCGTACGTAGATGGTCTCATACAGGCGTTGGATGAGCCCAATCAACTCGCGACCACTGAGGAGCTCGCGCGTCTTGTCGCCGACACTGCGCGCTCGATACTTCAGCTCACAGAATGGATGAAGGACGACCTGTCCCAATTTATGGTTGGCTCTGTGGAGGAGAAGGACCTGAAGGCGATGATCACCCAGCAGGCTATGCTCCGCGAGAAGAGCCTCATCCTGCAGCTGTGGGCGCCGGGTCGCATCGAGCTCTCGTGGAAGGCATGGCTGGGCGGACTGGACACATCCGTATACCCAGGGGCAGAGACCGTGCAGCCTCCCCATCATCGCTGGGCCTATCGGCTGGTCCAAGCGCTCGCGACAAACGCTCCTATCACCTGTCCTCTCCCTACCATTCGTATTCCTGGTACCGACTCACCAGAACAACATGCGGGAGAGTCTGAGGATGTTGAGTCGCCGCAGAACATACTGCCCCCTCCCTTCTTCGTCACCACTCCGGCACTGCTCACTGCGCAGAATTACTTACAGGCCCTCGTCATTGCGGCATCCCTCCGCTCGCTCGTCCGTCTGCCCGCGTCCTCCCTTCCCGCATCCTCGGGGGACAACCCCGCAAGCTTCACCGAGCGCATCTGGACGTTACTCCGGTCGTCCGTCGACGAGGAGCCCGGCACAGAGAACACGAAGGTCGTCAACCTCGCCGACGAGGTCGTGCGCGTCCGCCGCGTATGCGCAGACGACGCGCACCCATGCGGCCCCGAAGAGGAGGCGCGTCTCCGCGCAGCGGTGGACCGTACCCTGCAGCCCCGCGACCCGGTGTTCCTTCTCCTGCAAAAGCGCCTTATGCAGGCGCTTGCGGCGTGGCTCGTCTCCTCCCCTGGGCCATCAGGCAGGTCTGGGAGCGCATCCCCTAATGGGCGGGCGTCGACGCCGGTACACATGCAGACGGGGAGGGAGCGTCCGGGCAAGCGGCCGCGGCTGCATCTCGGGCTAGACAACCCGAAGAGCGTGTTCGTGGCCTGGGAGAGGGAGCGCAGGAAGCCGCTAGTCATTAAGGGCTTCGAAGACGACGTGCTCGCGCGGGAGATTTGGGAGACGTTCAAGAAGGTCGGGATGGTGGTGGACTGGACGGATCGGGTATGGCAGGATCTGGTCGAGACTGGGGAGATTGGAGGTTTGCCTGAGGATGGGAAGCCTGAGGGAGCGAGAGAGCAGCAGGGGAAGGACACTGGTGCGGACGCACATGTATGATCGAAGGAGGTCGACGATAGGTGTGGTGCCGTTTCCGGACGTTTGTTTTTAACTTACTGACTTAGACATAGGCAGTGCCACGTATATAGCGCCTTGGACTGTTGTGGACTCTGACCCGAATGTTGTAGTACCAGTGAGTGATTTGGACAAGCCGTGTATGAAGATGGTGAAACACGCCCAACTAAGAGAGTAAACGGGTGCAGAAGCGATGGAAGTTGTACACATACAGCAGCGTTTTCCCTGCTGCATGCGATGACGTTATGACCAAGCACTCTCATGGGCCTGCTCCTGCTCGATTCGACCGCTACGCCCAGCTTTCCCTTAGACTCGTAGGTGCGCGACTGCATGGAGCGTAACGATACTGCAGCTGACGTACAACCAAGACATACCATGCAACACGCCATAGATCTTCCCGCACACAAGCCATCTGGTCAGGCTTACTGTCTAGTCTCGGCTCTTGAGGCTGGCTCCTGCGAGCTCCCGCTCGACTACATCATTGACACCGCCAAGGCAGGGGAACGGGTGAAGCTGCCCTGTCTTGCGTTCCTCCTCCGCAACACACAGAACAACGACACCTTCGTCTTTGACCTCGGCATCCGCAAGGACTACCAGAACCTCACCCCGGGCTACCTCGAGCGTATCCGCCAGATGTCCTTCGGGATCAGCGTCCCCGAGGACGCGGCGGATGCGCTCGCCAAGGGCGGGCTCAAGCCCACCGACATCAAGCACATCTGCTACTCGCACATCCACTTCGACCACGTCGGCGACTCCGCGCCCTACACCGCCACAACGTTCCTCGCTGGGGCCGGCGCGCGCCCCCTGATCGAGGGTGGCTACCCCGGTGACCCAAGCTCGCTCTTCGACTCGACCCTCCTCCCAGCGGGACGCACGCGCTGGCTCGACCCCACGGACTGGCCGCCGCTCGGGCCGTTCCCGCACGCGCTCGACTTCTACGGCGACGGGAGCCTGTACATCGTCGACGCGGGCCCTGGGCACGTCCCCGGGCACGTCAACGTCCTCGCGCGCACGTCTGCCGACGGAGGGTGGGTCTACCTCGCGGGCGACGCCGCGCACGACCACCGGCTGCTCACGGGGGAGGCGGGGATCTCGCAGCACGACGTGTGGGGGTGTGCGCACCGGGACAAGGAGCAGGCGGCGCTGCATATGGGGCGGATCCGGAGGCTGGCGGAGACGTATCCGCGCGTGCGGGTGCTGCTTGCGCATGATGTGCCTTGGTACGAGCTGAACAAGGAGAGTCGGCGGGGGTTTTGGCCGGAGACGATCGACTCGTTGTGACCGTGGATGAGGCTGCGATGTAAATACAGCTTGGCATCGAAAACACGAAGTACTCCATATCCGTTCTCCTACCTAGAACTCAGCATTCCCAATGTCGGGAGCAGACTATACAAGGACTTGGGGCCGGACTTGGGGCCAGACGCCTCCGCGAACGACCTGAGTCCCTTTCCTTCCTCCGAGTCATGTTACGAAATGGCAAACTTCGACTCGCAATTGACCGCGCATCATCTTTCGGCCTCCTTCCGATGCCACCCTAGCATACAGCGCCACTCCAAGATGTACCTGCAGGGATGTTGACTCTCATTATGCAATAAGGAGATCAGTGAAATACAAAATTAGCACTATTCCAGTGGGAGCCTCCGAGACTTACGGGGTGCGGTATTAGGCCACTTCGGCTAACTTTCATTGCGCACGCTCGTCTGCTTCAATCTTCAAGTCTGACGGTAGATCAGCAGAGAGTTTTCAGCAAAGGCTGTGCCTTTCCCCGTGCACAGTCGGTTGTAGACAGCTATTGTATTTCGGAGGCCCGACGAGAGGGTGAGTCAGCTACTGTAAGTAGCGGCCATCATCGCATGCCTGGTGCATTGCTACTTCGCGCCTATACGGACACGAGCTTCAGGGAATTCAATGATTCTACGGGCGGGTGTGTACGTCAATATGAGCATGCTCTGCATGATACCGTTCTCAATTCGATTCATACGAAGATCATCTATCACTTACGAACGAGCGATCAGCTGCCCTCCTCACGCTCTCCTCCTCCGCTGGCCCGGTATAATTGGGAGACCCAGAAGGCTCTACACGCAAACGCCGTTTCTAAACCCAGCCTCAATGCTACGTAAGCTAGGGGAATTCCAAGTTCAATCTGTTCCTCTGACATAATTAGCCGCAGACATGTGCTCGGCTGGGTCAGACTCGGGTCAGACCCCTCCTTGACCCAGGTCAGACCCCTCAGACCCTGGGTCAAGCCAAGGCAACATCAACGTCGGAGCTTCCGGGCACGTGAACCGCCGGGTCGGCCGGCCGTTCGCCACTCACTGCTTGAGCGAGCTCGCCTGTAGCGGCCACGAACTGTTCTTTCCAACTGCCCACTGGCAACGTCTCGGCCATCCATAAGCGAGAGGGTGAAACCAATGGCCTTCAGGAACGCTGCGAGGGACTTGCCATGGTGGAGATGGATGCCGACCCAGAGGAGTACTGTCCGGGAAACCAGCGAGGACTCGGAGAGGTGTAAGGTTTAGCATAGATGCATTATCCGACCTCTACGTCTGTAGGAGCAGTCAGGAAGAGCGAATATATACAAACGACATCTATAGTTAGCATATCCCGTCGTCAATGTGGCATAAGGGATGCTCAATTCTTGTCGGTCGCTCAGTTGCTCGCGCGCCTATTGGGCGCCTGCCTACCTGAATTCAAGGTCAGCTCAAGCGCCTGCAGCGCAGCGAGCAGAGACACGCAGGCAGCAGGTGCAACACGACCGCATGATGCCTCCGAGCTGGGACCAGAGAGCGACGCGAGGATTTGACAATTCGGAAGCTATAAAGTTGCTTGACTCGAGATATGGAGTCGCCCCACAAGGTTTGAGTCCAGTTGCCATCGAGCCCAGAGCGGCACCCCCAGTTGAACCGTATATATGTCGTGCTGATTCTGTTTCCGACTTGGGCGCATTGTGTACAATAAGTCCAGGTCAACGAGTTTATAAGCTCTCCCGACGTCACCATTCACTTGCTGGGCTGGTTTCCCGGGCCTAACAAACTGTCACAGCCAACGAGCTGTGCCACCAGATAAACAAAGACAAAGCTTACTGGTGAAGGGGTTGGTGCTGAGAACGAAGCAACCACAAGTGACACAGCAAGAGATGATGCAAAGGCGTAGATTTCCTAGACTAGAAGGGGCAGTGAGAGGTAGGGCTGCTAGCTACCTACAGAAGAGATGGGTGATCGACGAGAAGATCAAGTCTGAGGTTCCCTGCCTCAGACCCCCTACTATTTATACAATTACAACGGTGCACAGACCAGGTACCTATTTGTCCCTGCTTGGTCAGAGTCTGCTGACTCGTGTCCTGTCTCCTGACCTGTCACATGGTGTCCTCATGACTAACACCTGAGTCATGCCAAGTCCGGACTCCTGCTCATGAGTAAGCGCCCCCTGCTGGCATGTAGGTCACCTGTCCGTGAGTGAAGATGGGCGCTCCCGGACCCCTCAAGGCCCTGGGTTCGATCCTGGCTCCTCCACTTTCCGATACGAGTTGTCCGTGGTCGAGGTGAGCGTCTGTCCTGGTTCACATGACCCCCAGGTCACGTGGCACGAGAAAACTGTGACACTACCCCCTCTTCAAGATCTGAGCTCCTGCGAA